CGAGGTTCTCCTTCAGCAACGCCAAGTTGTGCTGAAGGTGTTCGACTCGGTCGGTCGCGGAGGGGACATCGAGGCTGGAAGGAAGGACCGGAGACTCGAATCGAGGGTTGAAGCCGTAAGTCGCCAGGAACGGGGAGGCCTTGGTCGAGGTGTGCTCGAGGTTGTTGTATGAGAACTCGGCGAGCGGGAGCAGCATCGCCCAGTCATCCTGCTGGTACGAGGTGTAGCAGCGGAGATGCTGGTTGATGACTTGGTTGACCCGCTCAGTCTGTCCATCGGTTTGGGGGTGGAACGCCGTGGACAGACTGGTCTTGATGCCGAGTTCTGAGCACAGGGCCTGCCAGAACCGCGAGGTGAACTGGCTTCCTCGGTCCGAGACGATGTTGTCCGGGAGACCGTGGAGACGGAAGATGTTGTCGAGGAACAGCGACGCTGTTTTCCTCGGCACTTGGGAGGGACCGACAGGGAAGGAAGTGGGCCATCTTGGTCAGGCTATCGACGACGACAAAGATGCAAGTCTTGCCGTTGGACTCGGGGAGGTCGGTGATAAAGTCCATCGTCACCAGAGACCAGGGTCGCGATGCCGTCGGGAGGGGCTGCAAGTATCCAAACGGCTTATGTCGAGGGACTTTCGAGCGTGCACAAGTGTCGCACGTCGAGACATAAGCCTGGACATCCTTGCGGATTGAGGGCCACCAGAACTGCCTCGAGATCAGTGCCCGAGTCCGCCGAATGCCAGGATGTCCAACAGCGACAGGATCGTGGCATGACTTGAGGACGGGGACTCGACACGACTCGGGCACAACGATCTTGTCCATGAAGGTGAGGAGACCATCCTTCAGGACATACTTGGGATCGTTGCGGAGCTGGTCCAGGGACGGGTCCTTGGGTTGCTCCTCGGCAATGAGCTTGAGCAAGTCCACAGGGCGAGTGGAACTTGCATCCGAGGAGCGACGGACGGCACAGGCGAACGACGAAGGTGGCAGCAACGGGGAGGCTCCTTGGACACAGGTGCGGACGGAGGGACGTAGTCCGGGCGGCGGGAGAGAGCGTCGGCCTTGCCGTTCTTTGGACCGGGGAGGTACTGGATCCGGAGGTCGAACCGAGACAGGAACTGCGACCACCGGGCGTGTCGCTGGTTGAGGATGCGGGCCGACGCCAGGTATTCCAAGTTCTTGTGGTCGGTAAGGACTTGGACTGGGTGTTGGGCACCTTCGAGGTAGTGTCGCCAGACCTCGAAAGCCTCCTTGATGGCCAAGAGCTCCTTCTCATAGATGCTGTAGTTGCGTTCAGCATCCATGAGCGTGCGGGAGTGGAAGGAGCACGGGTGCAGGTGGCCATCGGAGCCGCGCTGGGACAGGACGCATCCGATCGCAAAGTCTGAGGCATCAGACTCCACGACAAAGGGCTTGGATGGGTCGGGGTGCGCAAGGACGGGCTCGGAGACGAAGGCTTCCTTGAGGGACTGGAAAGCCTTGTGGGCGTCGGGGGACCAGCGGAAGACCTGGGACTTCTTGAACAGGAGCGTGAGCGGACCGGCGATCTTGGCATATCCGTCAATGAAGCGACGGTAAAAGTTCGAGAACCCAATGAAGGAGCGAAGGTCGGAGACATTGCGGGGGACGGGCCAGTCGACAATGGCGGAGAGCTTTGCTCGTTCCATCTCGATACCCTTGGGCGAGATGACGTAGCCGAGGAATGAGGACCTTGTCCTTGGAGAACTCGCACTTCTCCAGCTTGCAGTACAACTTTGCAGCCTGGAGCTTGGCCAGGACCTGCTTGACGTGATTTGCATGCTGAGTGGGGTCAGCGCTGTAAATCAAAATGTCGTCAAGGTAGGCAATCGCAAAGTTGTCCAGTTCATCACGAAGGACATCGTTGATGAAGTGCTGGAAGGTGGCCGGAGCATTGGTGAGTCCAAAGGGCATCACCAAGTACTCGAACTGGCCGTAACGAGTGCGAAAGGCCGTCTTCCACTCGTCGCCTGCGCGGATACGCAGCAGGTTGTAGGCCCCGCGGAGGTCCAGCTTCGTGAACACCTTCGCGTCCCGACTCGGTCCAGCATCTCATTGATCAACGGTAAGGGGTAACGATTCTTGACCGTGATCGTGTTCAATGCGCGATAGTCCACGCAGAGACGCAGAGAGCCGTCCTTCTTCTTGACGAAAAGGATCGGAGAAACCGGCGGGAGAGGACGAAGGACGGATGAACCCTTTGACGAGGTTGTCGTCGAGGTATTCACGAAGGGCCTTGAGTTCGGGCTCTGACAGGGAGTAGAGCGGTCCGAACTTGGGGTCTTGCCGGGCTCCAGGTCGATCGGGCAGTCGTACGTCCGGTGCGGGGGCAACGAATCGGCTTCCTGCTTCGAGAAGACTGAGCCAAACGACTTGTACTCCTCGGGGATCGACGTCGAGAGGGGCGTCGGATCCGGATCGGTGGCAGGAAGGACGAGGACTTGGAACACAGTCAGGGGGTCGGGGCTAGACTGTGTGTCGAGGACGGACTGCTCCAACGACTTGTACCTGATCGCTTGGACACGGACAGGAGCGGGGCTGGGAGCAACGGGACCGGGGAGACCAGGACGGACGGAGACGAGACCGGAGGGACCAGGACGAGCAGCACAGGAACAGGGCACCTCACTCGGAACACAATCAGAATAACGTTGAGCGATCACTTTATTCTGATCATCTTCGCGAGTACAAACGGTGCGAGGCGAAGAAGCGAGCACCACAGTGGTGTCGGTAGAGGCACGAGGGAAAACATTGGGTGTGTCGCCAACAAGAGGAAGGGGAGAAGGAGAAACGGAAGAAACGGAAGGGAGGGAAGAGGCATCCACAACCTTGAGGATGTGGTTTGCAGGACGGGGAAGGCAAGGAGTCCACGAGCCCAGTGGAACCTAGGTTCGATGGACTGCAGCCAGGGATAGCCAAGGATAACAGGTTGGTGGGGAGACTTAATGACATCAAAGGAAAGGTGTTGAGTGTAGTCCCCAAGAACAATCTTGAGGGGTTCCCGTCTCAAAAGTGATGGGGCCGGAAGAAAGTGGCTGGCCATCGACACCTTGGACAGGGAGGGGAGTGGATTTGGAAACGAGGGGGACCGAGAAGCGGTCAACAAAGCTCTCGTCGATGAAGTTGCCGGAGGCACCAGAATCGACGAGAAGTTGGCAAGAGAGGGAGCGACCAGAAGGGAGAACAAGAGAAGCGGAGAAAACGGGGAGAAGACGAAGAATTCGACGAGACGCACGAAGAAGGCTCGGAGCAGAGATCAGTGTCGGCAGCATGGTTCGAGCAGATGACCAAGTTCGCAGGTGGTGTGGAGATCGGGAGCTCTGTCAAAGACATCCTGGGAGCCAGATGTGCCCTTAGAAGAGGCGGGTTTGACAGAGTGCGATCCACCACCGACTACATTGATCATTCCACACATAGCCATGCGTTCGACACTTACCTCATGCTCCTTACCATCGACGCTTGCTTCTGGAGGAAGGGGAGACGGCTCCAGATCTAAGCCTCCACTTAGATCTGGGCCTGGTCGTTTCCCGACTCGAAGTGTTCCTCCTCACCATCATCGTAGACGATGGTTCGGACAACCTTCGAACGGGGACGGGAGCCGGGAGCCTGAGGACGGGAGCCGGGGAAGCGGGAACCAGAGGCGGGAGCACGGGAGCCGGACTTGAGGGGGCAGGACTTGGCGACGTGGCCGGGCTTGCCACAGCGGAAGCAGAGGCGCTCCTGGAAGCGGCGGTTCTTCTCCTCGGGGGTCAGGCGGCTGACGACGGCGGCGTCGATCTGCATCGGCTCGGAGTAGAGAACCGGAGGCTCCTGGGCGGGCGGCTGGAAGGACGGGGTGCGGGAGTTGAAGGCCTGGGTGCCGAAGGAAACAGGGCCAGTGTTTTCGGAGCTCGTTGTTGAGCTCGATGATGCGTGCATCGATCTTGAGGCAACGCTCGACGAACGGGACCAAGCGGAGAGGGAGAGGGTCGATGAAGGAGAGGCGCTGCTTGATCTCCCTCGACAGGCCACGGCGGAAGGCGGAGATCTTGGCTTCGTCGTTCCAGGGAAGGTCGGCGGCAACGCGGAGGAACTCTGAGGCATAATCCATGCACGAGCGGTTGCCCTGTGCCATGGAGGACAGGAGCAGCTCGGCAGTGTGGGTGCGGTCGGGATCGTCAAACGCTTGGCGAAAGCGTTCCATGAACGAGTCGAACGAGTGCAGGATTTGATCGTTCGACTCGATCAAGGGAGTCGCCCACTGGAGGGCCGGACCAGTGAGCAAACTCAAGACGTAACCCACCTTGACTTGCTCGGACGGGAACCTGGATGCCTGGAGCATCATGAGCAGGCGGCACTGGTTGACGAAGGGGCGGAACTTTGACCTGGTGCCGTCGAACTTGTCCGGGGTCGGCATGTGCGGGAGCTGTGGGGCGGCGGAAGAATGTGTGGTCCGGAGGAGAACCAGTTCCTCCTGGAGGGCAACGATTTGGGCCTGGAGTTGGTCCATGTGGGCTTTGAAAGTGGGGAGCGAGGATGCAGGGAAGACAACAGAGAATAGAAGGATGAGGGCAGCAACGAAGCCTCAGCCAAGCAGGTGGTCAGACAGAGAGAGGGAGTTCGAACAATATGTGAGGACCACGACAAGCAACGACACTGGACGACCAGGTGCTTGGCGAACAACGATAAGCTATATTACGACTTATCAGATAACAACAAGTGTTGTTCGAACTGCAGATACAAAATGGGTGCAAGAAAGGAGGGGCTTTATAGCCAAGAGGGAAACCGAAGGGCGAAAGTGGGCGAGAGGGGTGGAGCGACAAACGAGGGACGAGATGGGGGTGCGAGGGAGGCGGAGCTGCTAGAGAGAGGGGCGAAGCACAGCGCAGTCGGAGGCGAAGTAAGAGTCATCGGCGCCAGCCAATCAGGGAATACACGCCAAGACAAACAAACATGACTCACGGTGCATCACGCGCAGCAGTCCACACGTGTTCCCAACGTGCATGATCATCACACCTCGACAACCTCGACAGTCTCGGTGACCTCGGTGACGGTGACGGTCTCGACGGTCTCGACGGGAGCGGGGACTTCCTCGACAACCTCGACAGTCTCGACCGTCTCAACGGTCTCAACAGTCTCGGTGACGGTGACGGGAGCGGGGACCTCCTCGACAACCTCGACAGTCTCGGTGACTTCGGTGACTTCGGTGACTTCGGTGACCTCGGTGACGGTCTCGACGGGGGCGGGGGCAGGAGTCTCCTCAATGACCTCGACAGTCTCGACAGTTTCAACAGTTTCGACAGTCTCGACAGTCTCGACAGTCTCGGTGGGAACGGCGTCGGTACCTTCGACAACGGTGGTAGTGACGGTCTCGACAGTCTCGTCATCGGCAGCGCCGGCGGGAACCTCCTCCCAGACCTCCTCACCAGTAGCCAGGACAACCTTTCTGCGGCGGAAGAGACCCTTGACGGTTTCGACAACGTCCTTGCCTTCTTCGACAACAGCACCGCCGGCCTTGGCGGCGCCACCAGCAACAGCGGCAGCTCCAGCGGCGACAGCGCCTCCGACAACGGCGGCACCAGCAGCGATGGTCTCGAACAGACCGAATCTCTTGCGAGTGGTCTTCTTGCTCTCGGCAGCCGAGGTGGTGGCAGTGGCCTCCTCAGTGGTCTCGGTGACGGTGGTGGTGGTGGTTTGCTCGACATCGCCTTCTTGAGGAACGTAGGCCTCGCCAGTGACCGAATCCTTGGACTCGGTGGCCTCAGAGACAAGCTCCTCACGGCCGTCGGGGTAGTAGCGGACAATGCGAGTGATGGTCTTGACAATGACTTGGACAGAGCCATCGACGTGAGTAATGGTGGTGGTGATGGTGGTCACTTCCTCCTCTTCTTCGTACTCATAGACCTCGGTAGTCTCGGTCACCTCAACAGTCTCGGTGGTGGTGGTGGTGGTGGTCTCGGTGACGGGGGCAGCGACCTCGACAACTTCGGTGGTAGTGGTGGTGGTGGTGGTAGTGGTGGCCTCGGTAGTCTCGGTGGTGGGGACAACGGTCTCCTCGACGACTTCGGTAACCTCGACAGAGGCGGTCACGTCTTCAACGACCTCGCGTTGCTCGGGAACGTCAACGGCCTCCTCGACAACCTCAACGGTCTCGGTGGTCTCGACAACGACAGTCTCCTCCGAGACAGGGGCGGGGGCGGGAGTCTCCTCGACAACCTCGACAGTCTCGGTGACCTCGGTGACGGTGACGGTCTCGACGGTCTCGACGGGAGCGGGGACTTCCTCGACAACCTCGACAGTCTCGACCGTCTCAACGGTCTCAACAGTCTCGGTGACGGTGACGGGAGCGGGGACCTCCTCGACAACCTCGACAGTCTCGGTGACTTCGGTGACTTCGGTGACTTCGGTGACCTCGGTGACGGTCTCGACGGGGGCGGGGGCAGGAGTCTCCTCAATGACCTCGACAGTCTCGACAGTTTCAACAGTTTCGACAGTCTCGACAGTCTCGACAGTCTCGGTGGGAACGGCGTCGGTACCTTCGACAACGGTGGTAGTGACGGTCTCGACAGTCTCGTCATCGGCAGCGCCGGCGGGAACCTCCTCCCAGACCTCCTCACCAGTAGCCAGGACAACCTTTCTGCGGCGGAAGAGACCCTTGACGGTTTCGACAACGTCCTTGCCTTCTTCGACAACAGCACCGCCGGCCTTGGCGGCGCCACCAGCAACAGCGGCAGCTCCAGCGGCGACAGCGCCTCCGACAACGGCGGCACCAGCAGCGATGGTCTCGAACAGACCGAATCTCTTGCGAGTGGTCTTCTTGCTCTCGGCAGCCGAGGTGGTGGCAGTGGCCTCCTCAGTGGTCTCGGTGACGGTGGTGGTGGTGGTTTGCTCGACATCGCCTTCTTGAGGAACGTAGGCCTCGCCAGTGACCGAATCCTTGGACTCGGTGGCCTCAGAGACAAGCTCCTCACGGCCGTCGGGGTAGTAGCGGACAATGCGAGTGATGGTCTTGACAATGACTTGGACAGAGCCATCGACGTGAGTAATGGTGGTGGTGATGGTGGTCACTTCCTCCTCTTCTTCGTACTCATAGACCTCGGTAGTCTCGGTCACCTCAACAGTCTCGGTGGTGGTGGTGGTGGTGGTCTCGGTGACGGGGGCAGCGACCTCGACAACTTCGGTGGTAGTGGTGGTGGTGGTGGTAGTGGTGGCCTCGGTAGTCTCGGTGGTGGGGACAACGGTCTCCTCGACGACTTCGGTAACCTCGACAGAGGCGGTCACGTCTTCAACGACCTCGCGTTGCTCGGGAACGTCAACGGCCTCCTCGACAACCTCAACGGTCTCGGTGGTCTCGACAACGACAGTCTCCTCCGAGACAGGGGCGGGGGCGGGAGTCTCCTCGACAACCTCGACAGTCTCGGTGACCTCGGTGACGGTGACGGTCTCGACGGTCTCGACGGGAGCGGGGACTTCCTCGACAACCTCGACAGTCTCGACCGTCTCAACGGTCTCAACAGTCTCGGTGACGGTGACGGGAGCGGGGACCTCCTCGACAACCTCGACAGTCTCGGTGACTTCGGTGACTTCGGTGACTTCGGTGACCTCGGTGACGGTCTCGACGGGGGCGGGGGCAGGAGTCTCCTCAATGACCTCGACAGTCTCGACAGTTTCAACAGTTTCGACAGTCTCGACAGTCTCGACAGTCTCGGTGGGAACGGCGTCGGTACCTTCGACAACGGTGGTAGTGACGGTCTCGACAGTCTCAGCAGCCTCAGCCACAGCAACTTCAGGAACAGATACTTGCTCAACCAATTGAACATCGGTGGACTTTTGGCTCTTCTTGCCAAAACCGAAGAATCCACTTCGCTCAGAGCCCTCGCGGCGGCCGAAGGGATTGAAGCTGAAGCGGGAAGTCTGCTTCTTGGTCTGCTCTTGAGATTGTTCACGCTGGACATCGGGAGATGATTCCTCCACCCGTGTCTCCTCCACAACAGTTGTGGTCACTGAGGTTTCAATCTTGGCTGGGATGGTTTCGGTTGAGATAGTGGTGGTTTCGTCGACAACCTCTTCAGCAACCTCCTCGACCTTGACCTCCTCAACCTGGACTTCCTCGGCGGGCTTGCACTCGTCCACACCTGTGGCGTAGATTTCGTAGGCTTCGACGGTTTCTACATCACCGGGGGCGGCAGCGATCTCCTCTCCAAGCGTTTCGACGACTTCCTCGCTATCGTCGTCCTGGAGAATATAGGCTTCACCAGTCTCGGCGTCCTTGCGCTCGGTCTGCTCGGAGAGAACTTCTTCAGTGCCGTCGGCCCAGACACGGCGCAGAGACTTGATCACCTTCTTGATCACCCTCTTGGTACCATCCTTCTGGACGATGATGGTGCGGTAGATTGTGATGACGATGCGCTTGACATAGCGGATGGTGGTGACAGACGTTGCCGAGGCAATGGCAGTGACGTCGGTCTCGTTGGTGTCCTCTTCGGTCTCGTCCTCGGCAAGAGTCACATCTTCACCCGTGGTGGGGTCCTTGCGCTCAGTCTCGACCGAGACAACCTCGTAACTGCCATCGGCCTTGTAGCGGCGGATGGTCTTGACGATCTTGACGATGATGCGGACGGTTCCATCCTTTCGGACGATTCGGGTGATGTATCTTGTGATCACCGTTCGCTCCGTCACGGTCGTGCGGGATTCGATCTTCTCGGACTCGGGGACATAGGGCTCGTCGACCTCAACGTCACCCTCCTCAAGCAGGTAGAGTTCGCCGGTCTGGGCATCACGGCGCTCGGTGGTTTCAGACACGACGATCTGGGAACCGTTGGAGAAGATTCTTCGGACCTCCTTGACGGTCTTGATGACAATGCGGACGCTTCCGTCAACCTTGGTGATTGTCGAGCGGTAGGTCACCACAACTTCGTCGTCGCGGTACGACTCAGTCTCCGTTTCGACCGTGGTGGTGGTCGCAGTGGTCGCAGTGGCAACAGGGGTGCTCTCGACCTCGCGAGAACCAGCGCTCTCGGTGACCGTCTCGGTCGTGGTGGTAGTGGTGGTGGTGCTCGTTGTGATCTCTGCAGAGTTGCGGTTCTTCTTGCGGTTGAGACCAAAGAGACCAAAGCCGAAGCGACTGTGAAGGGAGGACGAGGCACCTTGGTCAGTGTCTATTCCAGGCGTCACCGGTCATCGTCTAAAATATACTAACGCATGGTCATGTCCGGTCATTCACTTACGTTGTCTTCTTGGGCTCCGCCTTGGCGGGCTCGGGAGCGGACACCGAAGCCGCCTCGGTAGCAACTCCGCGCTCGGTCACGGTGATGGCCTCGACCGTTTGAGTGGCCTCAGCGTGAGCAGCGCCCAGCTGAGCCTCATCGACCTCGACGACGACATCGTCCTCCTTGATCTCATAGGCCTCGCCGGTGGTGGCGTCTCTGGTCTCGACGGTCTCAGATACAACCTCGGAGCGGCCGTCGGGGTAGGAGCGAGTGATGCGGGTGATCGTTTTGATGATCTTGCGCACGACGCCGTTCTTGGAAGTCACCGTGGTGGTGATGGTGACAATCTCCTCCTGCTCCTCGTAGGCGATACGGGAAGTCGAGGTGATGGCCTCGGAGGTCACGGTGGTCTTTCCGTCCTTGGTCAGCTGGACGTACTCGACCGGAGCCTCGACCACGGTGACGTTGGCGCCAGCCAAACCACGAGCAGTCTCGGTGGTGGTCGTGGTGGTCGTCGTAGTGGTGGTGGTGAGAGAGTCCTGTGCAATAAGACAGTGATCAGTCAACGATCGCAACAGCGTAGAGGGTGCTCAGCGAACCACGTTCCCTCACAAAATAGACCCTGCGATCTGCATCCAGCAAAGCTTACCTTGGAGCCCTTGCTGCGGAAGAGCGAGAAGAGACCGGTGTTGCGCTTCTCCTTGCTAGCGGCAGACACGGTTCTTTCGACAGCAATGGCGGGGCTCTCACCCGCGGCCTTCTCGACGATTTCAACCTCCTCGTGGACAGAGGTTGAAGCGACACCGCGATCCTGGGTGGTGAGCAGCTCATCGTCGGACGTGGCCTCGGTCTGGCCCACTGTCGATACAACAGCAGCAACACCGTCGCAGGTAGGCGTTAGACATATCTATGGCATTCAGGGTCGCCGGCATAATCAATGCAGCAATGGAAGCCCACAGCACTCTGGACTGCAGCGTGCTCATTTGATCGGACAGCGCTCGACCCCGATGAATAAAAACGCGACCGCCCAATCTTCCCGGACACTCGCGGCGGGCACTTACAGAGACGACGGAAAGCAGCCTTGTACGTCTGGGTGTTCTTGACGTTGGGCAGGGCGGCAATATCGGCCTTGATGGAGTTCAGGGTGCTAATCCAGGCCTTGGTCTCAGTCGGGGTGTCGGCGGAGAAGGTGAAGGTGTTGTGGGCAGTTTTGAGGACAAAGGTGTTGCTCTCGGTGGGGAAAACCTCGACAATGTCGCGGAGGTTAATGAGGGCAACAGGGGTATGCTGGTCGGTGGTGACATCGGACTTGAATCCGATCAGGAAGCCCTTGGCGGAGGTGACAGCGGTGGCCAGATCGTCAAAGAGAGTCTCGTTTCTCTTGAGATAGTAGGCGTCGCTATCATTGGGACCGCGGCGGACGTTCTTCTGGTGGACGACGACAAGGCGGTCCAGGACGATGCCTTCGTCCTTACCGAGCTTGTAGAATCGGCGAGAGGTCGTGAGGCCGAGGAAGCCCAGCTTGGAGAGCCAGCCTTCTTCGATGCGCTCGATGACATCGGAGGAGCCCGAGGGGGCGGCAGGGGCAGTCTCCTCAACGGTTGTCTCGACCTTCTCCGAGACCAGGTTCTCGGAGCCGTCAGGGGCGACCTGGACGACCTGAGTGGTGGTGACGGTAGTGACAGCACTGGTGGCAGTGGTAGCTTCCTCGACTGCAATGAGATCAGCAGCAGGGGCGGTGGTAGTTTGCTTGGAATCCATATTGACGATTCTGAGAAAGGGGGAACACGATGATGGAGACGGACGACGAAGGGAGGAGTCGGTAGATGGAGCAGGGCAAATGCCGGCCATGGGCAAGAAACAGAGAAAGCGAGATTGCGGTCAGAGTGAGTTCAGAAACAAAACAGGCAGTCGGGAGACAGTGGGAGACAGTCGTGGGCGGCCGCAGGATGTGTACAGTCAGCATATGCAGCAGACGGCTGTCTGGGCGGCTACTGATCCCCCCCCCCACAGGAATGGACACTGTTGCGGGACGCCGGCCACAGGATCGAAGCCACCGACACACACAGCCGCAGCTGTTATGGCGACGATGGCGACGATCTCAGGCTATCGGCGTGTGCTTTCGTGTGGAGCGAGAGCCACAGCAGCCTACGCTTCCGTCTGGCAGAACATGCCCGACAGCCAGCTGTCGGCGCCTGTAACTGCCGAGACAGAAACGTGCGCCACCAACACTGGCGAGACCGAACCAGCCTGGATCGCAACGACCCGACTTCAGCCACCAGCGAGGAGCGAGCCCGTCGTCCAGGACGTGTCGTGGAGATCCGGCCGGTCGCCGCCGTGGTTGAATCGCACTTGGCCGACCAGAGGCCAAATCGCAGCCAGCAAGCTTGCAGAGAGAGAGAGAAAAAAAAAAAACCGGAGCGAACGCGGTACTGCCGTCCAGCGTGCCGCGACAATAGTGGGCAGATCCCGGCAAAGACAGCCTCGTCTGAGAAGCAGGAGAGACGAGCGGCAGCACAAGTACTTACGGAGATCAGAACGAGAGGGTTGACGGCAATGACAGCTACTCTTCAGAAGGAAAACGATAAACTTGTTTTTTGTAGGAGTTTTTGGAGGTTTTTGGCGACAACAATCAAACAGAAGAAAAAAGACTCGATATAGCGAAAGAGAAGGGGGGAGCGCGCGGATGGACGGAGAAAGGACAAACGACAGCGAAAGTCACTGAGGGAGCGGTTAAGTTAGGGATTACTTGGAACGAGGCGGTATAAATACGGACGGCTGCTAAGTACAGGAGGGGCGAGGGAAATATTTCACAAGAAAAACAAAGAGTGCCGGCAGAGAATATGTACGAAAATAAGGAACGCTGGGAGGCGACTTGGACGATCTCGGGTGTGGGAGACCAAACGCGGCGGGTGGAGGGCTACGGAAGTATTTATGAGATTCAGGCGGGTATGAGGCAAGCGGAGGTCGGCGAGGATTGACACCCTTAAAGTGGGCAGAACAGCACGGCGCCGGGAGTGCGAGCTGAAATAGTGCGGGCGGGGGAGGCGGCAGCCACCACGTTGGCGGGGGACGGCCGGCTGTGGGCACACAGGAGGGCAGAAGGGATCGCGCAGGGCGTGGGACATGCAGCACGCTGTATGCCCGGCAGGCACGGAAGGGCCACGGGCCGGCTGCTTGTGTGGGGGCGCAACGCGAGCCTGTGGCCAGTCCGCAGGCCTGTGTGTCTGTGCAGACCTGTGTGTGGCTGTGGGCCACAGCCACAGTGTCGCTGCATTCAATTGGGTGTGGGCACGATCGGCTCCGCTCCTTCAGAGCCAGCCACTCTTGTTCCTGAAACAGCCAGCACAGCGACAGCGACAGCGACAGCGGCAACGGCAACGGCAACGGCAATGTGCTGTGCGACCGCCGGCTGATCGCTCACCCATTCACACACCCGCGGTCCCTTGCTGCGGCCGTGGGGACCAGAGCGACCGGCCCACAGCCAGACAGAGTTTGCCTGCATAAATACAGGGGGACAGAGCCGCTCACACAATGGGTTCTCTGACGCACTCGGTCCAGCACAGATCCGCACACACACAGTGCAATCGCGCAACACTCGCCCCGCCTGACACGCTGCAGCACACCATCGCACTCAGACACTCGCAATGCCAGCCACGCGCACAGCCAAACACACAGTCGCACACGGTGTGCCGGCTGCGCAACGCGGTGACCCCGCCCGCCACAAGGCTGCCACAAGGCCGCCCCAACGGACCAGCGCGTCGCCGAAATAACGCCACCGCAGAGCCGGTCGTCGCGCGCTGTACGACCGGCGCGTCGCACACAGCCACCCACGCACCACAGAGCTGGCCTTTTGTTTGCCGCCCGCGCCGGGCCGTGCTCGGACGCGCCGAAGCCCGTGGAAGAACGAGCGCGCGGGGCTGGTCCCGTGAGCGGCCTGCTGCCAGCCAGGCTGTGACCCCGGCCGGTGGCTGCCCTGGCTCACGCCGCCGCGATGTCTCGTCGATGTCTCGTCGATGGCTCGTCGATGACGACGCATCGATGACGGCGAACCCCAGCGCCGATGACGAGCTCTGCGTCTGAGTCATGCGGCAGTGGCATCGCTGTGCGTGTCTCGTCGCCGATGACTCGTCGGGTAACGTTTGCATTCTACCGAGGCGCCCCTGCTCGCCAGAGACAACGCCGGTGACAATCCGTCCATGATATGCAGCATCGCCAGCGATATCGTCTCCATCACCACCGCCCTGCCCTCCATTGCTGTGGCCATCCTCGCTGCTGTGGCCATCTTCATTACCCGTCAACCCAGTCCCGGATCGCCGCCGGGATTGGCACCGGATCATGCAGGATCCAATCCATCGTTCGCCACCAGCGCCACCACGCGACCGCCATTGGTCCGTCGTCTGTCCCCGCAACCTGACTCGAGCGTGACCGATTCTGTCTCGTCCTTGGGTCTCGGGTGCGCCCAGCGAGATCCAAATCACCCGCTCAGCGAGCTCCCAAAGTAACCCCCCCCCTGCTCAGCCGGGCTGTTGGTGCTGCCGGTCGATGGCTTTCGTCGAATCGCCCTTGGTCCGTCGTTCGGTGGCCGGCTTGCTTCAGTTCCCACGCCCTTCTCGTCCAGAATGCTCTCGTTTTTGTATCTGCCCTTGCTTCCCACGGCTTCTGGCCCTGAATCCCGGCACATGTCCTCCCGTGACCACATACCTGCCACCCTGCATGCTCTCGCCAGCCGACTTCACAACCACACGGAGCTCGATTGCCGTCCTGGTGTTGGGTCTATCGCTCTGTAACGACAAGCCACTGTGTTGATGTTTCCAGATTGCGTTCGACTGCTCTGCTTCCACCCTTTCGCGGTCCAACCTCGCTCTATACATCATCAGCTCCGGCACATCATCAGCTCCGGCACATCCTCCATCCAACCCCAGAGCTTATTTATTTATTGTCGCTTGGTATTTTCTTTTCGTCCGACAATATTCATCGCTTTCCATAATCGCAGATTGAGACGCTGTCTCACTTGAGTATACCTCGCCAGCGTTTGTTGAAGCAGTAGCCCTGGGGCAGACATCCGGCTTGAAGGGGACTACTGCGTCGGATGATTTGTCAAAGATATTCCGACACCACTGCATATCTTGGTCCTCCCCACCAAGCAGATGCCTCAACGTGATGCCCGATCGCCCGGCATTCCCACCAGGGCCTGCGGTGCACTTGTATTCTCCTCCCTCGTTCCATCTGCACATCTGTGATCTGCAAGAGTGCTCATCACTCCCACTGCATCGCAGTCGTCGCAACGAGCCCCACGCCGACAGGCAGCCATCCTAGTGCGCTTCCACGCAGCCGACCGGCATCAATGGGCCGGGCTGGGACCGCTCGGCTGCCGAGAGCCGGCGAGGACTGTCGAGAACCGCCGAGAGTCCGACCAGCCTCCCCCGCCCGTTTCAAACCCCGTCCGCTCCTTGGCGGCTCCGCGTTGCTTGTCGCTGCTTCGTCGGCCTCATCTGCATTCACGTCGCCTGGCCGACTTTCCCCACCCCCTGCCGTTCCCAACCATGAGCTCCGTACCAGCAGCATCGCTGCAGATTCCAATGCTGTCCATCCCGCTCAAAAAGACCGAGGATGTCGACTTTGTCTCGCCCCTCAAGTCGGCCATCCGCACAACCTACCAAGAAGACCCCGACAAGTTTGTCCAGGAGATCGCCCTCTTCAATCGCCTGCGTCAGGACGCCCGGAGTGCAGGACCCGATATCCTCGGACGGGACATGCTCTATCGCTACCACGGCCAGCTCGAGCTCGCAGACCTGCGATTCCAGTTCGATCAGAACGGCATCAAGGTCAAGTTTCCGTGGCACGACGCCTTTTCGTCCGAGGAGATTGCTCAATTCTCGTTTGCCTACGAGCGAGCCTGCATCATCTTCAACCTCGCGGCTGTGTGCTCTTCTTACGCCGCTGCCCAGAACCGATTCGAGCTCGTTGGGCTCAAGACGGCATCCAACTATTTCCAGACCGCGGCCGGGCTGCTCGATTTCATCGACAAGAACTTCCTGCATGCCCCTTCAAAGGACATGTCGAACGCATCCGTCAAGACCCTGGTTAGTCTGTTGTTGACGCAGGCCCAGGAGTGTTTTGTCGAGAAGCTGCTCTCCGAGGGCAAATCGGGCAACCTCGTCGCCAAGCTCGCCGCCCATATCACCCACGCCTACCGATCTGTTCTCGAGGGCTTCTCGGACGAGTCGCTCGAGGACCAGTTTCCGTCCAACTGGACCGACATCGTCACGGTAGGTCCCCTCCCTCCCTTTGGCTTTCTCGACTCTGCCACTCCACCATGTCCCGACCGTGAATAGCCGTCGTGCCCTCCATATCCTTCGGCATTCGCGCTGTCCTCCCACAATATGCATTCTATCTGCACGCATGCCCCCCCCCGTACTTTTGCACCAAACACCGTGGATACCTGTTGTTCTCAGACATCCTTCGTCGTCGATGTCGCCGTTGGCGCGTCAGCTATTCCGCTTGCATGTTTTTCGTCCGTGCTCGGCTGCTGGATCGCGGCTGTGCTCGCGTATCCATCGAGAGATGCCCAATCTCCCGACTGTTTGCCGGCATCGATACGGATTCGGTGGCTCGTCGGGCCCCTGCTTTGTTTGCTTGGCCAATATCGCTCGAGTGTTCTTTCCCGATCTTGCTCGAGCACTCGGCCGGTCTGACGTCCATCCATGAGGATTCTGCAGAGAGCCCATCGGCATTGTACTAACCTACCAACTTGCCACCGGCTTCGCGCTGTCCAGATCAAGTCCAAGCACTATAATGCCCTCTCGCACTACCATCGTGCCCTGCATTCGCAATCCACAGCAAAGCACGGTGAAGCCGTCGCGTACTTTATCGCCGCAGAAAGCCTGGCCAAGGAGGCCGAGAAGCTCGCCAAGAAGATCTCGAGCACTGGGCTGTCGTTCATTCCCTTTGCCAAAGACTCCAAGTCCAACGACAGCTCCACCGCAGCACTCGCAAACGCCACAAAGACTCTCCTCGCCACCGTCACCGAAAAGAAAACCCAGGCCGCCAAGGATAACGACGTGATCTACAGCGAGCCTGTGCCCAGTGCCGACGTGCTGCCCGCGATCGAAAAGACCTGCATTGTCAAGATCACGACCTTTGTCGACCTCTTCCCCAACGGCGAGCAAGAAACTCAAAGAATCATCGGCAAGGACATCTTCCAGGTGCTGGTGCCCATGGCCGTTCACGAGTCGTCGTCGATCTACTCCGAAGAGAAGGCCCAGATCCTCCGCAGCCTCCAGACCAAGGCGGAGGCGGCGCTGGAAGAAACCCAGGCCTCGATGGACTCGCTCAATGTTGCGACCGTGATGGCAACCATCACCAAGCTCACAAAGAACCCAAACGCAGTCTCGGTCGAGGTTCCGCCCGAGGTGATTGAATGGTCTAACAACCTCAAGGAGCTCCACAACGGCCTCAAGTCCGATGAGCTTTTGCAGAGCCTCAGCGGCACCAAGAAGCTCGTGTGTGATGTCCTGGACGAGTCCGTCAAAGCCCTCGACTCGGAGCAGATTGAATGCGAAAATCTGCGCGTGAGTAACAGCAACGCGGTCGTGCGGCAATATCGACCCGTGCGTCGCTAGGGCGCATGTTGTTGGCTGGCCCAAGTGCCAATCGCTTCGGATCCACACGTTCTGTCCATATTGGCGTCCACTTGCCCGATCAACATCCCCAAGCGATGCGCATTTGCGACGACTGCCCCGTTACTGATCCCCTCTGTCCTTGCTATCATTCCTCTGATCCTGATCAGCGCCAGTATGGCGACTTGTGGACCCAGTCTCCATCCCATTCCGTGGCGGCAAAGTTCCGCCAGGAAATCACCCAGTACCGTAGCCTCTACGAGAAGGCACTGATCTCAGATGCCAGCTGGATCTCTGTCATGGACGGCGTCAAGGCCGATGTCGATCTGCTGCTCCAGAGCGTCAGCGACATCGAAGGCGCTCTCATCACCCATGTCGCCACCACCGTAACTAGCACCCAGCCGCCCAAGCCCAAGGAGGCCCCAGTCAACCTGCTCGAAGTCGACATCGCTCCTCCTCCGAGCCAGACCCCAGCCTCGGGCGAGCTGGGAGCGCTTGGCGAACAGGTGCTCGTCGACGAACTTAATCAGCTGTTGGCCCAGATCCGGAATCTCAAGACCGCAATCAAGGCTGATCTGGATGAGCTCAAACAAAAGGTTTGTCGGAGTATTTCTGAGAGACCACCGATCAACTTGGAAGGAGTTTGAACCGTTTCAGCCATGTGTGAAGCCAATCGGCCATGCGTACACCCCGCGGCTGCTCTTCACTCCCTCCAACCCTTTTCTCTCCCCTCTGCCCTCACATGCATTTCACAGGTCCATAACGACGATATCTCCCAGCTCCTGGTTCAGCACAAGAACAAGGAGCGAGAGCTGTTCGACATCGAACTGAAAAAGTTCAAGCCGTACCAAGACAAGATCAGCGACAATCTGCGCATCCTGGGCGAGCTTGTGTCCAAGTTCCAAAACAGCTACCAACGACTCGCATTCTCTGGGACGCTCAAGCAGCACCAGCAGCGCGAGCGGGTCAAATTGAGCCTAATTAGCAAGTGGAGGGACTCGTACACGAAGCGCATGGCCATCGAGGACGGCATCCGCTCTGGACGGCAGTTCTACACGGACTTGCTCGACAGGGTCATGGCCCTGTCCAAGAACATCAACGAGATGGTCGCTCAGCGAGCCCAGGAGCGTGACAGGCTTGTCAAGCAAATGGCTGCACGCTCTGCCCAGGCCAGCCAAACCGTTCTCAAGGACCAGCTTGCCCGTCTCAGCATCAGCTCCAGTCCCATCCAGGCGACCCCTCCTGTGCTTCCCCAGACCATATCTCCGGCGGGTGCCAGGCCCCAGTTCTCTCCGAATGCATCTGGTGCTCAGTGGCAAGGTGCTTCGCTGCCCAGCCCGTCACAGGGCGTTCCTGCCACTGCCTCTGCCCAGCATGGCGGCTATCCTCCATCTGTGGCAGCTGCAGGCTACTCGGCCTTCCCGCCAACCTCCCAGGCCTATGGCTACGCCCCTGCGGGTGTTGCCCAGGCACCGCACAATCCGTACACGCCCAATCCAGTGCAGGGCTTCCCACCGACCGCCGCTCCTCAAGCTCCTCGGAGTTACGACCAAGCCCCACCCGTCCCTGCGCGACCTGGTCAGCCCTACGGATCTACCGGTGCACCGGCTGCATCGCAGTACCAGCAGTATTCCGGAATCAGTGCTCCTCCTCAACAGGCCAGCCCCTATGGACAGCCTGCCCCAGGCGCATACGGATACGGCCAGCCCCAGGCACAACAGTCCGGGCACTACGACCAGGGTGCGACCCAGCGACCCTATGGATGGAGCGGGCCGTCCGGCGCTCTCCCGGCCGGACCTGGATACGGAAGCACCCAGCCCGCTGGCCCATCTGGCGGATATTCAACCGGCATGGTTAGTTAGCGACCCGGCGTCTCTCGGGACCTGCCCTTGCCCTTGCGAATGTGTTGTCGCCGCCCAAGCTAAGCCTGACTGATGTGCTGACTTGTCTGACACCACCTACACAGCCCCAGCAACCACAGCAGCCCTGGACTTCTCAGGCAGCTCCCGGACCCTATGGCGGTGTACCCCAGCAGCCTCAATATCCGTATGGAGCATATCAGCAGCCCACTCAGCAACCCACTCAGCAACCCGGTCCATACTCTGGTCAGCAACCTAGTCAGTACTCTGGTCAGCAACCTGTTCAATACGCTGGTCAGCAACCTGGTCAATACGCTGGCCAGCAACCTGGTCAGTATCTTGGACAGCAACAGCCTCAGCAGCAGCCTTATGCCCACGGCCAGAGCCAGACACAGCCTCGCCCTGGTATCTACCACCCATCCCTTATCTGAACGAACGAGTCGCTAGTCGGGCTGGAGCAGACGAAAGGTAGTTTCCATGCCGACGGCGCAGCCTGGGTCTCGAGATCGCTCGCAAGACCAAACCATGCATCATTGGCAAAGGTGACCTACTTTGAGCACAAAGAACCATCCGGCCCATTCGTCTATGCAAATATGGGCTTGCATCGGCATTCCCTCCCCAGCCTAGGCCGCACTCTGAACGAGCCTTCGATCCGTCTCCTCTATCCATCTTCCCCTCTCGTGGCAGGCTGGTGCATCATCTATTGCAATAAATTGAGCTTCAGCCGAGATCGAGGACTCCAGCGAGGGGGGCGTATGGCAAGCTCAGCGTCGTGCGTCAGGCGTGTGCTGGTTGAAGCGAGTTGGCAGGGATTCACATCCACAGCTGCTCGACTCTGAGCACCAATCACACACACCCCAGATGAAATCTCGCCACAATGCGCTTCATTGGGGTCTCGGTTGCGACAATCGATCTGGTCGCAGCCAGAACGGGACAAGCAAGCCCCTGTGCCTCTCGACCAGCTTCCCAGCGAGCCACTCGCACAGGGCAGATTGATGGAATATACCATGGATCCGCCGCCATTGTCGCAGTCTCCTCCCTCCTGTCCGCTTCCCCCCCCCTCATTCCGCCTTCATTTTCGCCCGCTGTTCTTTGAATCAACAGACTAACGCGACGGAGACTGCCGCAATGGTCCGCGACGGCGACAATAGCGCTTCTGCGTCGAAGTTGCTGCCATAATGAACAGCGCCTCCTGGGGCCAAGCATTCCGTTGTCGAGGCGATCATCGTGCATCCCAGCTTATGAGACGCCGGGTCAATGGCGAAACCGAGACAGCAGGATAGCAGCCCGGCCGCTTTAATTGTCCACAAAGTCCCCCATGAACTCGGTGGTCTCTGACCTGCTTTTCGAGCCTTGCTGTCTGCGTGGTCATCAATACAGGGCACTTTCTCGAGCCTCCGATGCATTTGGTACCTGTACATTTGCCACACCAATCCCCTCCCAAGTCACTGCCGGCTCATCACCCGCTCATCATGAAGCCATTGGCATCTTTCCGTCGAGCCAACTCGGTCCTGTCCCTGGCCTTAGCGGTCTCTGTCCTGTGGCTTCTTTGTTTTGGAATCCCAGTTCGCAAAGAGGCACAAGTAGTGGCGAGCCGGACCCGGCGGAATGGGGTCGAGTCCTCAGCAAGCATCACACACAGCACATATCCGATCGCCCGTGGAGACGAGCCAGACATCTTGCGATCGACTCCAGATAGCCCTCAAACCAAGTCCCAAGTCCTCAACGACGAGTCGCGGGCCCAACATGGGTTATCGGAGACTCTGCCACCATTATTGCCTGGACGGACAAACCCGGCAGCTCTGGTGAGAACCCTGAAGAACCAGCCACCACCTTCCAGCCCTCACCCGTTCCGAGTCCCACGGTCCAACTCGAGCATTCCCCCGTACCTGCACCAAATCTACTTCTCGGATCTCCCCGCGGACTCTCCAGCCTGGCGAGCCATCTCGACCTGGACGGAACTCAATCCAGATGCGATCCATCACATCTGGAGAGAGCTCGAATGCGATTCGTTCGTCCGCGACAACTTCCCGGCAATCTACCCATCGTACCGCCGCCTCTCGAGGTGGATCACTCGAGTCGATTTCGTGCGCTATCTCATTGTCTTCCACTTTGGCGGGACTTATGCCGATGTGGACACCGAGTGTCTGCGTCCGATCGACGACTGGACTGATGAATACCCGGGGATCACGGCAATCATTGGCATCGAGGTAGGGAATATGGCACTGCTGTGTGCTCCTGGCCAGGGCAAATCTGTTGTCCACAATACCCACAGTGCCGATCCGGGTCTCCTTTCTAACATGCCCCTCTGTATACCCATACCACCCCATCGGTCAGATGGATAACTCGAACAAGCAAAACTGGAGAAGCTACGGCGCTCGACCCATCCAGCTCTGCCAGTGGACCTTCTCGAGTACCCCACAGAACCCGATTCTCGGACACTTGATCGACCGGATCGATGCCAAGATCCGGTCGATGAGTGATAGCGAGCTCCACGACATCGACAACGTGATGGAGATTGCTGGGCCAGGGATCTTCACAGACTCGGTCGTGCTCGAGCTTCAGGGACTGCGAGTCGACTCGGCGTCGCTGAAGGGGCTCGAGGAGCCTCGGGTCCTTGGCTCGACATTACTGCTCCCGACAACGGGGTTTCATCCAACCGCTGGACTGGGAAAGTTTCATCCAATGGCTCGAGTCAACCATCTGTTCTTTGGGAGCTGGAAAGAGAACAAGCCGCAGCCGCAGCCGTAGACGTAGCTGTATGGCATACCGGCCCGCGCGTCGATAGCCCGGCTCATTGTTGAAATATACCATCGACATGAGTGCAATACCCTGGGACGCATGTTCCCGGAGCGCGTATAGATGCGGATTGTATCTCGATGTCATTCCGGTCGGAGGCCCAGTACACCGCAACGGGATGGGATGGCATCTAGTTTATTTGCACCGATGGAGTGCGCGGGCAAATACAAATCGGATACCTGGGAACAGCCAAGCCATTGAAGTATGCTGGCGACGAGATGACCTTCAAGAGCTTGGCATTTCGTGCCCCCTGAAAGCGTGCTCGCTCTGGGATGCTTCCTTTAGCGGCGGAGATCTCAGGGGGTGACAAATATCTCACACCGCCCACTGCAAGCCGTGCATAGTTCTGGACTTGTCTCGGTTGCTGTTCTCAGGTCAAGCCGATGCAGCAATCCAACGACGAGACAGGGTCGCGGCGGCTTTCTCGCCTCGATACAAGGCGGAAACCTCTCGATCCCCGTGAAGGAGAAGGCTGGGACAAACAGGTGTATCGCGTGCTCACTTCCCCAGTCATTTTGCATCAGACTTCCCCGGCGGGTCGTCCGCCTCCGTCTTCAACCAGCAAGGCGTCCCCGATTTCACCCGCGGAGGAAGGACGGGCAGCGGCAGCGGTGAAAAGCGGCAGAGCGGATCGTTGGGCACGGATCGGCGGACCGGAGGATCGGAGAAACCAGCCTCAGCGCCTTGCAGTCAGCGGGCAAACAATGGCTGCTCACCTCCTGAGGGCTGCATGCGCGACCCTGATGGAAAATAGAGGCAATTCGCGAGCAACGGCCAGGGCGATGCTGGTTTTGGTCCTCGCTTGGGCAGGCTGGAGTGTTGATACGACAATCGCAGCCACACCAGCTCATGCTCACTCACCCTCGCCAAGCCGGTGGGTAGCCACAGCGGCGTCTCCCAGCCTCCGTCCAAGATGACAGAGGAGCGAGACCCAAGGGCACCAAATGCAAAGCATGGCGTCAGAGGCTCTGCCGGGGACGTCGAAGGGGCTTAGAAGGGTGTCAATGGCGGGCTTGCGATGCTTGCAGCACATTCGTTGGAGGCTTGCATCGTGACCCTTGGGTACATCCGCAGCGAGCTATGGGCTGGAGGTCCGCCAGTGAACGGAGGAATGTCAGCGGCGGTATCGTTGAGCCATCGGTATTATTCCTCTCCCGCAATTGCACAGGCGCTGCTTGCAACCACCGAGCCAGCCATGTTTCTCGGGGATACTGCTGCTGACCCGGGTGCTGCGTGCAGCCCAGTGGTATGCGGAAAAAGCTGTTGGTGTCGAAAAGCGAGTGGAGCTGGGAGAATGTGCTGCCGCAGCAACATTCACAGCTTGCCAATGTAACTTACTGCGATCAGTTGAACATTGCTGGAGCATCGTGGGCACTTGCGAAGGCGGCAGCCGGACTGCTCGCCAAGCGACAGCGAAGGATGGGAATCGACGAAGAGGAATCGGGACGACGATGCGGGGTGGGCATGTTTTTATAGAGAGCGCAGCCAATCACAATCGCGGTGACACACGCGAAACTCCCTTCCCCTGGTCCCCTGAAAAACATCCGCAGCCTTGCTGCGCACGGATAAACAGCTCGGTCTTCGTTGGCCAGGTTGTCGCCGGCCAAATAAACCGCACCATTGCCGGGGAGGAACCGCAGAGACCAACAAAGTACAGAGCTGTTGGCCGAACGCAGCCCGGTATGCCAGACACATGCAGACCGAGCAGGACACCCAAGTGCACCTGATGGACCTGGGGCTTCAGGCGTCGAGTGGGGCCTTGCCCAATATGCATGCATTGGGAGCGGGCAGGCTTGCGCATATCGATCGATGACGCTCAGTTGCACACAGACTATGATCGAGATCCCAGGGCTGTCCGACACAACGAACCAGGGGCTGATCGACAACACACGGCCAACCCCCTTCACTAGTGTATCGACCACAGCTCCATCAAGGCTTTGTTGACGAGCCAGCGACGCATCCATTGGTTCGATGCCCACTGGCTATATTGGCATCAAGGCGAAATTCCCTAGTAGACTACGGGAGGGTCTGATGGACATGCCACTCGCAAACAGAGAGTCAAGTCCCTTCCACCTGGCGATATTGCCAAACGACCGCTGGCGCGCGGACTGTTTTGCCGTCAGACAGGAGGCGGGGATATTGTTGATCCGTGCGGCAAAAAGCGGGAGACCAAGTGGCCCCGCACACTGCTCCGCTCGGGAAGTCCCGAAGCGAGGATGAGCGAGGATGCATCGCTCGCATCGACAAACACCCAGCCCTCTTGCTGCTAATCTCTGTTGTATCTGGGTCGCCCCCGCTGCGCCGTTTGGAGCACACCACCTCGTGGCAGGATCCCAGAGGCTATAAAATATGGGACAGAACCTGTTTTTCGAGCGCCTCGACATCCGCCCTCGGATAATTCCCCTCCCATCCTCAGTCTCTGCCCCCGAGTCACATCGATCCCGTCAGACTTTCTGTACCCTCTATCCAAGCATATTGGCTCCGAATTTTCCCACGCTTCCCATTTTCCTGCCGTCCATCCACTGCGCCGTTCAAGCGCAAGACATTCCGCTACCCATCTGCTTACTCGAATACCGCTGCCCCATTGTGTATTGGCCTCGCCACATACCATAGTTGCCCTTTCTTCACTCCATTCACTTGCCCATCTTTCGACACCATGTCCATCACCTACATCCCCAGAAATAGCCCGAGCTTCCTGCAGCTCGATGAAGCCCATCACGGCTCCCATTCCTGGCCAGGGCTCTCGGATGATTCCATGACCGAGTTTGAACTCGAAAAGTCGCTGCGCATCAATTTCCTCAAGGCTTTTGATATGATCAGAAGAAACAAAGCCCCCGCCGGCAACGACTCTGCCGAGCTGCACACCGCCTTTAACACGATCGTCAACAGCGGACTCTTCCACAAGTTCTTCCCTCATCTGCACTCGCTTCCTTATAAAGGCCCAGATGCCCCGCTTCTGAGACGATCATCGTCAGTGTCGATGCTATGTATGGCCCTTGATTTGAGCACTCTCTCTTCCGATACTCCTACCACTTCCATTTCTTCGATCGACACTTGTGCTGTCCTCTCTGATGTTCCCGCACGTTGTCCAGCTGGTATCCTCGTCCAACGAACGAGCAGACCCTCGTCCCCCTGTGGTACCCCCGTCACCTCAAACAGTGAGTGCGGATTGAGTATTTCGGCCATCACTCTGGTCTCGACCAGCAGCTCTGTCGCTTCGCGCCAGCTTTGCTTCGAAGACGAGAGTCCACAAGATCGCCAACGCCGACTCTCGATGATTCGCCTCTCTCGTTCCTGGGTCGGACGTCGGCTTGCCAAGGCCATTGACAAACTGGAAACCATCTCGAAGCGAGTATCTGTTGTGTGTACCCGGCTCGGCTATATCAAGTCGTAGGTTGGTATCAAATTTGATTGCACATGGCTGTGGAGAGGGGCCTTTGGGACTGTTTGTGTGAATGCCTTGCTGATGTGGGTTGAATGGTGGCTCCTTAGGACTGGCATCTCGGTTATGAAGACTGCAGGCTAAGCTAACACCTCTGGTCCCGATTGTCAGATACCACTTCCTTTGATTCTTCACCTCCTTGGCAAGTTGGCTCTTCTGGTCAATGCTGCCACCATAATGCCACAAGACTAGACGCACTCTCTTTGACCCCGCGTCGAGCTCGGTCCCGCAGGATTTGCAGGGCAGATCCGAAATGTACCATACTCACACGCTGTCACGAAATGCTCATACCTAACTGTAACTTCTGCTCGCATATGTGTCTCTGTTCATGCAACAATATACCATCCACTGAAACGGAGCGAGACCCCCATTTCTGAACACATGGGGACTTTTCTGGATGTGAATACACACATCTGCCAGAGCCAAACAGTATGGCTCAAGATACTCATGTTGCAGTTGCCTCTGGGTGCGTATCGCAGGAAGGGATGTCCATCGAACATACGGAGACCGCGCTTGTACGATATATCAATCCGCCACCACTACCAGAGACTCCCAGACCCAGAATACACGGCGAGCGATTCGTTTGACTCAGCCAACTTGGCAACTGGTGGATACATATCGCGCCTCGAGACTGGACTCCTCGAGACTGGACTCCTCAATCCAACAACAGGCATTGGTTGAAGTGCGAACGAACGCAAAACGAGCGCTGTCCTAATGCGGTCCGAAATCGCGGTCCCAGCTACACATTCAACGCTGCTGGCAAGTGCAGTGCGGTGGAGCCAGGATATCGGTGCTGCCAGCACTCTGGTCAACGAATCCCCGTCCGCGGAGCTATCAGGCGCTTGGTCTTGTGCTTCGCGGCGACTGTGTGCCCCCAGAACCGCTTTCATCTCCCCATAAATCATGCGCTCGCATCACAGCGACAGCCTCAGGGTGGATGAGTGGGTGGGTGTGGAGTGTATATTTACGTTGATTTTCTGACGCACTTGCTCCTATATAGACAGAGTGTGTGGGGGCGGATAGGTAGACGGTGGAGAGTAGCGATGGCAATGCGATTAGATGCCACATGCAGAGCAAGTGGGGGTCTGGGCTCCTGGCTTGTTGAGATTTACGGTGGCATTGGCAGCGGGCTTGTCCTTGCGCTCGTCGTTGTCGATGAGACGCTTCTTGATGTCGCGGGCCAAGCTGAAGAAGGCCTCCTCGACGCCTGGAATCATTCGGATACAGTCCAGTTAAGCAAATGGACATAGACAGGGCTTTCTCTCGGAGCGGTGAGATTTGCGATGCCATTGCCCCCCCCCCTCCAGCATGCACACTACGCAAATGATCGAGTTGAGGAGTGGCATTCGCGGAGTCCCGCAGTCTGGACCCAATCACGAATGCTCGGCAGCCCGTGAATAACCAAGCACAGTAATCCCCCTCTCTTCCAGAATCAAGCCACTCACCAATGTTGGACTTGGCGCTGGTCTCGATGAATCGGATGCCGTATTCGTCGGCGAGGGCCTGGCCCTGCTCTTTGCTGATAACCTTTGAGCCGGACGAGCCTGCCGTCAGCCGTAGCAATCTTCGACTGACTCAAGTCGCAGCACCGAGCCACCTACTGCGGGCGCCACCGCACCCTCGATCAACATGCCATGGCACCAAAGCAACAAGAGAAGCAATCTACTGGCCCGCCAGCGTTCCGCATGGTTTACCTTCTTCTCCAGCATATCGCACTTGTTGCCGATCAGGATCTTGTTGACGCCTTCACTGGCGTGCTGCTCGATGTTGCGAATCCAGTTTCGGATGTCTGCGACCAATCATGTAGATGGGATCCGTAAGTACGGTGGCACTCCAGTCCACCTCACGGCGAAAATCTGCACCAACACAAGCTATGGAGAACGAGCCGGGCTGGGCTGGGCTGAACAGAGCTGGACTGGACTGGACTGGGATACGTACTGTTGAAGGATCGCTCGTCGGTGACATCGTAGGTCAACAAGATACCCATGGCACCGCGGTAGTAGGCTGGACAGTGTCAGGAGCCAACAAGCAGTCAGTTTTCTGTCCAATATGCATGAGCAGCACCGACTCGGCACGGCAGGACACAATATTGGCTGGCCGAGAGGATCGGATGGACAGCGATCTGGGGCACGGGGTCCGCGACCGCTGCACCAGGCAGAGGCTGCATCGAAGAAAAAAGGGCTGTTGAGGCTGTACCGGTGGTGATAGTGCGGAAGCGCTCCTGGCCGGCGGTATCCCAGATCTGCAGCTTGATTCGCTTTCCGTCCAGGTCGATGGTACGGATCTTGAAGTCGATACCGATGGTGGTGATAAACGAGGGCGTGAACGAGTCGTCCGAGAAGCGAAGGAGAAGACAGGATTTGCCGACGCCTACCGGCAACAAAGACAAGCAAGTGACAGCGTTAAAGTGGGAGGTAAGCGGCTGAGGCAGCGGGAGCGAGATAGGACCTGCCAGAAGTGCCACCACCCTGGACTGGTCAAATGACCCCCGGACCATGAGTTCCAAGGCCGGCACATGAGCCGACGGTGTGTGACATGAGCCGATGGCAAGTCGAGAAGAAAGACGGTCGAATCGCAGGCAATGCGCGACGGCGCAAGGTTCTGTCGACCCGACCAGGGGTGGCTGCCGAGCAGGAACGGGAGACACACTGCTGGCCATTTCGCCACAAGCTGCACACTCGGCCGGAGTAGATGGTCGAGTGTGTATCGCTCGCGGTCAAACACTCTGTCGTCCGGTGGCCAAGCCAGCGATGCCGTCGGCCGAGCTGCAGCGAAGCAGGGAGGCAGGCAAGGTCGCTGGGTGTCGAGAAGTGGGAAGGGGGGGGAGGCAGACGAATGGGCTGGGAAGGCGCCTCGGGCTCGTCGAGGAGGCCTACCAGAGTCACCAATCAGCAGGAGCTTGATGAGGTAGTCGTAGGTGGCGGACTTTGAGGTGGCCATGGTGGATAGACGGAATCGGCAGGCAAGACGGCAGAGACGGCGAAGGCAGGGACGAGGCAAGACAGAGGAAAGGGTGCAAAAAAAGGAAGGGGGAACCCTCAAAAGGACGGGGACGGCCGAGGCTCGGAGCGAGACGACGGCGAGAAGCAGACGAGGGGCCGGGCGAGGGCGAGATGGGGCAGAGAGCGCTGGTACAGTGCAGCGAGAGCCGCCGGGGCACCAGCGAGGAGCGGGCGAGATGGAGGATTCTGGAACGGCGCGCGGCCTGGTCGCATGTGCTCTCGGCGCCCAGCGGGGGGGGGAGGTTGGGGAAGAAGCGCCAGGGACGGCGTGCGGTTGCGGGTGGCGAGTGCTGCTGCAGCGATCGAGGAAGCAGGGCCCGGATACAGCACCGCCGGTGCGGTCAGTCTTGCGATGCAACTAGATGCAACTAGATGCAACTAGATGCAACTAGATGCAACTCGATGCAACTCGATGCAACTAGATGCAACTAGATGCAACTCGATGCAACTCGATGCAACTAGATGCAATATCAGATGCAACTAGTTGCAACTAGACGCATACATGTCTGAACGCACAAACAGTGGCTCGCGATGCTCTCTTCCATTACCGCTCGTCCGCGCAGCCCGTCGATGTGGAAGCTGTCTATTTGGTATCTTTGCGGCGGGCATTGGCACAGTGCTCGCAGTACCACTTCTGTCCTTTTGGTGGCGGCTCCTTCAGATTCAGGCATCCCATATGGAACCATTCGTATGGACACTGGGGAGATTCGGGTTCAAAGCATCAGCACACCGAGGAACTTGCTATGCCATCTTGGCACGACGGCCGCTGAACGACGGTCACTCAACGACAGCCAGCAGATGCGCACTTACATCGTCGTTGTCGCATCCTGTATCCAGTTGTCCACAGCGTGTCAACAAGTCAGGGAGACATGTGAAATGAGCATGCATCCAAAAGAGCCACAGACAACAGCGTCGCTGAGATACGCATTCCATGCAAGTATTGCCAGGCGACGTCTCGTCTCAGTGGCTCCCAGCCGCCAAATGCCCGTCGCGCATGTCGCCCAAGCTATCGACCGTACCCAGCATGATCCCGTAGGACACTTGGCGACAGATACAGTACTTGGGCTCGTCAGGATTGATCTCGAGCCCCTCTAGAGGATTGACTTTGAAGTCCTTTGGGGCCGGCTGGCTGGGCTTGGATCTGCTGCAAGTTCAATCAGCAGTTTGTATCAGATCATCCGGACACCAGCAGCGATCGGGCCATTCACGACAACATCCCTTCCCAAGGTGGCCGGCGCTGGCTTACCTGGACCTGGGTGGGCTTGTCGGCTCCTCGGAGGGCCCTTGCTTTCGCTCTAAACCGCCGGACGAACAGGAGAATGTCGTCAGTGCATTCCTAAGCGAGATCACGGTTGATCGCCGCACAATGGTGATATAGCAACGCCTCCATGAGGGTATGCACCGAATCGCCGCCACATACTCTTCTTCTCGGATGGCTTTGCTTTCTCCTCGGAGGTTGGCGTCCTCGCTTCACCCCCAAGCTTGATCGCCGGACCGATCATCTGCGAGTCTTCGAGCTTGGAGATGTCATCGTCCAGTTTCCGGATATGGCGATCGACCTGCCCGCAGAAAGCAGTGAGTCCAGCTCACTCCAGCCCAGTTCAGTCCAGTTTGGCGACTCCCGCATATCATCGACGCTACGCGGCACCATCCATGTCCATATGGTAGATTCGGATGCTCACAAGATCGTAGATTTGACTCGCCAGTGCAAACTTTTCGTGGGTTCGCTCGACGGGGACCGAAAGCTGTCGGCAGATCTCCGTGGCCTTCTTCGTCCGGTCCGTGTCGCTCAATGGGGTGGATGGGCTGGCTTCATCGACCCGCTGGGAATACTCATCCAGATCGAGTCGCACTTGGCAAAGCACATCTGTTCGGGAGTGTCCGCCCTCGGTTGGCTGAGTGGATGAAGGACAGATGCCTGATGCAGTGGAGCAAGCGACGCACCTTGGATCAACCGATCCTGCTCTTTGATCTGGGCGGATGAAAGGAAGATTCAGTCCTCGACCTCAACCCCAGTCGCGCCCGGCCGCCAGCAAAGCCAGTGCAGCAAAGCCAGTGCAGCAAAGCCAGGGTAGCGGAGGGATGCAAAGATGATATCGGCCGTATGCAGCATGACCCATCCGATATAACCATGCATCCCAGGGCCTCGCCGGATGCGTCAGCGAGGATCGAACCGCTTATCCGAGCAGCGATACTCACATGCAGTAACATCCGCCTGACTTCGGCCGGAAGCGACTCCAGCACTGCTCGCAGTCACGAAAGTGGAGGAGGGAGAAGGTCGATGTATGAGCGGCCGCCATGAGCGAATGTGATGCTGTCTTGAAGCCAGACTTGATTGTCGCTACTTGGGCTCCACCCGCCTGCTCCAAGCACTCACCATCGGAATGACTCTTCAGCCCCACACGGCATGAGTAAAGAGAGTGTGTTCGCATGAGCCTCAAAGTCGTGACCAGCCCCCAGTCCGATCTCGCCGTCGCCCCCATTCCAATCGCCATCCTCGAATGACGAGCAGGGCAGCATAGAGAGGGCATGCATGTGCGGGCCCAATACCTCCAAAAACGACAGATCAGCGTGCTCCGACATGGGTCTATGATTTGGTGCTGCTCGAGCCAAGCAAGACAGGCATCAACCAAGACGGACATCAAGCAGCACGGGCGGCAGACAAGCAGCGACTCTCGCGATATCAGCGAGCCGCGGTGACCCTGGTTGCGGCGGGTTCTCGTCCCCACAGCCGATCTTGCCCGGACCCTCCCTTACCCTCGCACCACCACCGACAAGTTGACCGAGTGCCGGAGCAAATATCTCTTTCCGGATGCTTTGGCTCCGGACCCAGGACCAATATTGACCTCAGCTCCTTCTCCAGCCCCAGACCGACATGGCTTCTCGGCGAGAACAGGCGCGAGGGACTGTCATTTGCCCATATACGGCAAGCGCTGCGCAGACACGCGATTCGACAGCGCGGCCGACATGCATCTGGAACGACCTGCACTTCCCCCCCCCGCAATTCGCCCCTCCCCCGTCGGTTTGGATCTCGTCTCGCTCCGCCAGTATATATTCGGACACCCTCAGCATTGAGTTCGTCCAGCGCACCCCCTCGCAGCTCATACAACACGCCCACCTCGTCCTTGCCATCACGCCAGTCCAGCATGCTCGGCAACACCGACGAGACCCCCGCGCAGCAACCGCTGGCCGACTTTGGCAGCGCCGACTTTGACAACACCGAATTTGAGCCTTCGGCAGCGGCCTACAAGGACGAGCCCCTGCTGACCGAGAGCAAGCATCGCTTCGTCATGTTCCCGATCCACTACAACGAGGTGAGACGCCATGGCAGCGGTATCCCGTGGTTAGATCGTGCTCGGCGGCATCATCGAGTGGCTTCCCTCGGCCTGCCCGATCCCCACTGACAGATACTCCCAAACCCCTCGTCTGATGCCCCGATCAACAGATCTGGCAGGCCTACAAGGCCGCCGAGGCCAAATTCTGGAGTGCCGAGGAAATCGCACTCTCCGAGGATGCCGAAGGTGAGTCCGACCGATCAGTGACTCCATTAGCGGCGATGGCCGTGGAGCCTCGCCAACACATCCCTCATTGAGCGGTAGTCCATATGCGCCGTGCTTCTCACACCCTCCATTTGATCCATCGCCAGGGTGGGAGACATTGTCAGGCAAAGAAAAGTCGGTGCTCCTGCAGATCCTGCTGCTGCTGGCCACCAACGATTCGTTCGTCGGCAATGTCCAATCCCGCGTCGCCAACGAGATCCAGGCTGCCGAGCCTCGCGCATACTACGGCTTCCAGATCATGCAAAAGAACATCCACCTGGAGCTGCTCAACGCTCTCCTGGGCCTGTTTCTGAAAGACGACGCAAGCCGCGATCTGATCTACGAAACCATCAGCTCCTGTAAGTGTCCATCCACGAGCAATTGGCGGCGTGCAGCAAGGCCATGTGCAGGGTTGTTCTGAGCCGGCCCTCCTCAGATACTTGCTAGTTTCTGCTTTTGGCTCTTCATGTGCGCAGCGGTCCCCCATATCGTGTGACGGATCATTGCCAGTTGCTTGCCTATGTGTATGGACAAATTGTGTCCATCCATCACTCTCCCTGTGCATTGAGCTCCGTTGCCTCGGCAGCCACTCGTACCGGCCTCGATTCATCCACTGCCCACAATCCCATCGGTCTACTACTGTCCCCCGCTTCCCTGCCTCTCTGCTTCTCTATTCCACTACCATTTGTCATCATCGCCAAGCACACTGATGCCTCAACTGCTTGCATGGATAGCGAGTGCTTATGTAGTCGATCTTTGCTGATGTGCACCATGTTCCATAGTCCCCAGCCTGCACAGAAAGATTGCTTGGGTCGAGCGCCACATCCACAAATCCCACGAGCACTTTTCTGTCCGCAACGTTGCCCTGGCCATCTACAGCAAGATTTTCAACTCGACTCTGAGCATCATCGCCGTCCACCTGGCCGCCAAGGTGCCAAAGTACGAGCGTTCGGCATTGCCTGGCTTCCTCCACGGACTCATCAAGATGCATCACGACTACCACCACTATTATGAGCTCTCGACCATCCTCGGCGACCTTCTGGTCAACAAGGTCCCTGTCTCCAAAGTGCACGCCATGCTGCAGGAGGCCGTCGACATCGAGGAGGAGCTCGTCAAGGACCTGTTTTCGTATGCCGGCAACGCGATTGCCCTGGCCGGCACAACGGTCGATCCGGCCGAGCTGAAGCGGTATTGCAAGTTTGTCGCCGACCAGACTGTGGTTGGGCTCGGCTTTGAGAAGGTCTTTGGCGTCACCGACCCACTTCCCTGGGCCACGCGCATCATCGAGTCGGAGACCATCAAGATCAAGTCGAAGACCCCCGTCACTGCCATCCAGAAGAAGGCCGAGGTTCCCGCGAACATCGAAAGCGCCTTTACTCTCGACGACGACTTTTAACATCCTGGCAAGAGCAGCTGTGCCCACTCCCCTGTTTGTTTGTTGTTTGTTTCTCTCCCTCTCTCTCGCTCTCGCACATCCGATCGGCAGTCCAGCGTTCATAATCATGAAGCGGAACTCTCCTTGGTCCTCTGAGGCCCGATAGCCACAATTTTATCCCAGAACCTGAATACATTTCTTCCATTGTACAACATTGGTTTGACTCGCATGGATCACTCACAAAAATGATCAGTCGCAGCATTGACCCCTCGCCACACGCATGATCGCTCTCATCCCCAGCATCGTGGCCATACCGACGAAGGTGGCGACCACACGCCATCAACAGCAGGGTTGTGGATATAGCAAGTGCAGCAGCATGCATCGGACTACCGCATCGGACTACCGCATCGGACTACCGCATCGGATTGCACACCTCATGCCGCTGGCGCCGCTCATGAACGCGACGACGCACCACCCTTTCGCTTCAGCAGCGCAAAGCCCTGCATGAGCTCCTCCAGCTCGCGCCGGAACCCCTCGATCTCCTGGTTCTTTCTCTTGAGCAAGGGCTCGTACATGGCGCGCACCCGCTCGACTTCCTTGCGCGCCAGCTCCTGGGCATGCACCTGGATGCGCTTCTGGATGTCCGACTCGCGCTCCGAGTACTGCTCCTCGAGCGTCCGGATTTGCTCCTCGAGCCGGGCAAAGGCATGCATGTCCGGCGTCCAGTTCTGGCGTGCCACTCGGAGTTGCTGCTGGAGCTGTTGGCTCTGGCGCCGCAACGCCGAATCGCTGCCGAGCTTGGCCTCCTCAAGCGACGCCTCGAGGCGCCGGCACTGCTCTTGGAGCTCCCCGTGCTTGTCCCGCAAGACCTGCAGCTGCTTTTCGGCGTCGTCGCGGGCGCGCTTGAGCTCGCGAACCTCCAGCTGATGCGCACTTTGCAGCGCGCGCCGGGTCTCCTCGCGAGCCAACTCGACAGCTTGGTGATAGTGCGCCGAGGAGATCTGCGAGGTTTCTTGCTGGGTCTGCTTAAGGATAGCAAGGGTGTTTTCTTGGACAGCCTTGCGGGCGGTCTCGCTGATTTGGAGCCTGGGAGCACGTGTGGATGGGAGAACGAAACCCGACACAATGCCAGAAGGACGGCGCAGGGACGGCTCAGCGACATATTCACGAGACAGAATGCGGGCCCGCTGCGACGCACCCAAAAGCGCACCCACCCGCGCTGACCCGGGAGAGCAGTGGGCGTCGAGCCATGGAGAAGGGGGTGGGGCGTTGGGAGGAAAGGTACATACTTGTTCTTGAGATTCAGATTGGTCATCCGAAGTTGCTCCAGCTCGGTCCGCAGCTTGCCGACTTCTTCAACCCACTTTGTCTCCTCGACGGCAAAGACCTTGTCGTGCCACATCTGCTGCATCTGCACGATCTTGGCCTCGTAGCTGGACACCAAGCGGTCCTTCTCGAGCGCGTTCTGCAGCAGCTCGGCTTCGACGCTGTTCTTGGTCTTCTGCACCTTGGTCAGCGTTTCTTCGTATTCGCTCATCAGCCGCTCGTACTCGAGGAGCTTGCTCTGCTGCTGGATCATCCGCTCGGTGAGGGTCTCGACCTTGGCCTCGGAGAGCGACAGTAGCTTCTGCGTCTGCTCTAGCTCCGATCCAAGGGTCTTGACGTTGTTGGCCTCCTTGAGCTGCTGGGAGTATTCGTTCAAGAGTGTGGAGAGCTGCTGCTCGAGCTGCGAGATGCGATCGTTGGCCAAGCCGATGGTCTCGGACGAGGTCTTCTCCGCAGCCTCGAGGAGCGATCGATAGAGTTGGTCGTTCTTGGACTTGAGCTCGGCGAGCTGCTCCTCGTACTCAACCTGTTGTCGCGACAACTAAGGGAATAGACGGACAAAGGAAGTCAGAACGCCGTGGCCGACCCAAAGAGCCGATTCCCGTTTACCACGCAGCGACATAATCCATCATCGACAGCGACGCAATCCATCATCCACAGCGGCGCAATACATGATATTCAGCGGGTTGATTTGCGATTTGCGTACTCGCTCCACACAAAAGGCCGTACCTTGTTCTCGTGTTGTCGGCATACCTCCCGGTGCTCATTCAGCGTCGTTTCGGCATCGAGCTCGAGTTGCTTGATGCGCTCGCGGAGCCTTCGGATATAGTCGGGTTGGTCCATAGCCGGCCGGGCCAGTCCAAAGGCAGAGTCGCCGCCAGATGTCGATGCCGATGTCGATGCCCGTGCCGTTTGAACCAGACTCTTGATCTGCGCCAGTTTCTGCTCGAGTCGATCGGGCTGCTGCTGTCCTGGGCGCTTGCCATCTGTGCGCCGACTGCTGTGCGATGCGGCCGGAATCTTAGTTCGCTGTGCCTGGGTGGTGAGTCCAAGGGTCTCGACCATGGCCACAAAGTCGTCGATGCTCTCCAAGAGCGCCGGCGAAGGAAGCCACGGCTGCAGTTCAGGGCCACCAGCAAGATGACTCTCGGGCAGCCTGCCGCTCTGGGAAAAGGCTTCGAGCTTGCCCTCCAGCTGGACGATATACGCCTCATAGCGCTCCTTGGACTCTTTGAGCTGACCACGCAGGCGATCCAGCTCCTCTGGGCTGGCCTCGGTCAGTTCCCGCAGCTTCGAGTTGGCTTCGGCAAGTTGCGCCCGGACCTTGACCAGCTCGCCCTTCATGGCCTCGCGCTGATCCTCGGCATCGCGACGAGTATGCTGAAGCTCGTGCTCGAGCTCCTCCAGGCGGACCCGAAGCTTGGCCGCACCAAAGTCGGCGTCGTTCTCGCGGCCATGCAGCTGCTGACGCAGATGGGCAATCTCTCGCTCGGTGGCCTCGTGCTTGAGAAAGAATTGGTGTTCGGTCTCCTTGGCCTTTTTCTTGAGTCGCCGGACCTGCTCGTCCAGCTTCTCGTTCTCGCGCTGGAAGCCCGCGATCAGAGCCTCCTGTTCCTCAAACTGTCGCCGCAGCGCGGCCAGCTCCGAGTCCGGGACGCCCTCGATTGCATCGGGCACTCTGACTCGGCCGGCCTGGAACAGGTCTCGTTCTTCCCGCAGCTTTTCGAGAAAGTCGACTTCGTCCTTGAGGCTCTGGATGGCGCTGTCCTTTTCGACGATCGTCGCGGTGAGCTTCCTGATGGCTTCGTCTTTATCATGGATAAGCCGAGTCAGACACTCGATCTCTGAGGCGAGTTGCGCGGATTCTAGACTGGTAGCTGGCTGGATGCTATCAGGACGCACGGGCAGCAGGGGCGTAGGCGGGTCCTGAGACGAGGACGAGCGATGGTGCGGTGCCGCCGGGTGATCGGATATAGCGGGTTTGAGTTCCTGGGTCGAAGGTCGCCGCTTGAGGTTTGTGTCCTGCAAGATGGCTTTCTTGAGCGAGCTCTTGGAGTTTTGCCTCGCCGGAGGCTTGGACAAGACCTGGCTGGTGCTCGCCTTGGCCGGCGATACTGACGGCCGCGGCGCTGGCTTGCCGGTAGCAGAGGATGGCGGTGCAGCCAACCCACTGGATGGCAGCTTCGGACGAGCTTGGGCTACTGGCCGCTTGGGATCTGCTCCGAGAGTACCCGCCGGTCGCACGGCGATCTGAGACGGAGCTCCATCATTCGATGGCAAAGTGGGTTGCTTGCCATCCTGCTCTTTGGCAGGGCTGGGGAGCACGAGTCTGACTCGGCTGACGGTCTCACCACGACTGGCTTCACGATGAGGCTTGGACTGGAGCTGCGTCTGCTCGAGACGAGACTCTGGCTCGGGATGGAGGCCATCACGACTGAGTTGTGCTTCGATGTGCACATCCGACTCGAGGTCCCGATCGGATATCGGTTGCGGATTCAGTTCGGCGCCAAGGTGTTGCGCATTCGATGCATTCTGTAAGTCAACTTCAGCAAGAGATGGATCGGAAGGAAGTTGACTCGATTCGGCCTTGGGAACCGGATGGCGGGTGGCCACGGCTGGCGAGGCCAGCGGAGAAAGCAAGTCCGGTGAGGGACACTCCTCGCGAGTTGGACTGAGAGGCAAGACCCCGTTTGAGAGCGGCGAAGCTGGCCTTGGAACCCGCGATGGCGATGGTGGTGATGGCGATGGTGGTGATGGCGATGGTGGTGATGGCGATGGTGGTGGTGATGGTGATATTGATACGGATCCTGGCTGGGCCTGCAGCGGGTACGGTGACTCGGGATTGGTATTGCGAATGTGTGATGACGGTGTAGACAGGGACTCGGGCGAACGGGCACGCCCATGATGCTCGCTCGACTCGGATTCAAACTGGTAGGAGTAGCCGTCGTCCTCGACATGAGATCTGGACTCGTGTTGGAATGGCGATGGAGAGCGGGAGATGTCGGCTTCTGGTTGGGTAGGAACAGATGGGCCGAGTGGCAGTGAGCCGTCCAGGATGGGTGCGGAGACATGACTTTGAGGCAGATCGTGGATTTCGTCCAGGAGCGAGCTCGCCGAAAGCACCGGCGGGAGACCAGGAGCAAAGGGAGGTGGATTGTTGGAAAACTGAATCAAATCGGTGGATTCGGCGTGTGTTGGTGGCTCGGACAGGGTGGGCAGATCGGTTCTGAGTGGAGATGGGGGCGAGTCCTTGTCCGCTGGATCGCCTGCCGGATGGTCTGCCGGATGTTCTGTTGGATGGTCTGCTGGATGATCTGTTGGATGGTCTGTTATATGGTCTGTTGGATCGTCTGTTGGATGGTCTGGTAGAGGAGGCCGGCCCGAAGAGACCTCACCAGGCGATTCGGTGTCTTCGGCGGTGTCTGGACACTGGTTAAGCGCCCGGTAATCGATGGAACTGCCCAGCTCGGCTTCGAGAGTGCGGAAGAACCTTGCTTTGGTGCCCTCAGTAAACGACGACTGCGAGGGCTCTGATGGACCCAGGGTATTGACCAGGACAGCATCGGTGGCGGGGCCAACAGGAGCAGCAGCAGCAACAGCAGCAACAGCAGCAACAGCAGGCCGAACAGCGCTCTCGGTCGGGGAGGACTGAACAAGATCATCGAGGTCCATGTTGGGCAGCGAGATGCTGCTGGAGGTGCAGTCAATGTCGTCATCGTCCGTCCAGGGCTTGCGCACGGCACTCAGTCGAGAGACGTCCTTGAATCCAGAGGGGAGACCAAAGGCCGATGATGGCTCGTCGATCTGGACCAGCACATGCTCTGAGGACGAGGGATCGGTCTGAGCACGAGCACGAGCACGAGCACGAGCACGAGCACAAGTGGAGATAGATGAGTCGGCAGCTCGCATAAGAGAGAAGAAGAAATCCGGAAAGGGAGGGCATTTGGGTGCCGTGTCGGCCAGCTCGTGGCTGATTACCTGCGAATCGGTCGCGGTGTGGATGAGGCTCTCCATCAGCAATACGATGAGGGAGCGGTCGGCAATTGTGGGTGTTGAGTTTGAATATTGATTAAGTCTTGATTCTTGAGTTCTGATTCTTGAGTCTTGAGTCTAGATTCTTGAGCCCTGAGCCTGAACCGCGAGGTGCAGACTGGCAGAATCGTTGCTGGTCCAAAAGCCGGATCAAAAGCAGGTGAATGTGAGCGACGAACGCGGCGCATGGAGCTTCAAACAGACGGATGTCAAGCGGATCGAAGCACACGCCCATCGGTTGGATTCCCTGGGGTCCGCTCAGATATACGAAAGCTGGGTTACCAGAGGGCGAGGCAGACAGGGCTTCAGGCCAGGAAACAGGCAAGATGAAGGAAGACCCGGGCAACAGGACGCAGCTCCGGCCCGATCAGCACACGATTGTCGCGCGGCGGTTTCCCCCATGAAGCAAATGCTCGGCGAGACCGCCGGCTGTTGCGACCAACTCTGTATGCAAGTGATGCCGCCCCGCTCAAGCCCGGATAAGCTGTCGACTGAATACATCATTCTATATTTCGTCCGAAGATTACGACGATACTCGGGTGTGCTGATCTGCTCTCAGGGAGCTATATATGGAGGGGGGAAGGGGTCTATATACATGATATCCAAAAGTTGAAGGGGTGGAGAGGGAAGTCAAGCCAGAAGGCTCCTCGTACGTCGCTGCTACGGGCAGCAGGCTATCGAGGGTGGAAAGACTGAGAGGGGAGCCAGGTCTTCGGCCCGGACAAACATATTGTAGTTCAGTTCCTCCATCAGCCTCCTTTCGGCCAGATTCAAGGTTTCAAGCGGCAGGCCCGCGGTCTGGGCCCAGATCTTGTTGGCATAGCTGCGTTCGTAGTGTACTTTCGAGGCAACGACGAGGGCAGCGACAAACATCAGAGTCCCTGAATGGACAATCATCTCGGGACAGTTGAAGGGCGAGCGCGGGGCCGAGGGCAGGGCGACGACGACGGGCAAGCAGCCCGAGGGCAGACTCGGAGGATCCCAATAATAGCCATGGCTCGGCAGCGAGCCGGATATCAGGCACATGTTCTTCTCGAGCGAGTACAGGGCCGAGCGCAGGACAGGGCCGATGCGCAGAGCAGTAGTGATGCGGTAAAGGTACACCAGGGCCATCTGCAAGACCGAGAGCGAGTCGCGAGACTGGATAAGAAACTTTTTGATGATCTTGAAGATGGGCGAGGTCGTCGGGGCAGCCAGCGATGTCAGGAACTGCTGTGGGTACAGAGTCTCAAGGATGTAGAGATAGTAGTAGGCCACCGAGTCGGGATGTGTTGACTGGTCCGGGGTGGCCAGCGGGGCCGGGTATGTGGCCGGGTATGCGGCCGAGGGGACCATCTGCGGCCAAGTATGTTGGGCAGGATCGAGGGGAGTGGTGAGCATGGCAGGAGGGAGGCGAGAGAGATGATGGGCCGAGGGACAGGATTGTCAACAGGAAATGTGGACAGGAAATGTGGACAGGATTGTGGAAGAATTGTCAACAGGATTGTCAACAGGATTGTCAACAGGACTGTGGAAGGATTCACTCGAGGAGACAACAACGATGGCAATCACTATGGGAATCACTATGGGAATCTCAGAGAAAGGGATCACTTTTGTTGCTATATCGAGGCGCCCCTGGATTCTGGGGAGAGTGGAATGACAGACGGAGCGAGAGGCAAAGTATGTATCGAGCGGGTGTTTTGCGGCAACGGCCCAAGTATCGCAGAGCGAAACAGGCCAGACGCAGGATCGGCGTTGACTTGGAGCAAAGGCAGAGCAGAGGCGACCGGAGCACAGCGCAGCGACGAGAGACAGAGAGACAGAGTCGCAGGACGAACAGGGCTCCGGGCGGATGAGGGAAGATAAATGGTTTTTGGATGGGGGCGCTGGCCTTGGCTTTGGGCCGGCGCGGGTGTTGGCGAGACGCTCGCGGGGCCGCGGCGCAACCGCCATGCCGGGCAAGAGGCGTGCGGGAGGGTGGCAACAGAGCGACAGGCCCTTGTCGGGCGCGGCGGCCGCGCGGCTGGCTGCTGCGATGGGCGGAATGGCGATGTCGACAGTCGGTGGATGTTACGGCGGCCGCAGGGCAGCGAGCTTGATTCGCCTATGAGCAGAGCTGAATTAGACAGATTGAACAGATTGAACAGATTGAACAGATTAGACAGATTAGACAGATTGAACAGATTAGACAGATTAGACAGATTAGACAGATTAGACAGATTAGACAGATTAGACAGATTAGACAGATTAGACAGATTGAACAGTTAAAGCCGATTCGGCACACCCGGCTTGACAGGCAATGTCGTTCGTTCGGCACCATTGTCATTCCCTCTGACGACCCAACCCGGGCGACAATCATTCGCATTTGCAAAGTTAACAACATCAAGGTTTCCATCCGCCGCCGCCCAAGGCTGCTGCGATGCTGTCGGTGCTGTCGCGATTCCACCGGCGCACTCTTCGCTGGCAAATTTGCAGGCGCTCTCGCCGCCTGGCTCGCCCGTACTCGACCGCACGTGTGCTGTCTTCGCTCACTCGCCGGGGCTGGTGGATGGGGGTGGGGTGCAACCATGCGTCATCGGCAGCATACACAGGCCGCAGACCGCCTGCGATGTCCGCAGAAGGCAATGCGTGCTGCGATGGATGGATACCGACAGGCACGGAGTCAAGGGAACAACCTGCCAAGACGACCAAGGCGCGACGGCGATGATCCGGCGGCGTGGGAAGATGCCTGTTGTATTTCTGGTGCGGATCCGCACCCATCTCAGTCCAGTCCGTCCGGTGCTCTTGCCGGCCAAGCAGGACAGAGCCAGCCCAAAGATGCACAATCGCAACACCCAAGACAATCGCAACACCCAAGACAATCGCAACACCCAATACACTCGAGACACCCAATACGCACCGCACCGCCGGTTGTGCTGCTTCTCACTCGCGTCCCCCAGGCTTGGTGGCCATGGCCCCCGCGCACCCAGGAGCCACAGCCGGCCGCGCCGCTGGACAGAAACGTGTCGCCTGTGCGATGTCGTGATCGCTTGTGCGAGACAGCATCATCCGCGCACGTGCGCCAGCCATGCTGCCAAGCCACACGCCGGGCTGCAGCGTTTCCCCTGGGTCAACTGTGTCCGAACTTGGCTGCAAATGCCTGGTACTGCGCAAGCATCTCGTCCGACAGCGACGGCTTGACCACCTCCAGGGCATCGACAAAGTGCTTCATGTCCTGGACAAGCCATGCCGGGTCAGATCATATCAAAACTCAACTCAACTCAAACCAGGCCGTGTCGACCCAAATCAGGCCCAATCGGCCCAATCGGACCAAGCCAACCCAAGCCAAGGCTCGGCCACCGCGGCTCGCGCCTTGTCTCGACAGGACCACCCAGCCCGTTCATCCTCAGTTCGTCCGCTCTGGCCCAGGGGGGTCCCGGCTGGGTCCCTCGCCAATGCCCAGTCGTTCCTTTCTCCTCCACCGGGCCGGACTAATCTCCTTGGGCCCCACATGCGCGACTTACGATCTCGCAAAGACCTCCGGCCTGGGCGTTGGCGTTCTCCAGGCTCCCGATTTGACTGTGCTCGCGCAGACAGGCCAGCGCTGCCTCTCGGCAAACGCCCTTGAGGTCAGCACCCGTATACCGGTCCGTCTGCTGCGCCAGCGCCGCGAGGGAGACATTCGCCGAGAGCGGCGATCGGCGTGTGAAGATCTCGAGGATCTCCGTGCGCGACGACCCATCGGGCGGCGGGACCTGGATGGCATCAGACACAGCGAATAAGCCGACCGGATCAAGCAGGCTATCCAAGTGCGGGCGACATTGCATTGCAAACACATGCTGCATCGCTGCTGGCAGTCAGCAATTACATAGAGGACATGATCGAATCGCCCCGGCCGCATCAGAGCCGCGTCGACATTGTCCGGGCGGTTGGTCGCTCCCTGGGAAACAACAGTCGATATTAGCGTGGTGGGCCACCAGTCTTGCCTTCGCGCACATCCGGTCCTCGCACATCCACCCTCCGCAACAAGAGACACCCCTCGAGGTGGCGGAAACATCAGCCAGCCCTTACCACAACCAGTACTCCTTTGGCCAGCTCGATACCATCCATCTCGTTGAGCAGGGTTGAGAGCACTCGCTCCTGGACGACATCAGCACTGCCGCCTTTGGATCCTAGACCCCGGTTGCCAACAATCGTGTCGATTTCGTCAAAGAACACCACCGACGGCACACTCGCCCGGGCCTTCTGGAAGGCTTCGCGAATGGTTCGCTCCGAGTCGCCGACAAAGGCCGAGTACAACTCGGCTCCGTTGACCGATATGAACGTCGACCCGCTTGTCGCCGCTATGATCTTGACCAGGGTGGTCTTGCTGCATCCCGGCGGGCCATAGAGCAGCACGCCCCGGGGAGGCCGCAGTCCCAGACGGACAAACGACTCTCGGTGCTTCAGTGGCCACTCGACCGCCTGGACCAGCTTGCTCTTGATCTGTGCCAGGCCGCCCACGTCGTCCCAGGTGAGCTTTTCGAGGGTGCGCGTGACACTGCGGATGATCGAAGGCTTGAATTGTCCCAAAACCGACTCGAAATCCCGCTGCGTGATCCTTGGTGGATTCGTCGTCGTCGTCGTCGTAGTCGTCGTTGTCGTCGTCGGTAAGGTAGCCATACTCGCTGGACTGGCGCACCCTCTCTCGGCCACGAGGATAGCAACTTCACGACACAGTGCTGCAATGTCGGCCCCGACAAAACCGTTTGTCCGCGCCGCCAAGAGACCAAAGTCAACCTCGGGGACCAGAGGGAGCCCCTCGCTGTAGGTCCGAAATATAGCTAACCGAGCCGACTCGGAGGGCACCTCGATCGAGATTTCGCGGTCAAATCTTGAGCGTCCGAGAGTTGGCCCGGCGGGAGACCACCGAGTGGAAGACAAGGAAGGTGGGAATCAGCAACAGCGGCGACAGGGTCGCAATACGCCGATGACGACATTTGCACCTGCTATCCTTTGCGCGGCGCGATCCAAGGCCAATGGTGTGATGGGCTATCTGTGTGCCGAACATACCTGCCCGGCCGTCGCAGTGCCGGATCGATAGTGTTGGGGCGGTTCGTGGCCGCAATGACGACAATGCGACCTCGGTGCTTCATTCCATCCATCAATGTCAGCAGCTGGGCAACAACACGAGCCTCTTGAAGCCCCGCATCGTTTCGATTCGGCGTCAACGAGTCCTGCAGCATTCCATATCCATCAGAACAGGGGGCATCCGCAGCATGTAAGCTCATGGCACAAGCAGCAACTTGATCTGCACGAGGCAACTCAACTCCTCCACGGCATCGCCAAAGGCATGTGTGCGAGATATGGCTGGGTCGTGCTGTTCCTGCGTTAGCGCCACGGATCCCCCGAGCGATACGGCCCCATGCCCCCGTCCGTCGGTGACTTACAATCTCGTCGATAAAGATGATGACGGGCTGGCTCTGGCTCTTGGCCAGTTCCTGCGCTTCGCCAAAAGTCGATCGCAGGCGCTCTTCGCTCTCTCCGTGATATGCGCTGTAGACCTCGGGTCCATGGATGGAGATCTGGCCAGGGACAAACCGCGAGCAAAGTCAGGGTCGGTCGCAGCAGCATGTGGGGAATGGTGCAGCATTCGGGACCATTAGTTCGAGAGTGACTTTCGATCCATGCCCTTACCATCCGAGCATTGCATGCCTCGGCTGCCCTCCGAACCAAAAGTGTCTTGCCGACACCGGGAGGGCCATAGAGCAGGATACCTGCGGAAAACAAGCAAGCAAAGCCAAGACATCCAAGTGAGTAGATGGACGAGCAATAGACGAGCAAATGAATGTGCGATCGACTTTTGCCGCATGCATCCCGATCGATTGCCGCCAGTCGATCCATCGTCGCGCTGCCGCGATCCCGGGCTTGGGGGTAGGGATCAGTCGTTGATCTACCGCCATCCTGGCCGCTGTAGACAAATACCTTTGGGACAATCGATTCCCAGCGTCTCCACAAGGCCCGAGTGCTTGAGCGGAATCGTCACAACTTCGACCAGGTCCGCAAACGGCTTTTCGAGCCCCGGTGGCGGTCCTTGTGCCAGAGCTGTCCTCGATCCCGACATCGTGAGCTGCTCCAACTGCTCGGTCAGATGCTCGATCGAATCGGTGCTGGGGGCTGTGTCCGTCGAGGCCTGAGACGGAGAGGCCAGGATCTCAATCCTGGTTGCAGCGCCGAGCGCAACGATGCTGTTCGGAGGCGTTGTGCTGCGTATCTTCATTAGCACAGCGAATCGAATCGATTCCCAATAGATTGCGCATCGAAGCCAGAATGTGTGGTTGTGGTGTTTCAGACGGATCAGCGGCTATTCGAGACGAAGCCGCCGCTCTTGTGGAGTCGCTCGTGTGGAGTCGCAGTTGAGCCCCACGAAATGGCCCTCTGGACGCAGGAATGGATAGCGGCATTCATACCTCGATCCGGAGCGAGTGACCAGGACTTTCTTCGCCCAAGACACATCCCTCCGTGAAGATCGTATCCGAGAGCAGCCTTCGAAGCGTCTGCACCAGGTGCAGCAGCGAGAACATCAGCAACGACAGCAACCCGAAGCCATATTTGCGCCGCCAGCGAAGGACAAGAACCACACACCGCTTTCTTGGTATAGACGTCGGCCTGGGCATAGTCGAACCCGAGATCGCTCAGAAAGTCAACCTGCGTCTGGTTGACCTGGACGACGATGGCCTTGGCTGGCTCGATCTGGTGAGGCTGGATGAAGCGAACAGCACCTGCATCGAACATGGGCAAGAGATCCGGAGTCGATCAGAATATACCGAAACCAACTTGTCGCAGGGCAATCGGCAAATGGGACCGAGACCGTTGGGTCCAGAATGAGATGACGGCCTACACTGATCCAGAGCCAGTTCCTCGGCAGATGCTGAGGCATGATGGCGGCAGATGTGTTTGTCGATGCGACAGATGGACCGATCCCATATCGATGTCGATGCCGATGCTGATGCCGATGCCGATGTCAAGGCGAGCGACGGGAGCGGCCACCATCTGCAGTACACAGTTTGCGAGGGAGTTGCGACTTGGACCCATGCATTCACCGAGCTCGCAAGCAGATCCTCTGGGAGGCTGCCCTTGGAGAACCTGCATCGGGCCAGCCCCCGGTCCTCGGGCAGGGCAGACACGGCCCGAAAGACAAGTGGCTCCATTGGCCGAGATCTGGATATGGTCGGGGTGGAGGGGGAGGGAGAGGGAGATGGAGATGGAGATGGAGATGGAGTTGAACTGGGCGGGCAGGTGGCAGCTACACTTTATTCAGAAAAAAAACGGGACAATATAGCCGTTTCCATGAACATGTAGTATGTGCTGTGCTTGCGTCAAGCAAAGCCATAAGAAATAAAACAGATCACTTTGGCAGCCTCCGAGTGAAGACCGCCGGTCGCTCTCCGGTCTCCACAATCGACCTGCACACTGTGATCATGTTGCGCGCCGCATTGACGTCGCGATTCCACACTGTCCGGCAGCTGGGATTCTTGCAGCTCCTGACAAAGTGGGAATTCGCAACGCTGGGCGCATCGAGTCCTTCCAACCGAACTGGCTCCAGGCACTTGGAGCACACTTGCGAGGTGTTGAACTCGTTCGTCGAGACTACCTTGACGCTTCCATGATGGTGATTGGGACGGCGTCGGTGGTGCTCGAATTGCTCAAAGTACCGAGCAAACCGCTGCCTCCGAGGGCTGGATGCATAGCCCTTGCCCTGCCGCCATGACGCATTGCCAAAGGCGATCACCACATCGGTCCGTATCGGGGCGTGCTTCAGGACGGCCTTGCACATCCTGTCGACGGCCACTTGGCGTCTCCTGTGGCCCGTGAAGCGATGGTGACGGGCCTTCTTGCCAAGGTGGAAGTCGAGCTGCACTCGCAGCTCCGGTCGCAGGACATGGGTGAGATGGACCTTGAAGGCTTCCGAGGACGACACCTTGGGCGAGGGGGTGGTCGACATCCAGGTCTCGATGCTGAGTCGATACTTCATGATATTGTGCCAGTCGGTGTTGGACCTGTGGCCACACATGTGCTGGTAGTGGCCATTGGAGAATGAGACCACCTCGTCTTGGTGGCCCGGTGCTTGGATGACCGCCGTGAAGATGGAGCCGACTCCAGGATCGATGCCAATCCAAGTGGTGCGATCGGGGTCTGGGTCGCCGATGTGGGTCTGGGTACGCTGCTCGGCAGTCGGAGGAGGCTCGATGGTCTCGGTGTGATCGGTTCGACGCACAAACTTGACGAGACCGATGGTGCATCCAATGCCATCGGTGCTGATCTCGTAGTTGAACAGCTTCTTGTTCACGTCCCGCTCTTGGAAGAGGGAACTACGCAGCTTGAAGCAACTGCGCCAGAGACGATCCTGGTTGTTGACACCGTCATCACCTTCTTCCTTGAGCTTGTCCCGTGTGAATCCAAGACGATGTTCGGTGTCAAGGAGTTGCCAGAGAGTGACGGTGTCAATCTTGACATACTTGGCCGTGGCAGTGCATAGAGGAACTATCGTGCACACGGCCGGAGGAGTGTCGAGAGCGAGCTGCTTGAGTGCCCAGTTGATCCTGGCGGCCAGCTTGTTGATCTTGGACTTGGTGGTGCCGAGTTCAGACTTGGCCGTGGTGAACCTCTTGTCGTCGGAGGGAATGCCTCGGGCAGTGAGCTTGTCCAGCTTGGCCTGGCGCTGCAGCTCGGTGACTCGGAGGGCGGACATGTCACAGTCGATCCACTTGTGGACATTGTCGACCATCTTGTCTCGGGCGAGGATTCTCACATGGTGTGAGAGGCGATGGAGAGCCCGGAAGCGGTCCTGGTCGTTGCTGTACCGAAACTCGTCCAGGATATGGCCAAACTCGGGATAGAGGAACTCGAGATCGGCCTTGGGTGGTGTCTGCCCTGGTTTCTCGAAGAGCTCGAGACAGGCCTCGATGGCTTCGTGCTTATGCTTGTTGGCTGGGAAGACGGCAGCACAGAAGCGGCGAAGGAGTCGCCAGTAGGCCAGATTGAGGTGTGTCGTGCAGTTGGTGGCATAGGCATTGACAGCCAGGGTGAGAAGCTGACTGTGAGCACCATCAGGCAGACGAGGGGCCGGAGGCAGGTCTGCGTGCCGAGTGGACTGGTAGTCGCGAAAGGAAGCGACCAGATGCTCGTTGTATTTCTCATTGTCCCCGGTCGGGGAGAGGGCACCAGCCTGGACGATCGTGAAGCATTGGCGGATGAAAGCAGGGGTGGACTTGGAGATGACGGGGACGGGAAGATCCTGCTCGATGCACCGGAGGATGTGCAGGTTGAGCAGCCTGGATGCCTCGAACTGGATCTGTGTCATGGCCTCGACGGTGGCCTGGATCTTGTCGCGGAGAGCGGGATTGAGACAACAGCCATCCATCGTCTGCTTGAAGCAGCTGAACTGAGGGGCGGATGACCTTCCATCCACGAGTGGGACGACAGAACTCTTGAGAGGCCGGTATTTTGGACATTTGCTGGTGTTGCAACGTTCGTGATCGGTGCCATCGCACTGGCGACATCGCTTGCCGGTACTCGAGGAAGTAGATGGACCAGGCTCGGTGGGATCGACATCCATTGGATCTGCAGAAGCAGTGGTGGTGAGCGACGGAGCAACAGACGACCAAGCATGCGTGGGGTCAGAATACGAACCAGAGACCGGCTCCGACTGTGACTTGGCTTTCTTGGGCCTGGGTGGCCGAGGCTGGCCATCACCGGTACCCTTGCGCTTCGGAGGCATGGGGGCAGAGGATGGTGAATGCCTGCCAGTGGTACTGGTCAGAACAGAGACTTTCTTTATCGTACAATAGCGCGATGATCCGATCAAGGCGAGATGATGGAAGAAAGCAGCAGGACGAAGGTGTGGCATTTATACCCGAGAGCAGGAACCCGTCTGCGCGGGCTGGTTGGGGAAGCGACCCTGTTCAAAATCGCCGAGAGGTTCAAGCCAGGGATTTGGGCGTGAAAATGGCGGCTTGATTGGAGGGAACTCAACCCCAGAAGCGCATCGCTCGCTCAATCAGCCGTGGGAAGACATCTGGAAGCACCCTCCGAACGGCAGACTCGAACAGGGTCACCATCCCGACCCTGAACCCCTCGGATGCATTCAGCGCTGCTGCCTTCCTGTACTGATGCTTCACAATCCCAAAGAAGTTCTCGATGGGATTGAAGTCGAGTGAGGCAGGTGGGGTGAAGATCACTGACCATCCTCGGCGCTCGATGCAGTCCAGGACAGTCCTCGTTTTGTGCATGCTGATATTGTCCATCACAATCACAGAGTCGTCTGGGAAGCTCGCTCGCTCAAAGAACTCGACCATCGAGTGTGTCTTGAATGATGTGGGGATGTACGTGCGATGCAGCCGAGACGGACTTGTGTTTCATGTGATTGCGCTGGCGAAGCGGAGCACCCTTCGGTGAGTATCCGTAGAGAGGGAAAATGGATTTCCTGATCCCTGTCTCGTCGACAAAAACGAGCCGCCGTGGGTCGATGGAGCGGACCTGGTCCCTGAACTGTGCCACTCGCTCATCCAGTCGCTTGGACTTGTTGAGGTGTGTTGCCCTCTTGTGAGAGAGACCTGCTCGCTGTAGGGCAGTGTGGCAGAGTGAGAGTGATACTTTCCTCTGGAGGATGGACTCGAGCTTGCATCGCAACACAGGACCAGTCTGGAACGGGTCCTGTTCAATCAGGGTGCGAATGACTGGACATGCCTGCTCGAAGAAAGTGGATCTGCGAGCTGGGACCCGGGATGGGTCATCCAGCTTGCATCCTCGGTGCCATCGATGGATGGTGCTCTTGGACACACTGAAGATGGAGGCGACCTTACGCAGGCTATGGATGAGGGCGTAGCATCGCAATGCGGCGGTGCGAAAGTCGGATGTGTGGCGAATGGTCATGGCCAGCGCGCGATAACATTGGGTAACAAAATATTCGATGAATGGTCAAAAACCCGGGTGTCCCGTTTTTTATTGGATTGCCTGTAAATGCGGTTTTTGGGAACAAAGACCCAGGGTATATGACATTTGCTTTCTCCACAGCGCTGTCCAAAGACAGGAGCGCAATCTCATGGTCTGCCCACCGGGGCCTACAGATCACTGCGACGAACGCTCAGGAACACACTGCCCCGTTTCGCTCTGAAGAAGCTGTATTGCCTGTGGATCCACATCCAGCTCTATGGGCACAACAGAGACCAGAGTCTGTGCGGATGAAAGGGAGGGTGCGATCTTGCAAGATGTGTGCTTGTGGAAGGTATCAGAAGTGAGGAAACAAAGTGATGGTGTCGACAAAGACTGGAGCAAAGCTGGGGTATGGACACCAATGGTGCCTCGATGACATGATAACATACATGGTGTCATGAAAAACACCCGATCTGGTATGCGAAGATCCAATGAAAGAAATGACAACAAAGGCCAAAGCGACATTGGCAGTCGATTCGCCAGGGTTTTGTGAAGCGTCGCTCCTGCTATGAGGAGCCATGATGGCGACCAGAGTGCTGCGGGCCTCCGTTAGCCGGTACCGATGAGCATGCTGGCCGCCGAGTCTGGGAATTGAGCGGGTGATTCAAGCCGATAACTGACCCCAGGACTCACGGCCGTGCGATAGGCGGTGCGCTGCTCATAGAAGCAAGGCCGGAGCCGAGGTCCTTGCCGTCAAATTAGTTGATTAAGGGGGTGGGATGGGGAGTCGACGCCCGGGCGAAATCGGATTCCGCGGCTAGCCCGGCTCGGTTTTGCCTCGGAGGATCAGCCAGAGAATGACCATGCGTCTGTGTGTCCTGTTCATGTGACTGACGACGTTCATCAGCATATGGCCCAGCTTGGATCGGTACAGCCGGATGGCCAGGAGGCGCATGTTGCGGTCGTGAGGGCTTTCGTCCTCGAACGAGAGTGTGGGATGGTCACTTTGATCAGCATCTTGTGTTTCAAGATGCGCCGAGCGAAGGGCGCTGAGCTTTGCGGGTGTATCGACCCCCGAAGCGCTCGGGGCATTCGGGAGGCTGTCGTTGGATACCGACGCTCTGGTGAGGGTGTTGATGGCGCTCGGTGATTCTGAGCTGGAGGGCTGGCCTGTGGGAAGGCACTCTGGAGGCATACCAAGGGGGTGCGGATCGATCTGTGAGGTTTCTTCCTTGGGGCACTTGGCGGTCTTGTTGGAGGACCAAAAGCTCTCCGGGATGTATCGCTGGAAGAGGCCGCTGTTGATGATGGTGTTGTATGCGGTGCGGAGCTCAACCGGATCAACCTCGGAGGGGGCCCGGGAGACCCGGATCAGGTCCACGGCCTTGAGAAAGTTGATCCTGAGCGACTTTTCGATCTCGAACTCGACAACACGCTCCTCGTATGTCAAGAGGGGGGCTTCAGCATCGGTGTCGGTGACGAGGCGTTCGTACATGGTTACTTTGCGGGGGGGGAAGCAAGTGTGCGGGCTACTGGGAGTAGCAGTGGAGATGGTGAGGTGAGCAGTGGAGATGGTGAGGTGAGCAGTGGAGATGGTGAGGTGAGTAGTGCAGACTTTTGGCGTGGCAGAGAAGGAAGGCTCTGGAGGTTCTCGGGTTGTTGGCTTTATTCTGGTGTAGTTTTGGAGAAGAGACTTGGGTATGTTGGCGAAAAGGGATGGGGCGGAATGAGGCGTGACGCTTTATAGGGTGCAAGCCCGGCCGCGATCAGCAGCGACCTGCAGCCACGACACAAGGCACAATCTGCGGATCCAAAGGAAAATGGTGGCGGCAATATGCTGAGCCCCCACGAGGCCGCCAGGAGCAGGAGACACGGGGAAGAGGGCACATGGCGGCTGTGGGGGACGTCAACAGTATAGCGGGTGAGCAATATTGATTGCCGTGAGCAGCCGGGGCTGGTCGGCTGAGCCGATCAGGCCTTGCTCGGAGACACAACCACACGGGTGGGATTGCGCGATGCATCCATGTTGGGTCAACAAACATCGACGGGGCCGGTCCTGTGACAAGGGGCAGAAAGGCCTGGTCCCTGCATTTCCGATGGGTGGGCGATACCCGAGCCGGCGTGTTGTGAATGGCATTGTTGTAAACCGACAGGGACGAAGATGGGCATCGACAGGGTATCGCCGCTGGATATGAATAGCAACAGAGCAGTGCCAGCCATGAACGCCGACGCGGATGCGGACCATGAACTGGCCCCGATGCGGCCCGATGGCCCATCGAGTCCATCAGAGCCCGGGGAACATGGCCGGCCAATGCGGGGACGCATCCAGGGCACCGGCCCTGTGATCAGGCCACAGCCGATCCCGGCCGATCCCGGCTGATCCCGGCTGATCCCGCGCTGCGGTGGCGTTCCAGACGATTCTGCGAGCAGAGAGGTGACTCATGTGGGTGCGTTGGCAGATCGACGGGGCGATCAAATGCCCGGGTCAGCTGCAGTGACCGACTGCCACGATCAACTGCCACGATCAACTGCCACGATGAGGGCCGAGAAGGCAAAGGAATGCACCCCCCGCCGCCAGACACAGCCACAAAGGCCGCTCCTTCGCCCAGCCCCGCATCTCCGAGACATGCTCTGTCCAATCTCGCCATGTCCATGGTCGACGTCCAGCCTCTCAACATCCAAGGCCTGCTGGGAGCCGCCCAGTTGGATCGCTCGGTCACCAGCGAGGCCCACACAAAGTGCACCCAGTGGAAGGGCGAGATTGCTCACAGCGGTATGGCTGGCGGCTTCGTTTGGGGCATCATCTGTGATCGCATCGTCGTCTGTGATCGCATCACCATCCATTGACATCCATCCAATGCCCTCTGATCCACAACACACTCCTGTGCAGACTTCCGGGTGGGCAAACTCATGAAGGCTTTGAAGGAGTCGGGATGTCCCTTCACCCAGCAGCACCTGGTTTGCACCGTCTGTCCCCCTGGCAGCGCTGGAGGATTCCATCCAGAACACGGGGTAAGCGATCATCCATCCATCCATCCATCCCGCTCCCTCCCCAAGAAGCGAACAAGAGCACGAGCCATAAGCGAGCTGCTCGGCCCTATCTTGCATCAAGTGGATCGCCAAACTGCATGCGTCTCATTCAGCGCCCTTTCCGCTCACGCTGAACTGCTCGTCTATTCTTCCGTGTGGCTTTCGCTACCTATCCTTGCGGATGCCTTGCCCTCCCTCTCTTCTCGATACGACTCTACCCTCCAAGATCATCCTGTGCGAAAACACATTCAAGGAGAAGAGCCATATGGCCGAGACCCTTGCCCACGAACTCGTCCATGCCTTTGACTATTGCCGGGTCCGCTGTGACTGGAACAATGTCCGGCATCATGCCTGTACCGAAATACGGGCGGCATTGTTGAGTGGCGATTGCTCCGTCGCCCGCGAGCTCAAGCGAGGCAACTTCAACATCCAGGGGCAGATGGAGGTAGGTCCGTCTTTTCGATCTTCTCTGTCGACCCATTGATGTGGCTCCCTCCTTCTTGCTCTCGCTCTCCGCATCTCCCACTCGCCATCCCGTCGAGACCACAGAGTCTGAGCTCACCGCCGCTGCGGCTCTGCTTTGGGGCTTCCCGTCTGCCCAACCCAGAAATGCATCAAGCGGCGAGCAGCTCTGGCAATCTCGATCAATCCCAACCTTCCTGCAGGCTCGGCCGCCAAAGTCATCGACGAGGTCTATGCGACCTGCGTCAACGATACTGCCCCGTTCAGCCCTTCGGATATCGATACGCATATGCTCTGACACCGCAACCGCAACCACAACCGCAGGCAATTCAGCCGGGCAGGCAAAGGGCGGCTGTTGCTGTTGCTGTTGCTGTTGCTGTTGCTGTTGCTGTTGCTCGCGGATGCACTCACATTGCGTGCCAACATCCAGATCCAAAGATCCGTTGGCCCGTTATCTCGACGCAGCGAGCGGAACCCCGGGCAAACACAACAGACTGTGGATCAAGATGCATGCGGCACCGAGTGCAGCGGTGCAGAAACCAGGAGCAGCGGATGGTCGTTGCAAATGATGAAAGTGCTTGTATTCGAGATCAAGAAAGGACTGGGTGTCGTGTCATATTTCGATTGGGACGAGTTATACTCCAGAATAAGGTCATCTACCTCAAAAACATGGTCTCCCCTGTGATTTACACCAGAGACCTCTGGCGCCGCATCAGTGTCCCCGCTTTTCTCCTCCCCAGTCGTCGGCGCCCCTCTGTCGCTCATGGTCTCCCTTCTTCTCGGATGGTCTTCCGTCGACGGCGCCCCTGTCAGAGCCCGGGACGTTTCGTCGTCGGTTGACAAAGAAAGTGGGGCACTGGCCGTTGGAGGTTTGTTCATCCACAATCTTCAGCTGGTTGCTTCGCAGCGTGTCGAGTCCAGGAATCGTCTCCCACCGGATCGGCTCGGGCGACGGATCGCTGTCGAACGAGGACTCGAATAACGGCTCACGGGCAGCTTGTGCGTCGAGTCGCAGCTTTTGCAGCGTGCATCGATGGAGCGGACTGTGGTGGTAGTCCTTTTGCCTGCTATCGACGATGGCTTGTCTCAGGACCCGGCACAGCTCGAGTTTGGACATGGGCTCGAGGCCAATCTTGCTCATGGCCAGGGACCAGTTGTTGACCGTGTAGATCTCCTGGACTTCTCGCTGCAGATCGGCGAGAATCGCTGGGCGCGGGTATCCGTACCGGCTCATGTAGATTTCGTTGCGCTCCTGGAGATTCTGGGCATTCTCCAGCCGGGATATCACCCGGATCAGATAGGCATGGAACATGAGCATCCGGAGCGAGGTGATGGCGCTCTCGAAGGTCTCGAGGAGCCGGAACTCGGATACTTGGTCGTCGCTCTCGAGATACGCCAGATAGGGTTTGTTGCCGTGCTTGGGATCCAACATCCACACCACCGATCGGCACAATGTCTCGAGAAAGACGGGCTCGATAACAGCTCTCCACTGGTCCTCGGGCTGGTCGCAGATGCTGAGGTAGGCATAGAACTCTCCGAGGTTGGGGACGAACGACTTGTCGCGCGCCGAGGGGTCCTGCAAAAAGGACGAGATGGTGTTGTTCACCCATTCGAGGATGCCGGGGTACTCGAGTGTCAGCCGGGTGAACGAGTGAAGCATGAGAAAGTAGCCGATCAGGGCTACAATGGCGATGGACAAAGCCGAGGATCGAAGATCGGAGAGGTACGCAAAGGCAATGGCGTTAGCGGCAATCGCATGGTCAACCAAATACCCTCCCCCAGTCGCTGAAAGATGCGCCGCCAAGAAACGTCATGAAGCCACCGGTGCGGATGTCCGATCGCAACGGAATGATCCAAATCGAGCATCCAGAGTGGTCCGCAAACAAGCCTACCTTTCTCTGAGGCATGCATCATTGACTTTGTCCTGGCGACTTGGCCGGGGGCGAGATGATCTGTCGTAGCCCCAGCGTCTTCAGCAAGCAGTGTCGACTCGGAGCTTGAGCGGGCTGGTGGCTCATGGAAGCCAGGCGGGTGCGCCGGACTGGTCTCTTTCATGAATCGCACCACCAAGCCGTTCATCAGCAACGGAAGCACCTGAACCACAAGCAAGGGATCAAAGCTGCGACGTCGCCGCGACTCGCCGCTGTGAGTAAAGGCGGCGGTAAACTCCTGTAGCACGCCCAGCGATCGTCGAAAGTGGTACTCGGTCAGCACCAGCGGCAAGAAATGCGTGAAGCGCTCGTTCCATGAGCTGGTGCGGATTCGATGGGGCGGCGAAAAGGCCTCGTACGAGAGAAGATCGAACTCGACGGGACGCACGGAGGGGCTGTTCTTGTAGTATCCCCTGACGCCGATGCCGAGGACAACGCTGTTGGTCTCGCGCAGCGGGGTCCGCAGGAAGAAGCAACGCAGCTGCCGCTTGATCAGGAGGTGGTGAGCATTGGCAATGTCGCTGAAGGGCTTGTATGCCTGCATCAGATGCTGCATGCTTTGGTCCGAGAGCCAGTCCGCTATCTGCAGCCAGATCTCGGGCTTGGTATTGATGCGAGCGAGGACCTTCCGCAGCCTTGCCCTGTCCTGCGGGAGGCTTGGGGTGCTCTCGACCAGGGGCTCGGTTACCTCCGAGGTCGAGCATACGGATTGCATCGCTCCGTCGTTGTATCCACACTTGGTGCACGAGAATTGGACAAGAATTGCACGGCACTCCTCGAACAGGATCTGCTCCGGGGTCATGGAGGCCGATTGCCACTTGAATCCCCTCCGTGGTCGAACCACCTGGGTGATGCGGCCGCTGGTTTGCTCAACTGCGAGGAGCAGCGGCGGCGATTGATGGCAGGGTGGCCGAGGGATGGCGAAATGTGGATGGAGGCGAGAGAGGCGGATTGTGAGATATGGCTGCAAAAGTTGCGACAGATAAAGCCCAGACTCCCCTTCCTAGCAATGACAAGCTGACGGGTGGTCGATACTGGACAAGTATGCATCGGGCATACGGAGACAGTCAACCGGATCTTACCATTCCGGCTCATGAAGAAGCTGAGCAGCTGGAGAAATACGCTCTGCAGACTGTACATTGGACACCACCTGTTTGCAGCAAAAGGCGAGTCAGATACCCAGACCACAAGGGCCACTGAGACCGTCCGCAGATTATCGATGTCGCCGAAAGGATACGCCATTGGCTCCAACGACATCGCGACGATGAATCGGACGAGGGCGGGACTGCAGAGCAGCAGGACAGCAGGACAGCAGGGCAGCAGGACAGCAAGGCAGCAGGGCAGCAGGACAGCAGGACAGCAGGAGCTGGCTCCACCCCCGACACAAGCCCACGCCCAGCGTTTCGGGCGACATGGGATCGTTTCAGCACTGCAGCAGCTGCATGGGATCGCCTTACCCGCCTCGGTACTCTGGGTTGCTCTCGGCATCGGGATCGGTCGGGAGCAGAATGTCGCAGCATAGCTTGCCATCGACGACGTTTGGGTGCGGAATGGGGGACGAGATTTTAATGATGGGCGGAGACTTTGGATAGGACTCGGGAATGGTGACTGAGAAATGGAGCCGGAGCTATGGTAGAGCGGGGATTGAGCGAAAGTAGGTGTTAACATAGGAAGATCGATTGGACAGACGACGGTGGCTTCTTCGCCATCGTGCTTGATGTCAAATGGGCGCCGACAGAGAGAGTAGCGGTAGGCCCTGGCAAAAGGGAGCGAAAGAGGGTGGACTGGCGAGGGAGCGGTGCCAGAACGCATACAGGCGGAGTGTTCTGACCGAATCCATGTCGAAACCACAACGTACCCCATGGAATGGTCCTTCGGTTGGCGAGAGAGTCAGGCACATGGAGGAAAAGTCCTGGTCATCAAAGTGGGCAGCAATGCCCACGATCGGCTCATCGGTGAGCACCTTGATTTCCAGAGGGAGTCTCCGGGCGCGCGAATCAGCCATGTCGAAGAGGACGGATACGCCAACGGGAATCGTAGAGGAACGGCACTATGGCAGCGGACGACTAGGATCGTGCTGGTTGAGAGCAGGGACTCTGGTGTGGACCTTGGAGCGTTGCAAGGTGACAGGTAGCTGGCGCTTGGAAGGGAGGGGTGGTGGGACGGTTAAATGATCAAAGCCAAGTCCGGGCCAGGTCGAGGTGTTCCAGGTGGAGGCGAGACAATGAAGCCGAAAGGCAGTGCTCCCAGCAGCGGCCGATGGAATGGTTCGGAACGTCGGTGGAATGGCCAGGAACAGCCGGCGTGGCCAAGTCTGATACAAGCGAGCGGGACAGCAGCACGGCTTGCGTTCTGCTGCGGCTGTACTGATCCTGGGGGGAGGGGTGACCGCAAGAGTGTTCTCGTGAAGGCGATGGTATCAGCGACGACGGTCAGCGGGGCTCCAGGATCGACAGATGGGATGGGGATCGGTCGCGGGTTTGGCCAAAGAGGACACAGGCCATGCACCCGCAGCGAGGCCGATGCGCGGCGAGAGCGCTCTCTCTGTGCAGCGAGAGGGGCGAGGACATCGATTGTATCCCGGCTGCTGCTGGACCACCATGCCGTCGCCGACGCAGACACTGCCCAGCAGACGAGGCCGAGCGGCGCAGCGGCGCAAAGCAATCGGGCGGGGGGGGGCCGACAGATACCATGGCGGACAGGCGCTGCGCGGGATCTTATGATGTGTGCGATCGGGTGGTGCGGAATCGGGCGGTGCGTGGGAACAAGCGGTGTGCGTGGAAGGAGCCCTGGCGACCGACGGCCCAGTGCCGGAACTCGCGGCGACTCGGGCGACCTTGCTTGGCGACAATGGGGCTGCTCAAAGCACTCGATGTTCATCCTCCGTTGTGCTCCCGCAAGAGGAGCGCCATAAAACTGATCGAGGACCATCGCAAAATGGACATGGAGTGCTCAGGTTGGGTTTCTGGGTGCTGCAGTTTAGCAATCGAGGCAGTGAAGATGTCGGCCACGAAAGTCGTCATTGCCAATCGGGCAAGTCTCATACATAGCCCGGCAGGGATCAGCAGACCGGTTAAACAGCAGTCACGTATGATCGCCGAGAACATAGACCATAAAATTGGGGTGATGCGACCGTGGATGTCTATTGCACCGGATACAAAACGGCGGCGACCAATGCCAGGCCAGTCTGCCCTGGCCCAGTCAGGCACTTTGAAGCGCATTGACTTATTCTGGACGAGTAGCGACCGGAGCCGGCATTGGATGGCCCAAAGCACACCACCGGACAGTGACACGGCTCTCTGGGACAGGCCGGCAAGCTCAACACGTGATAGACATCGTCTTGATTGGCGTGTGGCGATGCGGTGGCAGTATTGGCTCTCATATCCAGGCGGCTGGTGTGCGGCTGGTGGGAGTTTGCCGAGCTCCTGTCTGGGACAGCTTGGCGCTGACTCGCCCGGTATTCGCCCAGCACTCGCTTAGTACTCGCTTAGCACTCGCGTAGTATTGGCTTGATACGCGCATATCCATGCATCGATTGAGCAGCGCCGGAGCTGGACAACGCATCGCCATGATGCCGGTCAACAGCCTCAGCGTCGATTCAATCTGCCCATCAATCCCGCGCGCTCAAATCAGAGGCGGTTCGGTATGCTCTCTGAAGACATGGCTGCGAGCGAGGACCCGAGGCAATGCCAATCCGACGAGCCCCAGTCATCCGTCATGCGTCGGGTGGAGCAACCGGCCTCTTTGAAACAGCTTAATACAACTCGCTTCTCAAAGATAACTGTGCCCCCAATGGACCACTCGCATCGTGGCAGGTGCCCATGGTGCATGTCCAGAACGCCCGTCGACAATCGCTGTCGACCCACCCTTGCCTTGGGCATGGCTCGTCGTCCTCCGGGAGGCTCCGTGGCAGGCCACCCCCCACCACAGCGTTACCAGCGGAATTGGTATTCCTCAGCAGAAGCCATATCGCTGTGCTCATATGACCACGAGACTTTCCGCTTTCCGTCACGGGGTGCCATTGGATATCCAAACCGTCAGCGAGATTGCCAAGGACGCTCGCATTTTGCGGGAGGCACCTGCGTCAGCTGCTGGTGCTCGGCGGCGTGTGTGCCCATGTTCGGTCGGCTCAAGGATGCGGGTCCAAGAAGCATTTGCCTGACAGAACAGATGCACCCGCGTTCTCACGCTGGCACATGATCGATGCGGCACTTCCACTGCCCCCACACTCACCAGCCCAGTCAGCATTCCATCCCCAGTTGTAAGTATCTTTGCGGGGCTGGTACATTGATCGAGTAAGCGAACCCACACCCGACGTTTGTCAGCACACCATGCAGCGAGGTTGCTGTCTTGCATGCGTTGTCGTCGAGAGTCGAGTGCATATAAACTCGTGCATCACGGAACAGCTAGACTCCTGCACCATCGATGCTTTCCATTGGGGGCGTATTGCATCGTCCGCCAACATGCACATACTCGCCTCCGAGCCTTCGGTCGCTTTCCACAATGCGCACTGGCAGACCGCCGACCCCTCCCTGTCTGGCATCGCTGCTCTGGCTCAGCACCCGCCAGCCATGGACGCTGCGCCAGCAGATTACCAGCTGTCCTCATGACCACCGCCGCAATAGTCCATTTGGTTACATCCAGCACAGAATACACCCAGCGCCATTCATCAACTGAAGTGCACACTGCCGTCTGCCTGCATCTTCCCCGTCGGCAAAACACTTTGCTGCTTCTCGCGCCGGGTCCCGTCCTTTGCGTTCATTCATTCGGATGCTTCCTCGGCGGCACCATCTCCATTTGGGGCGTGATCCCTCCACTCCGCTGCACTCCCGCATGACCAACTGGATCCACCTCGCATCCTGCGTGCCGCATGGGGTTCCGAGGGCCATAAATACCGATGCAGTTCCCAGCCTCCTTCGACCAGCACCACATCCGCCGAGCTCGACCAGCCGCCTCTTGGAGCAACACCCGCCTCTCCACTACTCTAACCAACCCTCCTCCAGCCATGCTCTCGCTCAAGTCCTCTGTTGTCCTGCTCCTTGCCCTCGCCGGAGCTGCCTCGGCTGCTCCCAAGCGCAAGAACACCGTCCCCCACAAGCCCGTCGTTGCTCCCACCAAGCCTGCCATTCGCCAGAAGGGTATCCACTACAAGGACGGCATCTTCCCTGCCCCCAAGGTCGAGGAGATTGCCGCTGCCTCGTCCAACGGCCTGACCTACTACGGCGGCCCGGTCATCGCCAACATCGACGTCCACCCCATCTACTACGGCGGCAACGTCAACTACCAGAACGAGATGGATACCTTCTACGGTGCCATCGTTGGCTCTCCCTACATCAGCTGGCTCTCCGAGTACAACACCCCCACCCAGAACATCGGCACCGGCACCTTCTCGGGCTCGATCACCCAGAACTCTGGCCTCAGCACCTCCACCACCGATGACAACATCAAGGTATGCTTCCTGTTCGCGCTGTGTTGGCTTGTATTGCACCCAATTGAGCGATGATTCCCACTCGCTCGGGCACCCTCGATTCACTACATTACTCGATCCGAACTGCTTGCTCTGCCTGTGACAGTTCCAGCGACATCTCACACGCTGTTACTAACTGGCTTGCATATACCCCTCTTCATTGCAGACCTGGCTCCGCGGCCTTGTCCAGAGCGGTACCCTCAAGCCCACCACCAACACCTACTACCCCATCCACTTTGCTCCTGGATACTCCATCTCCATGGGCTCCGACTCGTCCTGTGTCCAGTTCTGCGCCTACCACGGCACCATCGATGTCTCCGACATCAGCTCGACCAAGTACCTCTACTACGGTGTCATGCCCGACCAGGGTGGCTCTTGCGCTGGTGGCTGCGGTAGCAACCCCTCGACTCTCAACAACCTCCAGTCCGTCTCGTCCCACGAACTCGTCGAGGCTCTGACCGATGCCGCTGTCGGTGTCGCCACCGGCAGCACCATTGCTGCTCCCATTGCCTGGTACAATGAGGCCAACGGCGAGATCGGTGATCTCTGCAATGCCCAGCAGGCCACCGTCTACGGCACCGACGGCAAGAGCTATATCGTCCAGAAGCAGTGGTCCAACTCCCACAACGGCTGCTATGCACCCACCGGTGTCCAGCCCTCGCAGTCCAGCGGCCCTGGACCGGTCGTCACCACCACCGGCCCCGCTCCTGTTGCCACCACCACAGATCCCGCCCCTGTTGCCACCACCACCCCCGGTGACTTCAGCGCCAAGCCTAGCAAGGGTAGCTCCTGTGCTGGCGGTCCCAAGTTTGCCTGTGGCAACAAGAACGACGTTCTCCACTGCTTCCACGGCAACTGGGCCCAGCTGAAGGTCTGCTCCAGCGGCACCAGCTGCATCGAGGATTTCTACTACTGCGCGTAAGGCTCATGCCAGTCCCTCGAACCTGTGATTATTTGGCCATGAGCTTTGATCCGAACCAACTGAATGTGCTTGAGCCGCTGCGCGACCTCGGTGCTGTCAGTCAATCCCCCTTCCACTTCCTCAAAAAATAGTCTTTGTACCAACCGTCCCTCCCCCGCGATCGCCACAACCAGTTGCACTCAATCTTGCAGACTGTAATGGGTTGTTTGATGAATATACTTCACTGGAACAGTGTACTCCGCTGGAGCCCGCACCAGCTGCCCCTCTCGCCTGTCAAGGGCGGCCACGCCTTCGTTGGGATGCCGATCGGTTGCGGCATGGCCTGGTTGAATGGAGCGCTCGGGCTGACAACAGCCGGCTGTACAAGTACATTCTTTTGTTGCTCTGCTTGCCCACCCGCTTCTGGGACCGGGACAAGCACCCCCTGTGCCGACCGTCCTGAGTTGCGTGGGCTGGTGGCTCGTCGGGCTTTGTCTGCCGGGTGGCGCCCGCTGCGCGCCCTGTGGAAGCCCGACCTGTGTGACGCTGTCTGCGCCATCCGGTGCAACGTGCTGCGCACGCACCCGCGTCTGTGCAGCACAAGGACGCGCCTTGCGCCCCGGGGCTGGCATTCGTCCCACCGCGTGGTTACTGCCAGTGATTTCCATGGCGCCGCCCTTGGCAAAAGTCTGGGCATGGGTCGGTGCCGGCCAGCGATTTGGGCTTGGCGCCCGTATTTAAGGAGCGCGGGGGGGCGGCTGCGGTTCTGTCGGCACAGCGACCGCCTCATCCAATCAACCAAACCCGCTCCATCCCTCTCGGCTGTCTGTTCCATGACTGGTGATCCCAAAGCCCAGCCGCCGGGCAAGAAGGCTGCAACCTCGTCCCCCGGCAACCCCCTGGACTTTTTCTTTCTCATGTGGCTCTCGCCGCTCCTCAAGACCGGCTACAAGAATCCCCTGGTTGAAGAAGATCTCTATGTGATGAAGGCCAAGAGCACGGCCGAGTCTCTGACTCGGCAGATCCAGCCCTTCAACGACCAGCTGGCCCGCTATCTCCAGCAGAAGAAGGCTGCCAGTGGCGACGGAGGTGCCGACGCCAAGGGCGTTCGCCCACCCTCGCTGTTCCCGGTTTTCGTCCGGCTCTTTCTCGGTCGATGGTGAGGACGGCCCGCCGAACGCCCGCTTGGGCGGTTCGTTTGCTGTCAAGCGAAGGGATCGCTATGTGGTCGCTATGTGGTCGCTGTGTGGTCGCTGTGTCCAGTCTCGCCCGGCCATGTTGCACCTGTGGTACCTGAGCATCCTGGCTTCCCGTGATCGATCCAGAGCGCATTGCTATGGACAGCTTCTCGGCCCGCCCCGCCCTCTAACCGAGTCCCTGTGACCCCGCTATCTGCCCACGCAGGCTCGTCGGCTTCTTGATGTGTGTCATTTACAAAATCGGCATCGTCTGCACTCCGATCCTTCTCCGCCAAGTGATTCTGAGCATCTCTGGCGAGCCCGCAATCATCGCCAATCCCTATGGCACCTCGGTTCTGCTCTTCCTCTGCGTCCTGCTCTCCGCCGTCATCGGCGGTGCAGAGAGCCAGATCATGATCAGTATTGCCATCGACATACGCACGGCTGTGACCGGACTCATCTTTGAAAAGTCCTTCAAGCTGTCTCCCAAGTCTTCCCTTCTCTTTCCAGAGGTGCGTGTGCGCATGCATTTTGATGTGCCCTGTGTTTGCTGGCCCGTACGTCGCCATGCTGACGTGCATCTGCTTCCGCCTACCCCCTGCTCCGGAATGAAGGGCAAGCAACTCGCCTTTGTCAATGTCGATGCCCAGCAGATGTACCAAGCAGTCATGTCTCTCGACAGCGCCATCACTGACATCTTCCAGGTAACTGCAGTCACTGCACAGCCACGGATACCGCCATTCCCAGCAATTTGCCTTCTATTGCACACAGCAGCAGTGTGGAGTCCGATCCTGTCGGGTCGCAGTCACGTCAGAACGATACCTAGACATAACCACCTGCCTCTCCCATCTAGGTCGCTGTGATCCTGTACCTGATCTGGTCGCTGATCGGTCCCTCAGTGTTTATCTCCATCGGTATCGTCCTGGGAGGCTTCGTATTCGCTGGCGTGTGTGCCGTGTTCATATCTCGGTCCCAACGAAACATGCTGAAGCACAACGATAGTCGTATCCACCTCATCCGCGAGGTGTTCCTGAATGTTCGCATGATCAAGCTGCGCGGCTGGGAGAGTATCTTTGAAGGCAAGATCGATGGCATCCGGTAGGTCTGCTCTCGGTGTGCGCTTGGGTTAGCGATCGGTGTGACCTGCATGTGGACCCTATGAAGGACCGGATGGAAGGCGCTGGAGTCGATTGAATCGCTGGCATCTATCGAGTTGCCGGCAGCAGATCCGACATCTCGTTGGCTTGCCGTGCACAACTATGCCCATCATCTGCCATTGACTGCTGACGGCATTGTATCCATCCATCCATCCATCCATCCATCCATCCATCCATCCATCCAGGCAAAATATGCTCCGAGCGCTTGCCGGCTTTCTCGTTAGTCTTTTGGCCATCATCTCGGTCATTATTGTATGTATGACTTGGTCCGAGGACGATTTTTCAGACCTGACACGGCTGTGAAACCGACAAACCGTAATGACCAACTAATCGCCCCCACCATCCTCCACGGCACGCATCCAGTCGGTTCCCATGCTCCTTCCGGCGATCAGTTTCATTTTCTACTCTGTAAGTTTGCACGCACAGACAAGCTCGTAGGAACAGGAGCCAGCATCTCCACAAGTGCAAGACAAGTACAAGTGCTTGAAATGCCACTGCTCCCGCTCCTGATTTCTAACGAACATCACTGCTTCTGCATCCGTAGAGATTTGGAAATGTCCTGAGACCCGAGAACATCTTCCCGGCCATTGCCCTCTTTACCATGATTCTCCAGCCTCTCAATGACCTTCCCCAGACTATCGGGTAAGGCTCGCTCCCTGTCTCAACTGCATCGATCTTGGTCCGGACTGCATGTGCTCGTTTCTAGCCATCCATGGCTCAGTGCTTCGACTAACACACGTTGCTGTTCATTTCTGTGGATCAGCGCAATTGTCCAGGCACAGGTCTCTTGGGCTCGTCTCTCTGCCTTCTTTGCGGCAGAGGAACTCAGCGACGCTGAAATTGCCGCGAAGCGCGAGCAGCTCCCACTCGTCGATGATGAGTATGCGGTGGTGATCACCGACGCTACATTCAAGCACGAGGATCCCATTCCGAGTGTGCCCAAACCGGATCCCAAGGCAAAAAAATCGAAAAAGGGCAAATCCAAGCCAGGAAACGCCACGAACGAGGATCCTGTGCCCGAAAACGTCGCGGACCAGTCCGAGTCCAAGGTTGCCACTGAGCCCATTTCCGATGAGCCTCTTGCTACCAAGCCCATCTTCGAGGGCCTTAGTCTCAAGATCAAGAAGGGCCAGCTGACTGCCGTCGTCGGTCGTGTGGGCTCGGGCAAGTCCTCGCTCCTGAGCGCTCTGATGAACCAGATTGCCAAGCTCGAAGGCACGGTCGCTGTCAATGGCCAGATTGCGTACTGCTCGCAGCAGCCTTGGATCCGCACCGCCACGCTGAAGGACAACATCCTATTCGAATCGACGGAGCAAGACGATGAGCGTCTTGGCAAGGTGGTGGTTGCCTGTGGCCTCGAGAGAGATCTCACGGAGCTGCCCAATGGTATCCTGACCGAAATCGGCGAGAAGGGCGTCAACCTCTCTGGTGGCCAGAACGCCCGTGTGGCTTTAGCCCGTGCCGTCTACAGCAACGGAGACATTTATCTTCTCGATGATCCTCTGGGTAAGCGCTGGGATGAGTGCGAGTGCGGGTAAAAATGCCCTGGGCCTGGACTCTGTGGTAGCCACCTCCGTGGTTGCGCATTGCTGCCGATGCTGGAGATGATGGCACCCTGTTTGTGCAAACCCGGACTCTGCGTTTCATCGGGCTGCTCAGCAACGCTCTTACCGACCATGCTCAATCACTTGGTATCCAGCTGCCCTGGATGCCCACGTTGGCAAGCAGGTCTTTGAAGATTGCATCTCGTCTCGCGGTATCCTCGCCGACAAAACCCGAGTCTTGGTGACCCACCAGCTGCACCTGATGCCCCACACGGACAACATCATCGTTCTGGATGACGGCAAGGTCGTCGAGTCTGGCAGCTTCTCCGATCTGATGGCCTTCGAAGGTGGCTATCTGTCCAAGCTGATGGGCGACTATCAGGTATGTTCATCCAAGCCAACGTCGACTGAGGTGCCCAGGACACTGCACCGGGGTATCTTCAAGACACAGCGAGCACAATGCCACTTGTTCTGATCACTGAAGCTTGGGCAATATCGCACTTTCCGCTCCAGCACGACCCCGAAGCGTACATGGCCTCTGTCAAGCCCAAGGATAACAAGGACAAAAAGGGCGCCAAGAAGGACGACGAGAAGGGCGGCATTATTACCAGCGAAGAAATCCAGAAGGGTGCAGTTCCTCTCAAAATCTACGTGAGTAGCCGCACCACCCTGCTGCAACCGTCGTCCACACATTCGTCGTGTTCATTTGTGCATTCATTCCTTTCCATGTGGGCAATGACTGACTGACTGACTGACTGACTGGCTGGCTGTCTATCTCGATCTCAAGTGGGACTACTTCAAGTATGGCGGTGGCTTTGCGGTGTTCCTGCCATACCTGCTGTTCAGTCTTATGACAGGCGCTGCCAACATCGGCGCTGGACTTTGGATGAAGTGAGTAGCTTGGTTCATGCTCCTCGCCGCTCAAGGACGTAGAAGCATGATGGCACCGGCCGCTCGTTGCCGGGAGAACGAGTCCGTCTGGAGTAACAAGCTTGTACCTAACACTTTCAACTCTCCCTCCAGCTTCTGGACCTCTCCCACCAACCCCCTCAACCTCCGACAAGACCAGTATCTGCTCGGCTACATTGTACTGCAAGTTATTTTGACCGTCACCTTGAGTATGTATACATGGAGCACCGAGCGATGTGATTGCCGCGAAGCTGCTCTGTCTCTCGTCGTCACACCAAGCCAATCCGAACCATCTAACGCTGTAACCGGCTTTATCAGTCATATCCAGTTCTATTCTGGCAATCAAGTATGCATCTCGCGGCGGCTGTTGCATTCAGAGTCTCAGCAGCATCTCAGCAGCATCTCAGCAGCATCTCAGCAGCATCTCGGCAATGACGACTGACTCTGTTTCACTATAAGCTCCTTCGTCAGCTCCAGAAAGGTCCACAGGCTCCTCATCTCCAAGTTGCTTAGCTTCCCTGTCGGCTTCTTTGACTCTCAGGTATAGCACCATAATCTTGCCCGTTGTCTTCAGACGCATCAGGATCGACGTCATCTCTATTTACTGCCGCGTGTGACTGCTACTGACTGATGCTGTGACTGATATCTCGCCAACTCCGACGTCGACTTTTTAGCCCCTCGGTCGAATCCTCAACCGCCTGAGCAAGGATATTGAATTTGCTGATCAATGTGTGTATGCGCTTTGAGTTCCATCCGTTTCACGCTTGTGTCATTCTTGGTCTCACCCAACTGCCTTGATCCGTGTAACAGCCATGTGGAACATTGTCATGAACGCCATCATCCTGTCGATGCTGGTGCTCTCCGGTATCATTGTCAACATCTATGCCACTCCTTGGATCGCTGGTGAGTGCCTCTCCTTTCCGTCGATGTCCCAGCCCACTCGCCTTTGCCTCGGCACTCAGCACTATTGACAGCCTGTGCGACCGTATCTCATGCGACTTTATATCTTTAGCCTTCTATGCTGTTCTCTCGGTGCTGGTGTGGTTCATTTTCCTCTACTATCGGTAAGTTGCATGGCCTTGTACAGAACGATGACGACCATGGGAAGCCCAGCAGACTCTCACAATCCTCTCCCTCGGCTCGACAGCGCCTCTGTTCGCCAACTCAAGCGCCTTGACTCGAACCTGGTAAGTTCTGCCTCACGCTTGCCTGGCTTGCCTTGCCTGGCTTGCCTTGCTTGGCTTGCCTTGCTTAGCGCTGATTCTCGACGACGCTGCACTGTCATCCCTCGGCCGGTCATTCATCACAAACTGCACCGCTTTCACTCGCACAGAGGAGTCCGCTGTACGCCTTCATTTCCGAGTCGTTCACTGGCTCGTCCACCATCCGCGCCTTCCACGTAAGTGCTGTAGCCTCTCGTTGGCAGATCAAGTCTGATTACAGTGAGACGGCATCGTGATCTTGGTGACTGGTGATTGCTGAGCCTCCGCCCGTTCATTCATTACAGGCCGAGCAGCGCGTCATCAAGAAGCAGCAGGTGTTGATCGACCAGTCCAACGCGCCTTTCTACCTGAACCAGCTCTGCGCCATCTGGTTCCGTGTGCGAGTGTCGGTGAGTGTGCCATTGGCTCGCCTGCTGCAGCTCCTGGCATGAATGAACCACTGCACCATCGATGCGGCCGCTCATCACGCCTTCATTCGACTCTATTCCGGCTGCAGGCACTTTCCTCGTTGGTCATCCTCGCGATGGCGATCCTGGCCATCGCTACTGGCATCTCGCCCTCTCTTGCCGCTCTGGGCCTGTCGTACGCCCTGGACATTCCTTCGCAACTCATTGTATGTCATCCGTGTGCTGCACCTCGGGCAGTGTGGCATCCCACCGATGGATGTGTAGCCGACATTGATGATTGCGATGCTCTGTGGTTAAAGCACCAGTTGCTGACTCGGTTCCTCACTTCTTCAGGGACTGGGTCAAATCCTGTCTTTGGTGGAGCAAGGCATGAACTCCATGGAGAGATTTGTGCATTATATCGAGGATCTCCCCACCGAGGCCCCGCGCAGACAAGAGCACTACGACCCCAAGACCAACTGGCCCACGAATGGCGAGATTGTCATCAACAACCTGTCTGTGGCCTACCCAAGCCGACCCGACCACCTGGTTTTGACAGACATCAGCCTGGCGATCCGCCCTGGAGAGAAGCTTGGCGTTGTTGGCCGCACCGGCAGTGGCAAGAGCACTCTGATTCAGGCACTGTTCCGCATGGTCGAACCCGTCAAGGGCTCGATTGTGATCGACGGGCATGGTGAGCATTGTTGTCCTGCGAGGACAGTCGGCCGAGCCTTGCCAGAGCTGCGCGATGGCATGCCAAGTTCGAATGAGGCAGAGCAATGATAATCGGGGCCATCGAGGAAATCTGCTGACCAACTTTCGTCGACGGCACAGACACCTCCAACCTGGGACTGCACACGCTCCGCCAGAACATCCAGATCATTCCGCAGGAGCCTGTTCTCTTCACTGGCACCATCCGCTCGAACTTGGATATCGAAGGCACCTATAGCGACGCCGACATCTGGGACGCACTTGAGGTCAGTGGCTGCCCGACCAGCGCATCGGCACACGCTCTGGTTCGAATAGTTTGCCCATCTCGTTCGGCAAGCTGAATCGCCAACACCTGATGCTCACGACTCTGACTCCGATTGGCACTCGCATCACCTGCTTCAGGTTGTTGGCTTGAAGGACTTTGTCACCGACTTGCCTCTCAAGATTGAGGCACCAGTTGCGGATGGCGGATCGGTAAGTGGCTCGGCGGGACTGCGATCTGCTGCATGGCCGCTGCTATGCCGAACATGATCATGGGGATTCGAGTGGAACGAGCTATACTGAGTTGTTTGTGCTCTCGGCTGTTCGTGATCTAGAACCTCTCGGTGGGCCAGCGACAGCTATTGTGTCTCGCCCGAGCCATTATCTGCAAGCCCAAGATCCTCGTCCTGGATGAAGCATCCAGTGCCGTCGACGCCGAAGCCGATGCCCGCATCCAAAAGTCGATCCAAGACAACTTCTCCAGCTCAACCGTCATCAGCATTGCCCACAGACGTAAGCATTGCATTCGCTATCGGTACCACCGTGCGGTATATGGGTGATGCGATGGGGTGGCGATTCCCTCCCAGTCCGCCTGGGTCTCCTCTTCAGCAGAACGGGTAGATCCGGAGCCAGAAGCTAACGATTTCTTGACCATACACCGACTTGGTGCAGTCAACACCATCGCCAACTTTGACAGGATCTTGGTTCTCAATGCCGGCAAGGTTGCTGAGCTCGACACTCCTCACACTTTGCTTACTCGACCTGAGGGCGGCATCTTTGCCGAACTTGCCGAGGCCACGGGCGCTGCAAACGCCGACCTCCTTCGCAGCATCGCCGCCGACCACGCTGCGGCTCAGTCGTCCAGCATCTAAAGCGTCGGATCCCATCCGCCGAATCTATGTAGTTATCCCATCGCTATATTCTATGCCATAACTGAATACCGTGGTTGTTGTAAAACCCGTACCCAACATCAATATCAGTCTTTCGATGTTTATCGCAAACACCTCCTTTGTCATGATCGATGGTGCGGCCGTGCTGGGTTGTGCAGGTTGGATCGGTGAAGTGAGACTGAGGGCTTTTATCTCAAGTTTATATCAAACTTGTCGATTCAATGTACTGCTGATCAGATGCGACCCACGCTGTGCCGGTTTTGGGAGCAGCAGAGCAAGCAACACCCTGCCATTCGCTACTGGCTCATTTCTGAAAACAGAATCTCGCGCTCCAACACCTCCAGCTCCTTTTCGAGCACTTGTGCCTTGAGGGGGTCAGTGGCCATGAGCGTCTGGAATCGCACCAAGCGCAAAGAGCGTCAGCACGATCATCCAAGCTGTAAGCGATGCTTAAGTGGCGAACACTTCCAAGGGCGCATAGGCCAGCTCCAGTCTCCAACTCATCCTCCAGAGATGGCTCTCCCAGGAAGGCATCTCAGGCCCCCCCCCAGTTTGCGACTGGATGCGTGGAGAATGCACCTACCTTGGTCATGGAGGTCAGCTTCTCGAGACGCTCGATCATGCCCGGCCGTGATTCGGACGGCATTCTCTCGACGAGGCGGGCGCCAGGGATAGGAATCAGGATTCGGGTGGCCAGCTTCAAGAAGGAGAGGTAGCTGCCGAGCTCGGATCTTTGATTGTTAGCCAGAGTAGCAGCGGATTCCAGAAGAGACGCCACCGACTCTGGGTGCTTGTCGATCCACTTGTGGAGGGCAGCTTTGATGCTCGTGAAGGTGATGTTGGACTGGGATGTGCCATGTCACAGGACACATTGCCAACCGCACAGTAACGTTAGCGCATGGATCGGTTGTGGGGCTGTCAGAATGAGGATTGTTTGGGGCAGAGTCGAGAAACCATCTCTTCTTTGCCAAGTTGGTGCGACTTGTGGGTGCACTGCAGAGGGGTGTTCTTACCACATCATCCAGGCCGCGACGATAGCATAGGGAGACAGCATGCACCAAAGCCAAGGGCAGCTGCTGATGCAAGACCTTCCAGGCGGCACCTGAATCGCCGTGTCTGGGACCAAATTCAGTTGCAACGCGGGTGATGCTGAAGAGAGCATCGATTGGGATATGTCCAGACTGGAATGGCCGATGAAACATGAGTTGCAGATCAGTAGACAGTCAGTAAGAGCGCATGCCACTCACAAGGCACAGTTTGAGGAGGTCGGCACGCAGGAGACGGTCGGGTATATGGGGCGCAGCACGAAGGGCGCTGGCTGTTGCGAGTAGTGAGAGATGTATGGAGCGAGTAGTGAGAGATGTATGGAGCGAGTAGTGAGAGATGTATGGAGCGAGTAGTGAGAGATGTATGGAGCGGTCGAATCACCGGTCTTACCAGTATTTTCCCGAGAACCGGGCCAAGAACCGTTGCCAAAAACTGATGGCTTTTCATGGTGAATACCGTCTAAATAACGACGTTGGTTACATCAGTTCCAACAACATCCGGAACGGAAATGGCCTCCCTTGCACCACACAGCCAGTGTCAGGAAACTATAACCACTCGACTCGACTCGATTCGTCCGTTCTGACTGCATCATACCTCGAGAATGGAGCATCGGCGTGCCCAGATGCTGGCTTCCTCCTCGGACGACAGCGCGATTTCTGCCTTGGGAGTTTGTTTCTGAGATGAGCAAAGCAAGAAGTAGTTCAGTGTCTGCAAGCGTTGTGCAGCCGGTACGATTCGCGGTTCATGTACGTTCATGGAGGGCGCCGTTACCTTCTTCTCAGTTGATGCTCTCTTGGCAGCATAACCTGCATCGAGCGAATAAATCTGCTCCGGTGTCTTCCCAGTCGATTCGAGCCTTTCCAGTTCGGAGTGAGTGTATCCAACGATGCCGACAGTCACCAAGACGCTTGTGAAGACCTCGATGGACAAAGTCGGGGTCTCTGCGGCACCTTGACGCTGTCGATAGTCAAAAATCTCGAGAATACGCTCCACGGCCAAGGTCGATGCTGATGTGGCTGCCACGTCAAAATAGTGCGTTTGAGTCAAAGTCCAACTGCATCGAACGAGTTAAAGGCGCTAGTCTAGATGGCAGACACCCAGCCAAACTCACGGCAAGTTCGATCGAGGACAAAGCCGACCATGCACGTCGGACAGAGTCACATCGTGTCCTACTTACCACAGCCACATTGCACTATCGCTCTAATCAGCTTTTCGCTCCATTGCGGGAGATAGCAAAGGAAATCCAGGGTCATGAGCTGGGACTGTTCCGAGAGCTTCACGAAAGGGCCGTAGATGGACGCTATGGACAGAGATTGAGACTTGTGAGCGTTTGCCCGGATGCGATGGCAAAGCCACCCGATGGCGCTCGGCGGGTGCAAGTCAGCATCCATCGGTCTGATACGCCATATCGCCAGGCTACCGCGGACTGAATCGAGACGAATGCCAGTGTTTTATATCTTGCACGACTCTTAGCCTATCCGCTTCAGAAACGCCCTGTACAGCGCAGTAACTTTGACATACCGTTTTGGCTGGAGCTCGTCCAGAGGAAAGGAACGATCCACTTTTGAAGGCTATCCAGGGTCTCGGCGCTGTCGCATATCCCAGCAACATTCTCGCGCAAACACTTTGCGAGGAACTCCAGGCCCATCCGGGTGAATTCCTCGTCGGTTGTCTTGAGTTCCCACAAAAGTTTTGGAATTGACAGGATGAACGACAAGATAGTTGTCTGGATGCTGTCGGAAGCGCTGATCCTGAATCGCCCAGTGTATTGTCGGTGGTGTTGGAGCTTGTGAGGATGGTGGAAGAAGAGAGTGTGAGCGGAATCGCGACCGGAACAGTGTTGGCAGGACAATTGAGCTTGGGCAATGGGGTGTCCATAGGTTCGCCGACAAAATCGCAGTCGGCATCACCACAAATCGATGCTGCCACTGAGCTTTGGCAACGGCTCGGACGATGCTCATGATACTCACCAGAGTGATGGTCGCCGTGAGACGGAAGGCGCTCTTCTTGGACTGGCTGCTGACGTTGGTTCCCTTGTAGTAGTCCAAGAATACCTGAGGGGAAGCACCCTCGGTGAGTATCGGGGCCATCGCCGAAGGGTCGCGCTTTCAGCATGCACGCTGAACCAAGCCCTGGTGTGCGAGTATGTAAGGCACCGGATGATGTGCCTGCTTACATCCAGAAGCCGGCCTTGGTGAGCGACGTCCAAGCGGTTGAGTAGGGTCCATAGCAGCGGGTACGTGGCTTCCAGATGGCTTTGTTTCAAGTCAGGAATCATCTGGTCATCTTCGTCCATAGCATCGGGCTGTTGGAGATCAATCGAATAACACGGTCAGAATATGTGTGCGGCAGCACATTACATCGCCACAAGGCTATAAATCACAGCGGACAGTATCCATCAAATGCACCAGCGAATTGTCGATATGTGGTTACATTGTATCCAAACGTCAACAGAAGGTAGTTCAGCAACTTGCTCTTTGACGGCTTGTCCATCAGTTCGACGCTCTCGACAAACATGAAGTGCGACAGGAGCTCGCAGAAGATGATGTTCATATCGGTCAGTGTTGCGGTGGCCTGAAGAAACAGGAATGGTGGGTGTCAGTGAGGCAAGTTGGTCAGGTCCGGAGCTCGATGCTACGATCGAATGGCCTGTTACCTTTGAGTCGCGTCCAGTACAGTTGACTTCTCCGAAGGGAAAGTGACACATGAAATGCTTCGTAAGAGACTTGAACCACGGCTCGACCCAGGCTCGTTCGACACTTGCCTGAATGGAAAGATCCGCAACATGAGATACAGAGTGGAGGCAGAGGCAGAAATGCTCTGAGGGGAGGGAGGCGCGGAGGGACAGGCAAAGTGGAGCCAGAGAGACGATCGTGCTCGGGACAAACGCAGCCATACACTGAGCCCGACGAGAAGCGACCGCCACAGCAGATCGAGAGTCTTGAGCACAATATGCATCACAGAGAGTGCTGGTGATTGCGTTACGGTGCCAGAGCCAAAGCAAATCGGAGTGGACTCGAGCCAAAAGTCGACGAGAACAGGCATGATCACCGAGATAAAGGCCTAGATATTATCGGAACGAAAGGCGGTCATGTGAGCCTGCGGTGCTCGCATCGTGACAGACGATCCAACAACTCAGTACCTTGAGCTGATCTGGATCTGTGAGATTGTATTCGTTCTGGATGGTGTTCATGTCGACAACAGCGGTGGCGCCCTGGGTCTTGGTCATGGTGAGTCGATCGGCAGCGTTGGCAAAGGAGCCGCCGGCAGAGATGAAATCGAGCTTGGAGTCACCGATGCTTTGCGGGTCCTGATACTTGAGAATCTGCACTCCCAGGCTCTGACGATCCAGCGATCGAAAGTCAGCTCGCTGAGGCGGAGGTCGAAGAGCCGTGCACATCGACAGGCACATTGCAGAGGACGAAGCTCGTGCACCGCATCGTACCTGAGCAGTCCAGGCGGTGACTCTTCCTCCTGGGGCACTCAGAATCCGTTCGACATTGACACCGTTGTTGCTCAGAAACCAGCCACTTTTGTTCGGATGTGAGCCAGAGATAGTGTGATCGTCAGGTGGTGGGATGGTGAAATGAAGATCATGCTGGCGCCGGTCAAATCGATTCCTGGGACTTTCAACCATTACCCTGGCTCAACCAAATACGTACAAGCTATCGTCGATACGAAGGGCGTTGCGCAAAAAGGTATAAAGGCTTGCCAGAACATCGACGCGCGACTGGGCAGAATCCAGAGAAAGGTGTGTCACCACCAGGTCGTTCGGTGGCAGTCGGGAAGCAAGTCCGGCGTGGTCACGGTTTGATGGCACCCAGATAACGCTAGCTGCTGTCGGAGTCTGCTGCTTCCGACTCGTCACTCACCTTGTTCGAGCCCAGTTGGCTCTTGGGATTGATGTGCACAAGTCCGGCTCGACCTGGGGGGGGGCAGCGGGTCATCAAGATAGATGGGCATCGTTGGGTAGATGAGTATCGTTGGGTAGGCTGCATTCAGTCCAGAATCCGAAGCAACGCAAAGATCGAACTAGGACAGCCATACCCGGTGCCGATGCGCCGGCAGACTTGACGCTCGAGGACGACGCGCTCGTCAGGAGGGAAATGTAGTTGGGAATAACCTGTTTTTTAAGGAAGATGCGTTGGTAGTGGTCAACGGCGCTCTGACTCGGTGGGGGGGGGCGCTCGGTGGGCATCACCAAATCGAGCAGCAGCACGCTACTACCTTGTCGGAAAACTGAACCACCAAGTCCGGGTAGCGCTCCATCCAGCAGTTCAAAAACTTGAGAGCATCCAGTCGGATGTCTTCCATGATGTGGGTGATCGACGAGCACGTAAATGCCATGATCAGGGCGATGAACGGCCGAAATTGCTCCTGCGGATATGCGAATTAGCGTCACGGTCATTGGCATGGATAAGCAAGACCGACCGCCGAGCGAGAAGACACATGATATAAAGCCAGGTGGGACTATCGATGACACACGAGTATAACGCGGCTTCCGATTGCGACAGCAGGCTGGAACAATAGTCGCTGGCTGACTGGCCGAATTGGAGACTCACTCTGCTACTCGTTGATACTAGAAACTGGGAAAAGACCAGCATGTTCTTGCGAACTTCATCGTCCTGTTGCCAATCTCAAGCCGTCAGTCTGATTTGATGTTGATGTGTGCTGCCGTGCGGATGCATCGACAGCGACCCCGTGATGCCGGAGTTCAGAGACAACCCCGCAGGTCACGATGTCGCAAATGCGACGCCCTTACCTCGTCCACCATCAGTCGTATCGCTGCCTCGATTATCATTCCAAAGTGCAGCTGAAGAATCTGTGGGTGCTTCACAAGCATGTCCTTGAGTCCCAGAATGCCCTCTGTGTGTCGCGTGCAGTAGTAACAGGGCAGCCCAGCGATGGACGGGTCGTGTCGGCGTGTCGATGATAATTGTGCGAGAGTGAGAATTCGCGGTTGGCAAGCGGTAAGCAGGGGAGTCATCGCTGGCTAGAACCGGCGGTCGTCCTGACGATTGCCATGGGAGCACGGCATAGTGCAGAATGATATGGTCCCAGATCGGCGAATTACCTCTCCGGTTCGGCGCGCTGTAATGCCGTAGTTGTGCGAGGACATCCTTGAGCGACTGATTTTTCGAGTTCAGATAGCTGACATTGGACTTGTCCTCAACAATAGTCTGCGTTGGTACATGGATGTCTACAGTTCCGGCGGCGGCATTGGACGAACAGCGACATGTCAGGAGCAGCACGGACGACAGGCAGATCTATAGATCAGCAGTGGCCAGTTGCGTCCGCGTTGTACGTTCTGCGGATACGCTATACTCGAGCCGCGATGGCCGCAATAATCCATCGTTCGAGCAACGAAACCGACGACCCCGTTTACATATTAGAGCAGCTGTCCGGAGTTGGGTGGTCCTCCGGCGGCTCTTGGTGTGGATCCCGCCGACAGAACATTCAACAGCAACATCGGATGGTCTCCGAGAGCAAGCAGGACATACATCGAGCTTTGAATGACACATCGGTGGCATTGGATGCCTGGGGCTTGGATTTTCCAACCTTTAGCTTGGTTTTCTGTAGCCGCGACGGTGTTATACGGATGGTGTGATGGGCGAGAGCCGATGCCAAGTCAATATTGGGGGTGAAGTGAAAGGACAGGCTCGAGATTGGATGAGCACCACAGCATATTTGCGCGTCTGGAAGGCATCCATGTCGCATTCGCGGCTCGGACGCACCCGAAAATCCTCTTCCTTGAGCTTCTTCTTTCGGGTTGCCTTGGGCATGATGCCAAGCGAGGATACGAGAGTAGCGCGGGATTGGGCGAGCGGGTTGGCAGGCAGACGGGGCTGATGCTGATACAGGGCACTATTTGGCTTCTGGGCAAGCGAGCCACACGCTGTGGCTGATGTGCGTTCGGACCGGAGTCGATGGCGATGCGATGGCGATGCGATATCGATATGCCCGCAATCAAGCCAGCGATCAGGCCGGCGATCGCGATGGGATTTGTCGCTTGGGCATGAGCGAAAATCCAGTCCTGGTCATGTGGAAGTCACGCGCGTGCGCCACAGCAGTCCATCCTGCGCCACGGCGGTCCAATCCGCTTCGTTCACGAGGCGGCACGAGGCGGTTGTCGCATTGGCCCGGAGAGATGACATGCACTCATTGATGGTGGCAAGTCAGCCCGCTGCCACGGTCGTTGCTGCGGATGGCCAAGGAGCTGCGGGCTGCAGCATGAATCGCATCCCGCCGGCGACCCTTTGGCGAGACAGCAAAGCCAAATCGCGACACTGCAAGCCGAAAAGCAAGAGCCGCCACGCGAGGCGGATATGAAAGCGTGTGACTTCATCGCCAGACACAGCCAAGGGCAAGGCCAAAGGCAAGGTCAGAGCAATCAGAGACAAAACCAAAGGCAAGAACCAGTCGTTCGCACGGGATTTGTTTGGAGGCGGAAGGACGCAGCAAGGGATGGATCTGCAGACGGCGGCAAAACTGGTGCGGGCAAGGCGGAACCGCCCAGCCACGGCAGCACAGCGCAAACACTCAGGGCTGTGCGACCTGGGTGCTGCGCGATCGATGCATCCTGCGCGTGCCGGCGGCCTGGCAGGCGAGAGCTTTCTCGGCAACGAGCAGAGCGACAGGCAGCGCAATGCGGCCGATCCTGGGGACGCGATCGGAGAGACCTCAGGCGACCGAGTGGCCGCTGCACAGGGGCCTTGGGGGGCCCAGAAGCACGTTCGTTGGGTCGACGGGTCTGGCGCAGGACTGTGGAAGCCAAGAGAGAAGCAACGAACGGCGGTACATCCATGTCGCACACGGTCGCACCAGGCCAGGCTGCACGACCGAACTCTCGCGTGCGGCGGCGCGTGCATCCGCAGAGTGGCGCTCTTGTCGCAAAACGTGCTGATGCGCCGACGTTTCGTGGTCGCGTCTGGTTCTGTTTGCAACCAGTCTCGATGCAGTCTCGATGCACTCTCGATGCAGTCCCGATGCAGTCTCGATGTAGTCTCGATGCCGTATGATGCCGTATTGATAGCGTTTGTCGAGTTTTCATCTGGTCTGCGATCGCAGCGACGGCCTCGGTGTTGAGCAGTCGACTGGCCAGATCGCCATGCACAAAGCACTCGCCCGGCGATTCGCCCTGGCACGCAGATCGGATCGCACGCCCACCCTCGTGGTGGACCAGAAGCGCCGGCCAAGCGCCTCCCGAGCGCATGCTCTCGCGGCCAACAAGGCGCTTGGCCCAAGGCCGCGCTGGGCACGCTGTATCGCGCTCTGCGATTCGCCGGGCCGTTTGCATGTTCGCCCCACGCCTGCAGCAGCGTATAAAGTTCCCATGTGCGTTGCAGCCGCCAGTCTCCCTTCTCGCTCCCGCCCTCCTCCCCCACACGAGACAGAAAAAAAGGGAGGCCGACTGGTCGTCGCCTGCCATCCCTGCGCTCTTGCTGCTTTCCATCCTTGCCCGAAGCACTTTCGTCTGCATCTGAGTCGAAGCTATGGCTCTCCTGCGATTCCTGATCGCGGCGTGGCTGCTGCTGGCCTCAATCGTCTCGGCCCAAACCACCCAAGGTAGAGTGTCGGCAGCCGGGTGTGTGTGGCTGCGAGGATGGTGTCCGTCTCCCATGCGAATCTGCGGCACCAGCGACTGGGGGTTCTGGTACTGGGTGTCGGCTGGCCGACATGCCAGATGCCTGGATGCTCGCTTGCCCAGGCTCTCGGGTCTATCGGGTGTTGCTACTGCCCGCTCTCTGTTGAGGGATGCCACCGGCCACGCCTGTCCACACGTTTCCACGTCTGGCCTCCGAAACTCATTACTTTCACTTTGCCTGCCTGCCTGCCTGCCTGCCTGCCTGCCTGCCTGCCTCATGGCACACATCCAGCCGCCATGAGCATTGCTGGCTCCGGTGCCAGTTTCCCCGGCTCGCTCTACATCCAGCTCGCCCAGGATTTCACCAACGCCCAGACCCAGGTTCAGGTGACGTACTCACCCACCAGCTCCGGCAACGGCCGCCGTGATCTCGTCAACACCACCCTGTACCAGTTCATCGGCTCCGACAACATTCCTGCGGTCTCCTTCCCGTCATCGTACACCAAGTCCCAGACAGCCCTGCTGCCCTTCCCCGCCGTCTTTGGTGGCATCGCCGTCGTCTACAACCTCAACGGTCTCACGAACACGCCGCTGGTCCTGACCCGCAAGAACATTGCCGACATCTTCTCGGGCGCTGTCCAGATGTGGAACGACGCCTCGCTCACCGGCCAGAACCCCGCTCTGTCCGCCGTCAACCAGCGCATCCAGCTAGTCGTCCGCGGTGGCTCCTCCGGAACAACATCCAACTTCCTGACCGCCGTCAATAAGTTTGCCGGCACCCAGCTCTTTGACTCCACCGCCACCAACGGCACCTTCCCGACCCTCGCCACCCTCAACGGGACCAATGCGCCCTACAAAGCCAACACCAACGCCGACATGGGCGTCATCGTCGGCACCGTCGAGTACACCATGGCGTACATGGACTATTCCGATGCCATCCTCGCCCAGAACTTGTCCTCGTCCATCCAGATCGCCAGCATCGTCAACAAGGCTGGCCAAACCATCACCCCGAGCCTCGCCAACTTTGTCAGCACCATCTCCAAGGTCGCCATCGACATCGATCCCTCCGGCTCGCTTGTCTCCATGTCCAGCGTCATCAACAATGCCATCATGGACCTTAGCGACCCCGGCTCGTACCCGATGATGGCGGCCTCCTACTACATGGTCCGGGCCGACTCGGCCCCGTACGGCGTTAGCATCGATCTCATGCGCGCCACCATGCGCTATCTGTGGTGGACGCTCTTCAACGGCACCGAAACCGATGCCGCCGCCGTCAGCACCAACGCGGCTTCCACCACTTCCTTCTCTCGCTTCCAGCAGCTCAACTTTATCCACATCCCAATCGGTGTCCAGCAGGTCTCCTACAGCATCATGAAAACCGTCACCCACAATGGTGTCAATCTCTTCGACAGCAACTCTGTCTGCAACCCAAGCTTTGATGCCAACGGCAACTATCTGCGCCCCAACTCGTGCCAGAACGGTGGCACCTGCCTCACCAACGGCCCCTTCCAGGACAGCAGCTCGGCCGTGTGTATCTGTCCCGTCGGCTTTGTCAACAGCCGCTTCAAGGACTGTTCCGAGCCCGCCACCTTCTTCTCGCTGCCCTCCGATGACGGCTTCAAATTCAACTTGATTGCCCTTATCCTGATGGCCATTGCCACGGTCTTTATCCTCGTCATCACCGCGCTGATGGTCATCTACCGCGACCGACCCAAGATTCGTGCCATTGCCCCGAGCTGCTGCTGGCTCATCCTTGCTGGCTGCTTGCTGGGCGTCTTTGGCGGCTTTGTCTACACCGTTGTCCCTCAGGATCCCGTTTGCCGTCTCCGCCCGTTCCTGCCAACCATCGGCTTTGCCCTGGTCTTTGGCATGCTGCTGCTCAAGACCTACCGCATCTACACGATCTTTGGGTACAAGCGTGTGACCGCCACGATCATCATCCCGAACTGGAAGCTCATCACCATCACCTTTGGCCTCGCTGCCGTCCAGGCCGTCATCTGCATCATCTGGGTCTTTGTCGTGCAGCCCACGGCCGTGCCGCTTTCCTTCGGCACCCAGGTCCTCATCACCTGCCAGCCCTCGGCCAACATGGTGATTGCCGATCGCTGGTTCCAGGCCATCGTCTTTGTCTTCAACGGCATCATCCTGGTCGGCTGCTTGATTCTGGCCCTGCAGACCCGCGGTGCCCACGAGCGCTTCCAGGAATCCAAGGCCATCTCGCTCAGCGTCTACACCGTCTCGATCACGCTGCTCTTTGGTCTCCCGATCATCTACGGACTGCCCTCGGGCACGGACGCCACGCTCTTCAAGATCGCCAACTTTATTCGAACCATGATCATGATCATCATCTCGATCGGCATCCCGTCGTTCCTGTACGTGCCCCGTCTCTACCAGACCATGTTCCGCACTGGAAACGGCAGCGACATGCGCGGCCAGAACGGCATCCTGGGCGCCGATCCTGACTCGGGCAGCTTCTCGGGCGATGACGGTGCTTCGCGCCGCTCGATGGAGTCCTGGTCCGTCCAGGCCATCACGTTCGATGTTGGTGTCCAGGGCATGAAGGTCGGTGGCGCTTGGACCTCGGCCTCGCTCGTGGTGCTGCCTGAGATGGACTTGCTCGTCTTCCTGGACTCGATCCAGAGCGGCAAGACCCTGGTTTCGTTCAAGATCTCGTCGACCGACTGCCAGCGTATGCTCCCGAACGGCAGCGTCTCGCGTGCAACCGACATCAGCACCAAGCGCATTGCCCTGACTGCCCCGCAGCTCAAGAAGGCCTATCACATTGAGTTTGTGAACGAGTCCCGTGCGGTCGCCTTCTTGAACGTTATGGAGCTCGTCCAGTCGCGGTCGCAGTCCCACAACTCGGCCGTGCCCATTGGCCAGATCAGCAATGTCGGTGCCTACATCGACACTCGCAAGAACATTGCCTCCAGTCTGCAGCAGCTGACGCCCAACCTCAACGGCAGCCCTCGCTCGTCTCCACGGGCCCTCGGCGCCACCCGAGCCAACGCCGCCGACGCATCCATTCCCATGATCTCCCTAGGTCCCTCCTCGGCTGCATCGAAACCTGTCTCTGCTGCTGGCTCGGCCACTGCCCTGAACGCGCGGCTACCCATGAATCCTCAAATGGCCTTCTCCAGCGGCGCCGCGCCGCCTCCGCCGCCGTCTGCGAACAAGCCCGACCACATGCCGATTGTGGTGCCCTTCACAAACGCCAAGGGCCCAGAGGATGACTGGCTCGAGCTCAAGCCCTAATCGATGAAGAGGGAACACGGAGAATCTTGGCCTTGCTGTGCCTGCGCCATCTCGAGCTCTTGGTGCCAGGAATGCTGCCGCTGCCGCTGCTGCTGCTTCACATCACCCTTAGTCTGCTTCGACTGCTTCAACCACACGTGCTATGTTTGCACCTCGGCTGTTCGGTCATATCCCCCCATCTCCAACGCACACTTCCGTCCACACCTCGCAGCTTGGTCAAAGATTCACCGTTGCCCAAGCTCTATCGTGTAGCCCCTTTCCGATACTTGTCTTTACTCACTCCCACTATTACTCTTATTTCGTGTCACTGCCTTGCTCTCTTGCCCTTTGATTCCTGTCAATCTCAATCTCAATCTCAATCAAACAACTCATTTATTTCCTTCCTCGCTTTATTCTTCTCCCCCTCCGCCTCACTTTCGTTCCATAGACATTTCTTTGTACTTGTGCAACTCTTACGCCGTGTAAAATAATATTGCCGACCATGCTTGACTTGGTTCAGAATAGGCGCTTTCATTACCGGGTGTGTCCAAAACCCCAGCCTCTGGTGACAGGGTCTGGAAGGCAGGCAGCACCTTTGCCCTGCCTCCGCGAGGTGCGAGGACGATTTGCATCAATGGGGTCCATCGAGCTGTGGCTCGGCTAACGAGTTCAGCATGTCGAAGGCGGTGCGGTACAGACTGAGCCGCCTCAGAGCCCGCATCGTTCGGCGATGTCATCGCATCCCTGCATCCCCGTATCCCCGTCGTGGCTGTAAACGGATGGAAGTTGGTTCTGTTCTCTCAGGAAGGCTGATACGGCTCCGTCTGGCGTTGGTCAAGCTGGGTGGACTTGCCGGACGTTGACGTTGATCCGCGCTTGGCTCAAGAACTCGCCAAATGGCTTCCACTCATCGTCAGTGCCATCGTCCCGCCGTGCGAGATACTCGGGCAGGGTGTCTTCGATGATGCGGGGCACACCTGCAATCAGTCGAACCGACAGATGCATAGATGAATGAGCAGATCAACGAGCGAGTGGACGGACGAGGAAGTCCACAAGCACCGGCTCAACCTGCGCTCATGCACAGTACTCGACATAGTCGACTTTACACAGCCAACCAATCGACACAGTCAATCTCAAATCCTGCTGGGCGCTTACCGTGGAAGGCAAGTCGGCAGGGGCCCGACATGACTACAATGTCTCCGCTCTGGAGAACAATCGGCGTTGGCTCGTCGTTCCTGTCCGGTGTGCCCATAAGGAGGATGCAAGAATGTCCAAGACTGCCCGGCGATGGAATTAGATACGCAACCGTGAGTCAGGATAATGACGAGGCGAACCAAATTGAAATTGCTCTGCGAGGAAGTCAATGAGACATGGAACCAGCGGTTCGGCTCTATCCCCATCACATGCACCATATACACCCTATACACCCAGAGGTCGCTCTCCGTGGCTCACCTCAGGCTGACCAGCGGCGCCTCTGTGTTGAGTTCGCTGCGATCCTGGTGGGCCATCAGCGCATCCTTGTAGTGGTAATAGTTGACGATGCCGGCCTCGCATCGGAACCGATCGCTGGCATACCCAGTCAGCGGCTCGGCAGCCGTCACGATCGCCTGGCATAGATCCGCGATCAGAGCCGGGAAGGGCGGCTGGCGATCCATGTGGTATTCCTTGACGGACCAGTTGTACTGCAGTCCCAGCGAGGCCCAACGCAGCTTGCGGACGGCGGCCTCGACGCTCAGGGACTTGAGCAGCGGTGTTTGTGAGGTCGGCGGATCGATCTGGATGGCGTCGGCGGTGTCTTGCTCGGTGGGATGCTCGGGACCGATGCTGTCGACACTGTTCATCGAGTCGGCCGAGCCTTGCCCGAGGTCATGTCCGTGCTCCTGACCATCCATGTCGTCGCCATATCCTGGCCTCGTAACTGGGTCGCCGCTGCGAAGGGCGACCATCATCGACGGGTCATCGAGACTGCGGTCGTGAGTCACAAAGTCCTCGTATATCGACCAGAGTCCCGACTCAGGAAGGACATAGTGGGTATCGAGGTTGGTGACGTTGGGGGGCTTGGCATAGTCTTGCAGACAGGCCCGCACGAGGGTGCGCTGACTCTCCTCGGTGAAGGGATTGGCGATCAGGACAAGCCCTGGGATCGAGCTGACGGTAAAGGCCTCGGCCGGGCTCTGGTCGCCGTCGGCAAAGTGCTGGGGCAGGAGACTGGAGAGCGGCTTGGCCAGGGACACTCGAGTCAGTCGGGGATCAAGATCTGGCTCTACCTGCGAGCCAGCTGAGCGGATTGGCAGAACGATCGGCGTGAGCGACGCTGAAGGCGGCTCGAGGAGCAGCGGGCTGGAGGACACCCGCTTGGCTCGCTTGAAGAACCGTTCGGCAATGCGGAACTTGGACTGGTTCTGCCAGCGAGGGTCGTCGGGCGGCGGGGCTACCCGCTTGCGTCGTGCCATGGCGTGAGATGGATGAGATGGATGGGATGGATGAGATGGATGAGATGAAGTTCAAGTTGCTCGATTGCCAGAGACAGCCGTCGTTGCACAACGCCTTCTCGCCTGCCCTCGCCGAGAGCACCCACTTGCGTTGTCATTCGGATCCGAGGCTCGATCTCGATCTGGAATCTCGATCTGGATCTGGCATTTGCATGGCCGTCAGGGTCTCTGTTCTGGGCTGGATCTGAATCGGTATTTGCATTTGCACTTGCGCCTCCCATACCAAGGAACTCGGCAGCACAGCGTCGCCCGAGCAGTGACCGCCATCGTAGCACCCGCAAACCACATCATCGCCATTCCGAGCACATTTCCCAACGGCTTCTCACAACTCGACCAAACGCTGAAGCATCCACAAGCTCGCTGTGATCCTCCGCTCCGATGATCAGACCCTCGGCCATTCGCCCTCTATGCGCTCTCTCCGCATCCAAGCTGGTGGTGCGTCTCTCCGCAGGCCGATTATGGCCGCAGCACTCGATATCCCGATGCTCGGCGTCCTTTTGATCGCAACCTGCCTCTCTTGCATCTTATCCAGCATGGAATCCACAGCGCCGCTGCAGTTCAGGGAGCATTTGCGGCTCCCATCAAGGCCCTCGGTATTCCCTATGTCATCGAGTCATCGGTAGGCACCACACATGGCCATGCCCTCGTCCGGTGCCCTCATCGCCGGTACAAGCACACATCGGCCATGTTTTCTCGCCTCTCCACCGACCCCGGATTCGGGCAGATGCTGACTTTGCCAATGTCCATGGTTTCCCCAGCCACGGGGCGAGCGGGTCTTTGATATCTTCTCGCGCCTGCTCAAGGAGCGGATTGTGATGCTCAACGGCGAGGTTGGTCCTGTGGAGTCGTCAAGGCTCGGATGCCAAAGCCACATGTCGCAATCCCCTGCTGCTTGACAGGATGAGGGACGCTCGACGAAACTTGCTATCCATCTCTTGCGATGATCCTAACATGGTCCTCCGGATGGCACCGATGACAACTCCGATCGCCGCGCTTGCTTGCCAAGGTGAACGACCACGTCTCAGCCATCATCGTCGCCCAGTTGCTCTTCCTGGAAGCCGAGAACAACGAGAAGCCCATTCATTTCTACATCAACTCTCCTGGTGGTGTGGTCACGGCAGGAATGGTGAGCCATGTCGAGCTCGATCAGGCCGAGAGCAGCTTGGGCGGTCGTCTGGGCTGCGACTAACGAATACGACTGCCCTGGCTACGTTCCTTTGGACACATGGATTCCAAGGCTATCTACGACACTGTGAGTATCTCGCCATCTTGCTGCCGGGCCATAGTTGCATCAAGTGATCCCAAGCCACCCCAGCAATAATGAAATGCGGCATCTCGAGTGTCAGACCCTGCTTCGACGGCCACTTCGTCACTCCATGTCGATCCCGCTCCAATCCATGGACGGGGCTCTCTTTTGCAGCCGCTGACATGGTTCCCTTTCCTTGACTTCTCAGATGCAGGTTTGAATCCGCGGTCCCTCAGCCCTTGTCTGTCACCGCTATGGGGCTCTCATTTCCGATCGGACCTTGAATGCCTCGACGGTTTGGAGGGGGGGGGCCGTTTGCAACTGCTGGCGATAGTGATTCCAGCTCTGACCCACCTCGCGACCTTTCGGATTGCGACTCGAGCAGTATATCCAAAGCCCGGTGCACACTCTCTGCATTGGCCAGGCCTGCTCGATGGGATCGCTGTTGCTGACGGCCGGCGAACCGGGACACCGATCGGCACTGAAGCATGCTCGGGTGATGATCCACCAACCCAGGTCAGCCCACGCGAGTGAGAGGGGGGAGGTGCCAGAGAAGCATGTCTCACCAGCCGATATATTCCAATCGTGCGATTCTCTCATCCACGCCCACCTCGTCTTGATCTACAGTGGAGGAGCTGCCGGCCAAGCAACCGATATTGAAATCCACGCACGCGAGATTCTCAAGACCAGGGCCATTCTCAACAACCTGTATGTCCAGCACAGCAAGCAGCCCCTGGAAGTCATCGGTATGTACTCGAAGCGATCACCACGGCCGAGGCTTCATGCGAGAAGGGTTGCCTCTTGCTTGGTGGTCTGTCACCGGTGCGAACCTGTCTTCAGCATGGTGGCGGAGGAGCCAGTCTCAATTCTCCTCCTCTTCCCACATGCTGCTTTCCAGAGCGATCCATGGAACGAGACAACTTTATGAGCGCTGAGGAGGCCTTGACTTTCGGACTGGTTGACAAAGTCGTCACCAAGAAGGAGCCAACTCCCAAGGAGAAGCCGCAGTAGTTGGAACAGAGTCTCCGCGATCAAGTTTTGTGCCTCACAACTCTTTCCCTGAGAACACAACGATCCTGTTGGTGGCGATTTTGGAGGCTGCTGTCTAGAGATCGAGGATGTGGTGGATGGATGCATGGGTGGCCGTTGTGAATGACGGATGTGTGTGCGAGCATTCCCACCCAAACCAAATGAATGCTGTCGAAGCAGAGAGTGTGGTCCTCTGTAAACGCTTTTATTGGCCGGCTTGACAGTCATTGTTGAGGAGGGGGTCATGCCCGAGACAGAAATTATCGGCCCGGAAACGCGCCAAGGACGGATCAGACATGAGATAAGAACGCTAACGGTGTTGCTGAGTCCAAAGGGGGTTCAAGGTGTGGGAGGGGGGGGCGGAGGCGGCAAGGAGGCTGTTTGGACAATAGAGGAGAAAATAGGGAGGGCGAGAAAGCGGCGTCGTGTGGACGACAAAGGTGCTTGGGGAGTCGGAAAGATAGTACACGGTCAAACTTGGAGGCCGCTGCTTGTGGATCTCTGTCTGCCAGCAAGTGGGGACATGCAAGGAAGCAATTGAGAGGAGGTGAAAGCGAAGGGAGGGAGGGAGGGGATGGCGATAGTTGCTGAGTTTCGATGTGCCGGTATAGCTGGGAGTAACGACCACACATTCGCTGTCGTGGTGCGTCGAGCCAGCGGAGATGCTATGGGCGGCCATGACGCTGAGCGAGCAAACTACTTTTGCAGCTCGTCCAGGACCCTCAAAACCTCTTCGATGTTGGGTATCAACCATTTGGCCGCGCTGCTCTTGCTGCCAACCGTGCATGTGAAGATGGCCCGCGGGGCAGCAGCACTGGCGTCGGTGGCATGGTGGCCCCCGCCGTAGACGGCGTCGTCACTCGAGCGGAAGGTCGTAATGCTGTGGCGGTCCGACTCGATCGCCTCGTGCTCGGGCGACCCGGCATTCAGATTGATCTCCGAGAGCTGGCTCAAGGCCGGCGAGATGGGGCTCATGGGCACATCCGAGTATGTGCCACCGCCGCCGGTGTGGATGAGGTTGAGGCGTTCAAACATGGTTTCGTCCGTGCGGTCATCGCCAACGCAAAGCACAAAGTCGATGGGATGGGCAATCTCCTTGCGCAGGAACTTTTTCTGGTAGTGCTTCAGCAGTCGAACGACCAGGCCGCCCTTGTTGGTGCTCTGGGGCATGACCTGCACACTGCGCTTCTTGGGCACGGTCTGGAGCGAATAGCGCCCGGCCAGCGACTGCTGGATGTGGCTGGCGCACTCGGCCGCCTGCCAGGCGCCAAAGTTCTGGTCCGCAAAGCTGTAGTTCCACACAATGCGCACGTCGCCGGGCTCGATGAAGGAGCCAGGCGTACGCGCCGTGTAGTACTGGAAGATCTCGGTGACGTCGTGGTGCCAAGACAGGTCGCGCTCATCGACAAAGGATTGCCATTCGCTTTGACCAGCGTGCTTGAGGTAGCTTCCGTTCTCGGCACTGATGCAGTTGTCGAGTCGATCGCAGTGCCGCAAAAGAGCGATGGCATCGCAGAGTTAGGGTAGCCGCAGCAAAGCAGTACAGGAATCGATACGACCGTCCTCCGCCAAGCGATCCTAAAGGCAACTGCGCCAGCCAGTTCCGATGGCTTCATCACACAGGGAGGGAATTGGACTCACCTGAGTCCAATCTGAGGATAGCTGGCGAAGGCTCGCAGAAGCTCGGTCTTGGGGCGGCCACTGATGATGTAGACAATGCTCTTTGGGTCCTCAGCCAAGCGAACGGCGGCCTGGACACCTCGGGAGCTCGGCAGGAAGACGTCGCGTTCGTTCACGAGTGTGCCATCGTAGTCGAGGAGCTGCAAGAATAGACGTTAGTGAGTTGATTGGCTTGCAGCTTTCTTGGACTGCTCGCCATGGAAATCCAACAAAGGACCCGCAGCCGGCAGTTTGTGCTGATCGACGGATGCGGAATACTTACGAAGAGACGATATTCGCTGTCGTCGTGGAACTCCTTGATGGTGTCGCTGGTCAGGACCGGAATGTGGCTGGGGATGTTGTTCTGGTTCTCGTTGAACGATCGGATGAGCTCGTTGACAAAGCTCTCGACGTAGTTTTGAGCTGGATCGGCAAGATATAAATATTGAGATGCACAGGAGCAAGTGCAAGTCAGCAGCGGCGAGGGGGGCGACACAGCGAGGAGGTATTGATACGCCCATCCCAGGCAAGCATACGGGGTCATCCGGATCCAGCTCGATCAGTCGAGAGAGGCTGGTTCTACCGTCAGATATGGGGGGGGGGCACACGACACAACAAGGGCTGCCAACATTCGCTCATCCCAAGCGATGCATGTACGCACCACTGTGTGTGGCAATGTAGCTGTATAGCTCCTAAACACAGCAAAAATAGATCGAGTTAGTCACACGGCCAGTCTCGAATCGCCGAAAACCCTCCCCCCCAAAAGCTTCATCATCAAAGATACAACACCGCCAGTACGTTTCACCCTGCCACTGACCTTCCATCGGTTGAGCTTGTCTTCCTCCGTCATGACGAGAGTCTCATGAATCGCACTGGCGACCTCGTGGGCATCCCAAGGGTTGACGCGCAGGGCTGCACCAAAGCTGCCATAGGTTCCCGCGAACTGACCGAGCATTCGCCATCCAAGGTCAGTGCACCGTGCGTTCAAACAGGGCGTTTGCGACCGTGCCAGCGGTCATATTTGTGTTCGCCTTTGTGGCGACATCCCTGGTGATGTTGCACTATTGCAGGCTGGGCTGTCGTACATACCTCGCTGATGATCAGGGGGCTGTGCTTCTCTTCCTGGCAGGCCACTGTAGGATCAGTGGGCATATTAACACACAGCACAAGCACCCACAAATCGCCGGTTTCACGATGGCAATGTCCATCCCGTCCTTTAAGCGGCAGGCGGCAGCAGCGGTGCAAATGTGCATCTGCAGAGACGCACCGTACTCATGCGACGTGAGGTTCATGCCATCGCGGAGCGACGTGATTAGGCAGCCGTCGGCGATCGACAGCAGGGCCACATAGTGGCTGAACGAGATGTCCTGCGGAAGGTAGACCACGGGACTAAACTCGAGCGAGCCAAAGTTGGCGTTGATGCGGGTGACGACATCAGACACGTGCGTCTCGTTTTCATTCTCCTCGGTCGTGGGCAGGGCCACTTGGATGAGCACAACCTGGATACAGCAGAGTTAGCTCTTTGCATATGCACAAACACTGCCACCCAAACGCCAGCTCCTCGCTATCCTCTACTTTGCAGACACTGTTGCCACGACGATGCACCAGACCGTCCCGCTCACCTTGCCGTGCCACTCGGGGTGGAGCTGCAAGAACTTTTCGTAAGCCAGCATCTTCTGTCGCAGACCCTTGACGTGGTCGTTCTTGTCGCGGCCGATGAGGATCTTCTTGCCGGCATACTTTTCTTTGAGCGAAGCAATCAGCTCCGAGACCTCGGGGTTGTTTCTGTGAGAAGTAGTACGGTCGGATCAGCACCGGCCACATATGTAAGCAAGCCACAGTTTTACGTCCTGTGGTCGATAGATCTGCCAGCAAACCATGGTCAGGTTGGCGCACCGTTTCTCGTTGAGTGCCAAAAGGTTGATTCCGATCGGGAAGATACCCGTCGTGGCAATGCTGTTGTCCAACAGCACCGAGCCCGGCTTGGTTTCAACAGCAAGCAGGCGGGTGCAAGTGTTGAGGAAGTGGCGCATGAAGGAGTGGGTCTGCAAGACCATCCAAGACAGGGTGGCGGAAGAGGGAGAGAGACACAGTGTCAGCACATTGATATGCAGCAGGTACAGGCCGACAAGGGCATGCTGCCGCAAATACCTGGAATCCAATTAGATCTGTGCATCGTCAAGCGACCACAACAAGTGCCATTAGTACACACACTGCAGGCTATCGGCCAGGGCACTGGAAGGTATTATAGAGGCGGAGAAGGGGAGCTCGCAAGCTTACCGGCGCCAAGCATGCCTTCGAGAATATGCTTGCGGACTATTGGAGGCGCAGGTGACAGCAGGGGTTAGGTTGTGGATGTGACGATGGAGCACTTGTCCAAGATCGCGCATTCGTGCGATCAAATCACTGCGACGCGCAACAGCCTCGGCAAACGAGTACGCACCATGGAGACAGCGGAAGATCTCCGAGCTGGGGAAGGGAATGTGCAGGAAAAAGCCGATGATGGCCTGGGGCACCAGTTTGCGGAGCATTGAGGGCACAAGCATCAGGTGGTAGTCGTTGATCCAGACTGCCGGTTTTGCGGAGCAAGGTTTGGGAGAGGGCCGGTGAGCAGCGGATCGCCAGTCCACAAGCCAAACGACCCTTCTGCTCTGGCTGTGATGGAGATGCGATTCGCAGAGCCAATCTCGATATAGACCACACTGCGCAGTGCGGCTGGAAACGAAATGACAAAGGCAAACGTACCCACATCGCCCGGGCGATACACTTCGGCAATGGTCTCGGCAAACTTGCGGTTGACCGAAACGTACTGTCTCCACGAAAGCTCCTCATAGGCCTGTCCCTTGGGGTAATCGGGAAGCTGGTAGTGGAACGGCTTCCACAACACCTGTGCAGCCAGACGGCATGGATCGATGCAATCGCCTTGTCAGTGGTGATGGAAGGGACATTCCGCGTGGGCGGAGGAGCCATCTGCTAGCATGCGAGTAGAGGACAGTGGAGGACGTGCACTGCCGCGGGTCCTGACCTGCTTGCAGAACTGATTGTAGTGGCCCTCGACTTCTTCGTCGCTCAGGAACACAGGCATCGACTCGTACTCGGTGGTGAGCTTCTGGGTGATGGCGCTCTTGAAATCGTCCGAGTACGACTCGGTCGAGGTGCCGAGCGAGCCGATCCAGACTTTGGATCGGATCTGGTCCTTCAGCGAGTTGACGGCGTTCTGGAGGCCAATGTTGCCCAAGGTCGAGGGGCCGACGTGGTAGTTGGCAAAGTTCTTTTCCAGATTGGCGGCCTGCTGTCGGGCCAGGCGCTCCAGTCGCTTGGTGCTGGGCTGGCGGCTGAGGCAGGGTTTGTTCTGGGCGATGGTTTGGGGCAGGAACAGCGACACCACGAGCAGGCGGCAGTTCTGCAGGCTCAGCTCGAGCTCTTCGGCAAAGGTATCCATGGGATCGGCGGTGGAGGCCTCGGCCACAACAGACGGCTCAGCAGCAGCGGCAATGACTTGGTCTTCGGAAGCAAAGGTGACGCCAGGAGGCTGGGCAGGCTGGGCTTCCTGGTCGACGGACGCAGCGAGGGGATCTGCAAGGTCGCGAGCCGACTCGGGGTCTTGGACGATCAGCTCCTGGGCAACAGGGACGTGGTCGGGGAAAGACTCGTACTGGTCTTCGGGCTTTGGAGGCGAGATCTTGAAGGCAAAGATCCTGGGCTTTTGGCCAGAGCTGTCGTCGGCGATGGCTTGGTCTTGCTTGAAGTCTGGCAGATTGCGGATTCGGGCGCAACACGAGAGGCACGAATACGGAAGAGCAGGCAATGGCGATTAGATCCGAGGAGCCAGCTCCACCACAGATTCGTCCAGCAGAGAACGAGAAAAACGACAACTGGCCACCAAGGCAACCCTGGCGAGGATATGCAAGCGAGATGAAACAAGCCAAGAAAGCAATCGAGCAGATAAGCGACGGTCTGGGAACAGCAAGGACAGGCATTGGCTGTTTTTGAAGGTCAAGCGCAAGTGCGAGTTCCGGTGTAGAGTGATTTGATGGACGAGTCGACTTACAGTTCTTGAAGACACTGTTGGGCAGCGCCAGATGATGGCGTGGAGAGAGATCGGGAGAGAGCCGAGAATGGATCAGAAGTAGTCAAGGGGGTCGGATGGAGATCACGGCCCGAGAAAGACGAGGAAGCGGAAAGAGGGGAAGCGAGAAAGGGCCCGGCAGCGAAGGATATGCCGGCTTTGGCGGCGCAAGCAACGGAGCCGGGGGATCGCGGCCTGTCCATGAGCAGGGCCAAGCCCACAAGCGCCGAACAGAACAGCAAGACACGTGCACCCAGGGAGGCAGCAGAATGGTCTGAGCAGGACAAGGTCGAGCAACGGATCGAGGAGGGAAAAAGGATTGGAAGGTGCTGGAAGGGAACGGGGGTCGACAGGGCGGCAGGGAACTCGAGGGAGACAGGCGGATCTGGGCGGGCGGATAAGGACAAGCAACAGGGTCCGATCGAGGGGTTGTGGATGCCGATGGCCATCGCTGCGACGGTCTAGGCAACAAGCGACGCAGACGACAGAAGCAATTGGATGCTCGGACGGAATGGTGGTGGTGGGGTGGGGTGGGAAGCACGGCGACAAGCAGCAGCCAAGTGGAATCGGTGGAAGCAGCCAAGACGATGGATATGGACGATGCAATGGCCAGCAAGAGACAGGCCAGCAAACAGACAAATAGGGCAACGGACACGCAGATAGAGACATAGACATGCGAATAGATACGGGGACATGTCGATAGAGCAGCAATGTGCGGTGGCAGCAGACGTTACTTTGCAGGCTTCTGGCTGGAGGGACCTTGACCCATGATGGCGCTCGTGCGTGCGGGTTTGCAGAGACGGAAGACCAGGCGAGGGCGACGTCGAGGGCGACGTCGAGGGAGGCAAAAAAGCTGCAACGGAAGCAAACCGGGCCGAGGGCTTATCGGGGCGGGGGTGTATTCAACCAACCAACCAGCCAACCAACCAGCCAGCCAGCCAGCGAGCAGACCCCGGCCCAGCAAGCAGCACGCAGGCCGTGTGTCCGTTGCAGATGGACCCGACATTGGACTCGCGACACAGCGGGCGCACATGGCCGACAGTAACGCTGTGCCAGGGCTGTCAGCATGGGGGTAATGCCTCCAGCGAGTTGGTGGGGGGGGGGATGCATCTGCACCACACCGACCCGCGAGCCCGCTGGCAATCCGCTGGTGCTCATTGGCGATCTGCTGGTGCTCATTGACGATATGCTGGTGCTCGTTTGGCCTCGCTTGGCCTCGCTTGGCCTGCAGATGACCCCCCCCAGCAATCCAACTCGATCTCGGCTAGAGTGGCCAGCCACCGCCGCACTGGCCACACCTACGCCAGCCACACTAGTGCCAGCCACTGCCACGCCAGCCACGCGGCGCAGCCACCCTCGCAACAAACAAAAACAGTGCCGGCGCCGTTTGCATCTCCGCCTTTGTTTGGCGCTGGCCAATCACAGGACGCGAGAGCGTCTCGCCAGCGAGATGCACCGAGAGCCCGCCGAGAGCCCGCCGACAAGGCCCTCGCGCGTCGCACTTCCCTTTGGTCGCCGAGTCGACACCCCCGGCGTTTGCCTTGGGTTTGCGCATCCCTGCCCGTCCCTCTGCACGCTCCGGCCTCCGATTGTACGTCTGCAGCACAGGTATCGTCTGCGAGCCGGCACGTATCCGCCATCCCATGCCTCCTCTTGAGCGTGTGCTCGCAGCGGCAGGCGGATTCCACCCTCCATTCCATCCATTCCATCCGTTCCATCCGTTCCATCTGCTCTATCCGCTGCCTGTAATGGTGCCGCGGGTGCACACCAGGGGAATCCGTGCGCCCGTGCTGGATGCACACCGCTGCAACGCCGCAGCGACAATCGTGTGCGGTCTGCAGCGATCCTGGCGGCGACCTCCCCCCTCTGCGCCCACATGGTTGCCTTCAGGCGTCGATCCAATCGGCGGCCCTGCTGGCTTTCCTGCTGGCTTACCTGCTGGCTTTCCTGCAAGCAGCTTTGTACTCATCCTCACATCCCATTCACATCGTCGTCATTCGCCCAAAGGAGCCATCCTCAGCATTGTCCATATCCACCATGGCTACCAGCAAGTCGGCTTCATATGACTATCTGATCAAACTCTTGCTTATTGGAGACTCGGGCGTCGGCAAGTCCTGTCTCCTGCTGCGGTTCTCCGACGACTCGTTCACGCCGTCGTTCATCACCACCATCGGCATCGACTTCAAAATCAGAACAATCGAGCTGGACGGGAAACGAATCAAGCTGCAGATCTGGGATACCGCCGGACAGGAGCGCTTCAGAACCATCACGACGGGTACCGTTGTGTTCCCGCCTGCCGATGCCGCAGCTCCCCATCCACAACCCCGCCCTCCAACTTCCCCCCCCCTCAAGCCTGCTCCTATCGACACTGCCACTACACCGCACGCCAGCTTAGTTGTGGTTCTCTGTCCTTCTATCGAGCTCGTTCCCTACCACTCCTGCACACCACTCTCCACCCTGCGTGGTCATTTTGCTTCTCACGCGATTTGCACTGGTGCCGGACTCGCTACCGACAGGACCACGCCGCTTGATTGTCCAGGCACCATCGCACCGGGCTGGGGTCCGATTTTGCCCTCTGCTCGTTTCGGGCAATGGGATATAGACTGATTTGGATCTGTGGTTTTTCATCGATATTTTGCAACGGCACGGCACGCGCATAGCGTATTATCGAGGCGCGATGGGCATTTTGCTCACTTACGATGTCACCGACGAGCGATCCTTCAACAGTAAGCTGGCATTGCTATTGTTGGGAGGGGGGAGGGGAGACGATGCAGGAATGGTGGGAATGTGGCTGATTGATCTCGAAGCCTGTGGTTGTCCCGGCGTGAAGTATCCGCCGGTTTGGCTCGCCGGATCGCCAATGCAGTGCTTTGATTTGGCGATCTGTACGGTCCGTCTAACTACCTGGCTCTGCGGCATCTCAAACCGCCAATCAACTCGAACGATTGGACAACCCGTGCGCACCACCAGATATCAGAAACTGGATTCGAAACATCGAGCAGCATGCCAGCGAAGGCGTCAACAAGATCCTCATCGGTAACAAGTGTGACATGCTAGAAAAGAAGGTATGTGCGTGTATCTGTGGGAGCTGTGCGGATCCGTCGAAGCAGCACCAGGGATATAAAGAGCCGCCGTCATCGCACTTTGGACTTACGCGCCTCTGCTCCCCGACCGTAGGTGATCAGCAAAGACCAGGGGCAGGCGCTCGCCGATGAGTACGGTATCAAGTTTATCGAGACAAGCGCCAAATCAAACATTGGTCGGTATCGGTCAGCGATCCGTTCTGCCCGTGGTCTATTGATCGATCGATTGATTGATTGATTGAGCTCTTGATCATCCGATGCTATATGCGCTGTTAATCGCAACCACTCACCCACTCACTCCCTCAGGCGTCGAGGAGGCATTCTTCATGCTCGCTCGGTAAGCGCCGTCCCGGACATGCTCTGCTCTTCTCTGGGCTTTGCAACTGTATGTGAATCGGTTCCTGATCAACAAGCACCCATGTCTCTCATTCTGTATGTCCGACATGAACGCCACACATGCAACAGCGACATCAAGAAGCGCCTGATCGACACAGCAGACGAAAAGAAAGATAAGCCGACTGTGGTCGTGGGCAATCCGGCCCAGGGAAAGGGTCAGGCCCAGGCTGGCTGCTGCGGTTGAGTCCGTGTACATCATCGCATCGGACGAGGACGCCGCTGCTGGTTGCCCAGGGTCAGTGCCCAGCCCCAGACTCGGTCGTCCACGCCCATCAAGACAAGAGCGACCCTTCCTGCCCATGTTCCTCGACCAAGCCGCTCCTCGATCAATTTTTCTCCGCTCTCCTCTTCTCCTTTGTTGCTTGTGTTTGGGGAGCCGTGGATTTGACGTGGGGTCGACACAATCTTTGCAGCCTTTGGAAATATAGCTACCCCGCTCCAACCGTGATCCCGATGATACACCCGAGTTCCACGGGATCGCAAGAGACTGGGAGTGGATCGAACAAGCAAGGAACGAAGCAAACAAGCTGGACTGCCGAGCACTGCGTCCATGCTCCTGAGTCGCTTGGAGGAGAGCCTGGAGGAATTCGCAGTTCCCATGCGAACTCTGATATGCCCATGCAGCCGCATTGTCATGAGAATCGGAGCGAGATCAAATGGGCCCGCGGACTCAACCCGAATGCCCCCCCCCGACACATCTACGTCTACCGCCAATACGTCCAGCCCCACGCACACTGAGGCCAAAGGGCACCGGGGCCATCCGTTGCTGCAGCTGCCGTGCCAGTACCAGCCGGAGCAATCCAAAGCGCAGACGGGTCCGAGAAGCGATTGCAAACGCCGCGCTGAAAACGTGACTGTTGGTCGGCAGCCCGGCCTTTCGCCTCTTGCCCTCTTCCGCTGGCCATCTGCCTCCGGTCGTTGGCTGAACTCCCACCCCACCCCCAAGCTGTCTTGGACTGCTTCCCCTCTCTCCTCCCTGCGGGCCGTCCGAACCCTCCGGCTTTGTGAAGGGCTTGCTGGCTGGCTGTTTGGTCTGCCATGAACGTCAACGCTTCAGAGTTTGTTCCTCGATCTGCGCCGCCTGGTGCTGCGGCGTCGGCTTCCTGCTCAGGCGGGACAGCGAGCGACTCGCCGTCCTCAGCGCTCCCCAGCACCAGCAAGAGCGCCAAGGACGACGTAAATCGGCCTCGCTCGCATCGGGACGGTCTGTATCTGCTCCTTCCGTCGGCACCGGTCCCACTGGCTATCCGCTGTCGATCGCGGGTGCTCATGGCGTTGTCGCAGCCGACGGCCCATCGCAAGCGAGTCGATACGGAAAAATACCGCTGCTGTGTCGTGTGAACTAACGGATATGATCGACTGCTGGAATGATGAAGCTGATGACGGATTCTCCTCGATTCCCCTCGATTCCCCTCGATTCTCCTCGATTCTCCTCGATTCTCCTCGATTCTCCTCGATTCTCCTCGATTCTCCTCGATTCTCCTCGATTCTCCTCGATTCTCTCCCTTCCCTACTGGCTTTGTCCACTGCAGTGACCAAGAACGCATCCCTCCCAGGTCCCAGCTCCCCGTCCTCGGCCTCCATGTCGCTCGATACAGCGCTGGCGATCCAGCTTGGCGCCACTCATCTTGCACCCAAGCAGCCCCGGAACACCGGCACACACTCGCTGTCGTCATCGTCATCGGCTTCCAGTGCTGCACGAAACAAACGCGGCGAAGTCTCGCTGAATCACTTGCTGGGCTTTAGCTTCCCGGCCCGGCCTCAGGCCACTGCTCCAGTCGTGCGACGACGACGAGACGTCTACTATGAGCCCTTCAACAAGGAGCGCTTCGTTAATGCCAAGTGAGTCGCTGTTCAGCTGCAGACGCTCATGGCTTGGAGGCTCGAAGTGAAAGCCCGAGTCCGAAACACACAGATCAACACAAGGCTCGCTTGGGCGTACTCACGATCGACTCCATCCCTCTACCTTGCTTCCGATAGCTTTCGCTTTGTCGTCAAGGCCGAATGCGACTACACCGTACAGCTGACTGACTCGGATGTTCCCGTGAACTGGAGCGATATAGCTCAGATTGTACGTGCCGGGCTTGATCGCACTTGCTGAGCGGCGTCCCGGGCTGATTTGAGGCCGAATTAAGCAACAGGACGCATTGTGGCTTTGCGCCGTCGAATGCTGTGGCGGATTCTTGCCGTTACTTATCGGCGTGGAGCTGGACATCCTTCCACCCCTCCGATCGGCATATCTCGTGCTTCGGACATGGGCTCGGTGCAATCATGGACCACCGATCGCCTCGGTTATCGAGCAGTTATTCTCATGGGTCTCACAGACTGCGTTGATGTCCTATACCCACGCTCCAACACTCGCAGATTATCCCCGAAACAAAGGATCATTCTTGCCCGATCTGTCTGCGTCCTCCACAGGCGGCTCGGGTGGCCAAGTGCGGTCATGTGTACTGCTGGCCGTGCCTGCTGCACTATCTCCACCTCGGTGATAAGAAATGGCGCAAATGCCCAATCTGCTACGATGCTATCTATAAGGCCGATCTCAAGTCCGTCAAGTTCCAGCACCAGGACGTTGTCAAAGTGAACCAGGATATCGGGATGGTCCTAATGCGACGACGCATAGTATGTTGCAGCCTCGCGAGCGCATGCTCGAGATTGAAGGAGAGGGAGGCGGACGGACGGGTCTTGTTCAGCGCATGGCTTTCGTCGGGGGCCCTTGCTTGTATTGGGCTGACATCCACTGCGCTTGCACTGCATTTCGGATCGATCCATCAGCAATCTAGCTTCAGCGTCCCGAGGACGGTTCGGCCGCAGGACTATAGACAGATTTCCGGTGGCGGTCTCCGGCCCTATTCGGTCCTCGACGAGCAAGTTGCGCCGTATTCGCGAATACTGCTGGCAAGTGGCCAGTATATCGAGAAGATTTGCCTGCGAGACATGAACGAGCTGCAGGCGATGCTGGACGACATCAAGAGCGAGCGCGAGGTCATGCGCCTGATGCGAGAGGAGCGTGGGCTTCCGCCTCTCAAGGAAGACGGCATCAGCAGCGAAGAGCCGTTTGTTGAAATCGCTCTGCATGAGACTCAGGTGAGTTCCATGCTCTCAGCGGGTTTCTTGGACCACCGTCGTGTGCGTGCACGCCATCGCCCTCGCCTAGGGGTCTATAGAGTCGTGCTCAGCTCACTGCGCGAACCTTGCGTCGTGGGCCGTGCATCTGGCGCCCAACGCATAATGACCAATTCATAATGCCCAACGCATAATACCCAATGCATAACAACAGGTGCTACTGGAAGAAGTCCGTCTCAAGAACCAGATCCGAAGCAAAGCTGAGCAGCAACTGAAAGCCGTAACGGCTCGGGAGCTCAAGCTGGCTGAAGCGCCACCCAAGACTCGAGAGACGACCAAATTGAATGCTGAAGACTCCGGCCAAAGGGCCCAAGAGTCTGTCGATTCGTACTGCCGCTCGAAGCTGGAGGACGATGGATACCAGGATCCCTTCTCGGACGACGACGGCACCTCAAGCCCAGGGATCTCTGGCATATTCCCAGTTGATAGCCATGGCTCTGTCGCCGATGCGGCAGCAGCATCCAGCTCCGCTACGACAGACGATTCTGGGCAACGCGCAGCGCAGTGCCTCGAGTCTCCAAGCAAACCACGCACCGGAAACGCAGTCCCCTCGCTTGCCGCACGAAACGCTTCTGTCGACGAATTCTACCACTATTACCAGCACCTGCTTGGACAGCACGTCTATCTACATCCGCTCGACATCCGTGTGCTGAAGACAGAGCACGGAGGTTACGATCGGATGCCTGATTCGATCAAAGTCACGATTGAGAGCGTCAGCGAGACCACGATCAACGAGGTATTTCAGTCATGCCGATAGGGATCGCGCGCCGGCGAAGCGCATTTTTGCCCGCCCCGGAGCAGGCCATGGATGCCATGGTGTCTTTGGCCGGCAACTGACTCGACTTTGCCATCTTTTGCGTCGACGCCGCACGACAGGACATGCGCAAAAAGTTCAAGTACCTCGCACATCTGCCTCAGGGGTGCGACGTGTCGTTCTGCGAAGTTGACTTGGCAAGCCTGGTCTCCGAGTCCACGTACCACCTGTTCGAAAAGGATATCCGCGAGCGAACGCGGCGGCGCAGGGCCAAGGAACATAAGGAGGAAAGCACCCGCAAGAAGAACGAGGCCGATGAGCTCGCGGTCTTTATGGGATACACTCCATCGACCAAGAAAACGGTCGAGCGGTGGGACGAACTCGACTGGGATAGCGAATTCCCAACCGTATCCAAGGGCAGCGACAGCGATGCCGATCCCGGGGAGCACCACGGATACTCGAGCAGCTACCAAAGCGCGGGATCCCACCTCGAGAGCGACGGCGGTGAATCAACCGGCACAAGCCGCTCCCGACACTCGCCCCGATATGCCGAGATATCAAATCGGCCGGCGCCGCCTGTGAGGCCAAGTGGGAAGAGCTTTGCCTCCATCGCCGGCGACATTGCCAAGAACGACTCGGGTTGGCGGAGAAATCCCTCTGCTCCCTACGGCGTCGGCGCCAGCGACGACGACGATCTTTACTCGGGCCACGAAGTCGGCTGGGAGCTTGATCTGGAGGAAGCCATGCTACAGACCCAGGAGTACGCTGCGTCCGGCAGCGGGCTTGGTCGAGGCAAGGGCAAACCAAGCAATACGCGAGGCAACAGCCTCACCGATACCGGCAGCGGCAATCAATCAGAGGGGAGCAAGAAAAAGAAGGGAAGCAAAGTCGTTGTGATGACCAACAGCGCGCGACGGAGACGCTGAATGGGGTGTGTTTTCGGCTCCACAGTGCCCTTCCAAGAAAAATCAGAATATATCGCATGCTTGTGTGGTCCATCCGTGAGAAGCCATCGCCGGCATGTCTCAGATACAGCGACGGGACACATTTTCTCGTTCAGAGAAACACACGCCGCAGTCGCTGCGAGTTAGGACAAGAGGACATCCCGGAAGGTGAGAGGAAGCCCCGTCGGGTGGATTTTACAGGCGATCCAATAAAAAACGAGACACCCGTGTTTTTGACCATTGATCGAATATTTTGTTACCCAATGTTATCGCGCGCTGGCCATGACCATTCGCCACACATCCGACTTTCGCACCGCCGCATTGCGATGCTACGCCCTCATCCATAGCCTGCGTAAGGTCGCCACCATATTCAATGTGTCCAAGAGCACCATCCATCGATGGCACCGAGGATGCAAGCTGGATGACCCATCCCGGGTCCCAGCTCGCAGATCCACTTTCTTCGAGCAGGCATGTCCAGTCATCCGCACCCTGATTGAACAGGACCAGTTCCAGACTGGTCCTGTGTTGCGATGCAAGCTCGAGTCCATCCTCCAGAGGAAAGTATCACTCTCACTCTGCCACACTGCCATCCACCGAGCAGGTCTCTCACACAAGAGGGCAACACACCTCTACAAGTCCAAGCGACTGGATGAGCGAGTGGCACAGTTCAGGGACCAGGTCCGCTCCATCGACCCACGGCGGCTCGTCTTTGTCGACGAGACAGGGATCAGGAAATCCATTTTCCCTCTCTACGGATACTCACCGAAGGGTGCTCCGCTTCGCCAGCGCAATCACATGAAACACAAGTCCGTCTCGGCTGCATCGCACGTACATCCCCACATCATTCAAGACACACTCGATGGTCGAGTTCTTTGAGCGAGCGAGCTTCCCAGACGACTCTGTGATTGTGATGGACAATGTCAACATGCACAAAACGAGGACTGTCCTGGACTGCATCGAGCGCCGAGGATGGTCAGTGATCTTCACCCCACCTGCCTCACTCGACTTCAATCCCATCGAGAACTTCTTTGGGGTTGAGTCCCCACCGATTTGGGGTTGAGTTCCTCCAATTTGGGGTTGAGTTCCCTCCAATCAAGCCGCCATTTTCGCGTTCACATCCCTGGCTTGAACCTCTCGACGATTTTTGAACAGGGTCACTTCCCCAACCAACCCGCAACGACGGGCTCCTGCTCCGGGGTATAAATGCCACACCTTCGTCCTGCTGCTTTCTTCCCTCATCTCGCCTTGATCGGATCATTGCGCCATTGTACGATAAAGAGAAGTCTCTGTTCTGACCAGTACCACTGGCAGGCACCCAGCATTCTCTGTCCCCATGCCTCCGAAGCGTAAGGGTACCGGTGATGGCCAGCCTCGGCCACCCAGGCCCAAGAAAGCCAAGTCACAGTCGGAGCCTGTCTCTGGTTCGTCTTTTGATCCCACGCATGCTTGTTTCTCTGTTGCTCCGTTGCTCACCACCACTGCTTCTGCAGATCCAATGGATGTCGATCCCACCGAGCCTGGTCCATCTACTTCCTCGAGTACCGGCAAGCGATGTCCCAAGTGCGACGGCACCGATCACGAGCGAAGCAACACCAGCAAATGTCCCAAATACCGGCCCCTCAAGAGTTCTGTCGTCCCACTCGTGGATGGAAGGTCATCCGCCCCTCAATACAGCTGCTTCAAGCAGACGATGGATGGCTGTTGTCTCAATCCCGCTCTCCGCGACAAGATCCAGGCCACCGTCGAGGCCATGACCCAGATCCAGTTCGAGGCATCCAGGCTGCTCAACCTGCACATCCTCCGGTGCATCGAGCAGGATCTTCCCGTCCCCGTCATTTCCAAGACCACCCCTGCTTTCATCCGCCAATGCTTCACGATTGTCGAGGCCGGTGCCCTCTCCCCGACAGGGGACAATGAGAAATACAACGAGCATCTGGTCGCTTCCTTTCGCGACTATCAGACCACTCGGCACGCAGACCTGCCTCCGGCCCCTCGTCTGCCTGATGGTGCTCACAGTCAGCTTCTCACACTGGCTGTCAATGCCTATGCCACCAACTGCACGACACACCTCAATCTGGCCTACTGGCGACTCCTTCGCCGCTTCTGTGCTGCCGTCTTCCCAGCCAACAAGCACAAGCACGAAGCCATCGAGGCTTGTCTCGAGCTCTTCGAGAAACCAGGGCAGACTCCACCCAAGGCCGATCTCGAGTTCCTCTATCCAGACTTTGGCCACGTCCTGGACGAGTTTCGGTACAGCAACGACCAGGACCGCTTCCGGGCCCTCCATCGCCTCTCACACCATGTGAGAATCCTCGCCCGAGACAAGATGGTCGACAATGTCCACAAGTGGATCGACTGTGACATGCCCGCCCTCCGAGTCACCGAGCTGCAGCGCCAGGCCAAGCTGGACGAGCTCACTGCCCGAGGCATTCCCTCCGACGACAAGAGGTTCACCACGGCCAAGTCTGAACTCGGCACCACCAAGTCCAAGATCAACAAGCTGGCCGCCAGGATCAACTGGGCCCTCAAGCAGCTCGCCGTCGACACTCCTCCGGCCGTGTGCACGATAGTTCCTCTATGCACTGCCACGGCCAAGTATGTCAAGATTGACACGGTCACTCTCTGGCAACTCCTGGGTCCAAAGAAGCGCCTTGGATTCACCCGGGACAAGCTCAAGGAACAAGGTGATGACGGCATCAACAACCAGGATCGTCTCTGGCGCAGTTGCTTCAAGCTGCGTAGTTCCCTCTTCCAAGAGCGGGACGTGAACAAGAAGCTGTTCAACTACGAGATCAGCACCGATGGCATTGGATGCACCATCGGCCTCGTCAAGTTTGTGCGTCGAACCGATCGCACCGAGACCATCGAGCCTCCTCCGACTTCCGAGCAGCGCATCCAGGCCCACATCGGCGACCCAGACCCCGATCGCACCACTTGGATTGGCATCGATCCTGGAGTCGGCTCCATCTTCACGGCGGTCATCCAAGCACCGGGCCACCAAGACGAGGTGGTCTCGTTCTCCAATGGCCACTACCAGCAAATGTGTGGCCATACGTCCAACACCAAGTGGCACAACACCATGAAGTATCGACTCAGCATCGAGACCTGGATGTCGACCACCCCCTCGCCCAAGGTGTCGTCCTCGGAGGCCTTCAAGGTCCATCTCACCCATGTCCTGCGACCGGAGCTGCGAGTGCAGCTCGACTTCCACCTTGGCAAGAAGGCCCGTCACCATCGCTTCACGGGCCACAAGAGACGCCAAGTGGCCGTCGACAGGATGTGCAAGGCCGTCCTGAAGCACGCCCCGATACGGACCGATGTGGTGATCGCCTTTGGCAATGCATCATGGCGACAGGGCAAGGGATATGCATCCAGCCCTCGGAGGCAGCGGTTTGCTCGGTACTTTGAGCAATTCGAGCACCACCGCCGCCGTCCCAATCACCATCATGGAAGCGTCAAGGTGGCCTCAACGAACGAGTTCAACACCTCGCAAGTGTGCTCCAAGTGCCTGGAGCCAGTTCGGTTGGAAGGACTCGATGCGCCCAGTGTTGCGAATTCCCACTTTGTCAGGAGCTGCAAGAATCCCAGCTGCCGGACAGTGTGGAATCGCGACGTCAATGCGGCGCGCAACATGATCACAGTATGCAGGTCGATTGTGGAGACCGGAGGGCGACCGGTGGTCTTCACTCGGAGGCTGCCAAAGTGATCTGTTTTATTTCTTGTGGCTTTGCTTGACGCAAGCACAGCACATACTACATGTTCATGGAAACGGCTATATTGTCCCGTTTTTTTCTGAATAAAGTGTACAGGGATTCGAATGCCGATCGATACCATCCCATTCATGCCAGTCGATCGATACCATCCAATCATTCGATTCATGCAAGGCATCCGCATGGGTCCTGTTGCAGGATGGGTGCTCGGTGAGAGGGTATCTCATTTCCTTTGAGGAAAGACGATTGCTCCAGCGTATCTGCCATTCCACATGCACCGGCTCAGCAAGATGCATGACCATTTCGTGCGTTGCACAACCAAAGGGTATTTGGAGGCGCATTCACCGATCAGTCGCGCCCCGCTCCGCTTCGTCTGGTTTCCAATTGCCTTCTGTTCCCTCTGGAGACGTCTCCGTTTCCTCTCGGCTCCACCGGCACTCAGCTCCCTCTCCTTTCCCCGAGCCACTCTGGCGCCAATACGACGCATCTCCGGCGCTGCTCGAGGAGCTCCTCACCCCGGACAGCGCTAGCATATCCATCCATTCTGTAGAGCCATGAGCAATCCTCCCTCGTCCGGCGATCTGCTTTCGGTGCCAGACCCTCTGGCGTCCCCGGCCATCGGCCATCGTCGCAGCCGCAGCTGGGGGTTTTCGACCCCGAAGCGGCTCTCGAGGACCCGCCATGAGATGGTCTCACTTGAGAAGCAAAGGTCGCAGGAACCGCTCTCCAATGACGGTGATTCCGGCGATCCTATGCTGGGGCGGGTCTCGACCGCCGGCTCAAGCCGCCAGCCGAGCGTATCCCGGAGCTCGTCTGGAGAAGTTGTCGACAGCGAGACCAACGGCTCGCAGTTCTCACTGGATGCCGACGATGTCCCCTCCCACAGCCAGCCCGACGGCGAGCCGACTCAGCCCTCCTCGCCTGAGCCCCCGGACTGGGACCAACTGCCAACCCTCAAACGCCTGTTTGGCCAGGAGACCCTCGATGGACTCTTCAACCTCTATGTCCGAGGCATCGAGCTGCTCGATCCTCAGTCGGCTTTTGCCCAGCGGCTCGTCCAGGCCGACCACAAAACAGCCTGGTACTGGGTCTTGGGCTTTGTGTGCGGCCGAGCCTGGGGCAGTCGGTTTTACTTTTCGTTCGTGGTGCTGGCTATGATGTCTCTCTACTTTGTCTATGCCAACGTTGCCAGTCTCGAGAGACTCCAGCGAAAGTATGCCGATGAGCTCATGACGCTCTCGGCTCGAAAAGAGGTCAGAGCCATCCTAGCCTATGAGCAGAGCGCTGCTTGTGCAGCCACCAGCGATGACCCCTCGCCGTCATCATCGTGGCCTCTCTTGAAATCATCGTCGCTGCTGTCGTCGTCGTTTGCATCATCGTCGTTATTGATATCGCAAGAGTATCCCTGCGTGGAGGGCATCGGTGCTTGCGGGCCCTTCCAGTGCTAATATTGCGCTTCCTTGTTCGTTGCAGGTTGAAGAGGGCTCCGAGATCGCCGAGTGGTTCAACATCTTTGTCGAAAAGTTCTGGGGCCAATTCGAGCCCGGTCTGTCGAGCCGTCTTCGGAGCCAATTCAACGGCATCTTGAATCGGAATCGGCCAAATTTTTTGGTATGGCGGTTGGACATGGTTGGCGCTTTGATCGGGCTCATGGATCGGAGAGTCGCTCCGTGCATAGCTGCTCTATCGATCCCTCACCGTGGTCGTGTGCTGGGCGAACGCTCGGTATTAGCGTCAAATCCTCTGGTTGTCGCAAAAGTCATTTGTCAGGGTATCTTGCCGGGGCAAGGAGCTGACGGCTGCCTTCCGATGCAGGAAGATTTGGTGATCAAGACCTTTACGCTGGGATCGACGGCCCCAAGGGCCTCCTCGATTCGAGTCTATCCAACAAAGAGTCCAGAGACCATGGTGGGTATCTCTAGCCTGCTCCGGGAATGAGCGAGCATTGTGTTCCGGAGCCAATATTGATGTCGTTTCGCGATTGCGGTGCCTACGAACATCGGTATACTCTGAGTTGTCGTCGCTGGACTCGGGGGCTTACGACCGTCTCTCTGCCCAGACCATCGACATGGACCTCAAGTTTGCATCGTACCCGCGGAGTAGCGACGACCCGAAATCGTATCGTCCGCTCACCATACTGTTCCAGGCCCTGTTCGGCCTGAACGTTGCCTCCGTCCCCATTCCGATCGAGCTGACCAACATCTCTGCATCTGGCTTGGTAGGAGCTGCAGTCGCTGCTGTCAATCTGCGGTTGCCGTGCTCATGCGTGGGCTCTGCAACCGCCCTGCTTGCAACTTGCATCCACTGCTCTTTCATACCCATACTTGCTCCACTGACCGGCTTCTCTGGTTGTTGCCTCGATTCCTTTTGCAACATCAATCAGATGCGGTTCGAACTTACGTTTTACTCGAGCTTTCCACACGTGAAGCAGATCCGCTGTAGTTTCTATGCACCACCAACGTTCGAGTTTGATCTCCAGCCTCTCAACGCCGTCAATGTCATGTATCTACCGGTGCTTCATCAGTACATTCGTCGTAGGGTGCAGGAGATGATCAAGAAGTTTGCAGTCGCTCCAAATGCGTACACGTTCGATTTTACTCGAGATGGAATTGGTATGGATCTGTCCAAAACTCTCGTTCGTGGGGGCAGAGCGGTGGATTGCTCGAGGCAACTGCATGGAGAGTAAGTGCAATGCCCAGCACTTTATCCTTTGCGTACTCACACACGCGCATGCGCATGTCCAGAACGCCCGCTCGGGGTCTTGCGGGTTTACGTATTCGAAGCCCGTGGGCTGAAGCACATTGAACTTTTGAAGAGCAACTGCCCGTACGCCCAGATCTGGCTTGGTGACAAAGTCGTTGCCTCCACTCGCGACGTCGAGTGTGACGGCGAGCCTCAGTGGAAGGAAACCCATTACATCCCCATCTATCCAAGCACCTTTGTCCAGTCCAACAACGGCTCGGATGAGTTGAGGATTGACATTCGCGACTACCCGAGCGTCAGTGGCCGAGACGGCCTTATGGGAACAATGGAGTCGCTCAAGCTCTCCAAGTGGCTCGCCTTGATGGAACCCGATCCCTCGGCAACACCCGCACTGCCGTGGGATAACGTGTGTCTTTCCGAGCAAGAACGGGCGCTCCTGCAGTCAGCCTGGGGACTGCCCGACGATTCGAGCCCCGTCTGGAAAGCCTTGTTCCAGCTCACTGGCACGGGTCTGCGCCGAACGGACGCTCAGATTCGGCTGGAAGTGTCGTTCATGAGGGCGTCTCCGAAACCAACCAACTTCAACGACTCGGTCAAGCTGCTGGGCCAGATCCGATCCGGGATTCTGAACATCACCTTCCACAGCGCCTCCAACCTCCAGAGCGGGGCACTGACGACCAACCCGTACTTGATCCTTACTGAAATACCCGAGAGCCGTACCGTCTATCAAACGATCGTCAAGAAACGGACTCACAACCCAGTCTGGGAGAGCACATTTACGACCTTTACGCCGGATTACACAAAGATGCGTTACTTGGCTACGATATATTCGACCTTGGATCTAATCGGGGATATCAACTTGGGCGTGGCCAAGATCGACCTTGGCGAGATCATCCAGAAAGTAAGCGGGGTCCAAGGCACGCTGACCACACGCTGACCACACGCTGACCACACGCTGACCACACGCTGACCACACGCTGACCACACGCTGACCACACGCTGACCGCGGCTAACGAAATCATGCTTCCTTCAGGGCAATGGCAACGTCCACACCTGCGAGCTGAGGAACGTGTCGTCAGGGCAGCTGAGGATGACTGTTACATTTATACCAGTTCCCATGAATACCTCATTGGCTGGACCACGGGTCTCAACGAAGCGCTCGAAACAGCCGATCGGATCAATTTCGGTGCGCAACTTGTCCGCAAGAGGGCTTGTTCCAAACAAGCCTCTGGTCGACCCGGACCCGTTTATTGTCCTCGAAATCGAGGGTCGGCAGTTCGGTCGGACGACACACATACTGGGCGTCCTGTCGCCCCAGTGGAAGCAAGTGTTCGAAGGCGGTATTCTGTATACGCCGGCGGATGTCCTAACGTTGACTGTGCGCAACTGGAACAACGGCAACAATATCAAACACATCGGGACCGTGGAGATACCCATGTCGGCCATATTCACTAGTTTCGATGATGACACGACTGCGCCTTCAGAGTACATGCAGCGGGCGGTAGACGATGGGCTTGTCATTCACACGCACAGAGACTCTGTCGTCAACATGTAAGCCTTTCCCACGGCCTCGGTCGGGCCATTGAATGCAGGAACTCAGGGGAGTGCAGCTGCTGGCAGACAATCGATACGCATTCCGGCCAGCCTGAACGTACTGCACTGCTGTGGCTTCAGCCTGGTCCATAATCGTATATCCACATGTTGATACTGAATCCCTCGCAACAGAACTGCCCCGATCTATCGGAAGAAGGATAGGATCCTGCGGCAGGGTGTCATAAGTTTTGAAGTTATACTGCGAACGACGATTCCCCAGGAAGCCATCGGCTACGAACCAGTCTCGGATATGAGCGAGGCTGCAAGCCAGCAGATCAAGCTTGTCTTGGAAAAGTGGTGTGAGTATTCGTGCGGATTTCACTCACCAGCCAGTGCGCTGTGTGCCGTTGACTCGAATACCAAGCAGACGCAAACAATCAGACTAGTTTCTGCGACCATCTACTCCTTGATCGGGTCGTTTCTGATGAGTCGATCGCTCCTCATCTCGATAACACGTTAGGCTCCGGAATCGTCCATGTTCGTTTCTTCAGCGGACAAGACATTGGCATCCGTAAGACGTATGTGGAACTCTACCGGGGCAAGAAGAAGCTCTTTTCGACGCTGACCCAAGCCGCCAGCGACCCTGTGTGGGACCAAGCTGTTGATATTGTGACGGCCGACGTGACCCGCGACGTGTACGAGATTGTGCTTAAGGAGCAGCGTGGATCCATCCAAGATGAAAAGGATATTGTTGCGGGACAGTGGAAGGGTACTCTTGCCCAGATCATTGGGCGACAGTTGCAGATCAGCCTGGGCTCGGGCCGTATGCTCCACGTGAATCTCAAGTACATTCCACTGACCGAGTCTCCGGTCAAGATCGAGGTGGACTACGATGCTGCCGAGGTCTCCCCTATGTCGCGCAAGACGTCACTCAACAGCCTCAAGCACCCCCTCAACATTATCGGCAATGGTCTCGAGAAACTTGGCAACGGCCTCGACAAGATGGGCCAGCAGCTCAAGAGCATTATCGAGGAGGGTACGATGAGCCACAGGAGTACGGATACCAGTGCTTCCGCCGGTAAGCTCTCGGATCCGAGCGGCTCCGCCGGGAGAATCTTGGAGAGTCGCAGCCTCGATGATATTGAAAGCTCGTCCATCAACTCGAGCCGCCATTCTGTGGAGCTTGAAGGCTCGATTGGATCCATGTATCCTTCGATGAAGCGGGATACTTTGTTTCGTAAGTGGCCACTTGCATCGATACGCATCGGATGGGAACGATTGCACGGTGCGGGGCTTGCTCGGGGCCTCAAAGTCTGTACCGGGCCTGTGAGACGGATCAGTAATCGGAGATCGCTTGGATATAAGTTTGTCACCACGTGGCGAGAGGCTACCATCGAACGTGCTCAGTTGTTCGAGCTCACGATTGCTGCGGAGGGGGTGCATGATGAATGTCATCTTGAACAGATCCCTCGCTCGGGAACAATTTTGCTGGCTCGTCATGGTTTACGGTTGCTTCTCTGATGGACTGTTTTGGATACGGATGTTGGCTTCGTCGTCATGTAGCCCAGGGCAGCTTGGTGATCCAGCTAATACGCTGCAAGGACCTTCCAAGTGTCGATATAAGCGGAAAATCTGATCCGTTTGTGCGGATATTTGTCGACAATGCCAATGTCTTCACCAGCCGCACCGTCCGGAAGAATCTCAACCCATCCTTCAACGAAGAGTGGCGATCCGAGGCCACCATTGTGCATACCAAGAGCGCTGTTCGCTTGGAGGTGTGGGATGCGTCACCGATGCATCTGGTCGACAAGCTCTTGGGATCAGTGGAGTTTCCCTGGGACCGAATACCCTCGGACCCACACGAGCCGATCGAGTTTACAGAAGTGCTCACCGGCAAGCGGGCACGAGGCACGCTTACCTTCAAAACGCAGTTCCTCACCTCTGTCGAGCGAGGTGGGCGTTCTCGACAATGATAATCTCCACGCAGCCCGATCGCCTCACTTGCGTTGGACCGGTGTACAAGCCATGTCGGCGGGCAAATACAGTATCTATTTGAACACACAATTCACTCGGAGCTAAGACCGCCAGTCGCTGCCCAGTCTCCATAATCGCCCTGCACATGATCATGTTGCTCTTGGATACACGAAGAATGGAGGCAGCCTTTCTCAGATTACAGGCAATCCAATAAAAAACGGGACACCCGGGTTTTTGACCATTCATCGAATATTTTGTTACCCAATGTTATCGCGCGCTGGCCATGACCATTCGCCACACATCCGACTTTCGCACCGCCGCATTGCGATGCTACGCCCTCATCCATAGCCTGCGTAAGGTCGCCTCCATATTCAGTGTATCCAAGAGCACCATCCATCGATGGCACCGAGGATGCAAGCTGGATGACCCATCCCGGGTCCCAGCTCGCAGATCCACTTTCTTCGAGCAGGCATGTCCAGTCATTCGCACCCTGATTGAACAGGACCCGTTCCAGACTGGTCCTGTGTTGCGATGCAAGCTCGAGTCCATCCTCCAGAGGAAAGTATCACTCTCACTCTGCCACACTGCCATCCACCGAGCAGGTCTCTCACACAAGAGGGCAACACACCTCTACAAGTCCAAGCGACTGGATGAGCGAGTGGCACAGTTCAGGGACCAGGTCCGCTCCATCGACCCACGACGGCTCGTTTTTGTCGATGAGACAGGGATCAGGAGATCCATTTTCCCTCTCTACGGATACTCACCGAAGGGTGCTCCGCTTCGCCAGCGCAATCACATGAAACACAAGTCTGTCTCGGCTGCATTTGCCATCAACCACTCTGGTGTGCTGCATCGCATGTACATCCCCACATCATTCAAGACACACTCGATGGTCGAGTTCTTTGAGCGAGCGAGCTTCCCAGACGACTCTGTGATTGTGATGGACAATGTCAGCATGCACAAGACAATGGCTGTCCTGGACTGCATCGAGCGCCGAGGATGGTCAGTGATCTTCACCCCACCTGCCTCACTCGACTTCAATCCCATCGAGAACTTCTTTGGGGTTGAGTCCCCACCGATTTGGGGTTGAGTTCCTCCAATTTGGGGTTGTCCCTCCAGTCAAGCCGCCATTTTCACACTCAAATCCCTGGCTTGAACCTCTCGGCGATTTTTGAACAGGTCGCTTCCCCAACCAGCCCGCAAAGACGGGCTCCTGCTCTCGGGTATAAATGCCACACCTTCGTCCTGCTGCTTTCTTCCCTCATCTCGCCTTGATCGGATCATTGCGCCATTGTACGATAAAGAGAAGTCTCTGTTCTGACCAGTACCACTGGCAGGCACCCAGCATTCTCTGTCCCCATGCCTCCGAAGCGTAAGGGTACCGGTGATGGCCAGCCTCGGCCACCCAGGCCCAAGAAAGCCAAGTCACAGTCGGAGCCTGTCTCTGGTTCGTCTTCTGATCCCACGCATGCTTGTTTCTCTGTTGCTCCGTCGCTCACCACCACTGCTTCTGCAGATCCAATGGATGTCGATCCCACCGAGCCTGGTCCATCTACTTCCTCGAGTACCAGCAAGCGATGTCGCCAGTGCGACGGTACCGACCACGAGCGAAGCAACACCAGCAAATGTCCCAAATACCGGCCCCTCAAGAGTTCTGTCGTCCCACTCGTGGATGGAAGGTCATCCGCCCCTCAATACAGCTGCTTCAAGCAGACCATGGACGGCATCTTCTGGAAGAATGCAAAGAAACAATGGCTCAACCCTGACCTCTGGGGCAAGATCCAGACCACCGTCGAGGCCATGACCCAGATCCAGTTCGAGGCATCCAGGCTGCTCAACCTGCACATCCTCCGGTGCATCGAGCAGGATCTTCCCGTCCCCGTCATTTCCAAGACCACCCCTGCTTTCATCCGCCAATGCTTCACGATTGTCGAGGCCGGTGCCCTCTCCCCGACAGGGGACAATGAGAAATACAACGAGCATCTGGTCGCTTCCTTTCGCGACTACCAGTCCACTCGGCACGCAGACCTGCCTCCGACCCCTCGTCTGCCTGATGGTGCTCACAGTCAGCTTCTCACCCTGGCTGTCAACGCCTATGCCACCAACTGCACCGCCCACCTCGACCTGGCCTACTGGCGACTCCTTCGCCGCTTCTGCGCTGCCGTCTTCCCAGCCAACAAGCATAAGCACGAAGCCATCGAGGCCTGTCTCGAGCTCTTCGAGAAACCAGGGCAGACTCCACCCAAGGCCGATCTCGAGTTCCTCTATCCCGACTTTGGCCACGTCCTGGACGAGTTTCGGTACAGCAGCGACCAGGACCGCTTCCGGGCCCTCCATCGCCTCTCACACCATGTGGGAATCCTCGCCCGAGACAAGATGGTCGACAATGTCCACAAGTGGATCGACTGTGACATGCCCGCCCTCCGAGTCACCGAGCTGCAGCGCCAGGCCAAGCTGGACGAGCTCACTACCAGAGGCATTCCCTCCGACGACAAGAGGTTCACCACGGCCAAGTCTGAGCTCGGCACCACCAAGTCCAAGATCAACAAGCTGGCATCCAGACTCAAGTGGGCCCTCAAGCAGCTCGCTCTCGACACTCCTCCGGCCGTGTGCACGATGGTCCCTCTATGCACTGTAAGGGCCAAGTATGTCAAGATCGACACGGTCACTCTCTGGGAACTTCTTGACACCGAACATCGTCTTGGCCTCACCTGGGACAAGCTCAAGGAAGAAGGTGATGACGGCATCAACAACCAGGATCGTCTCTGGCGCAGTTGCTTCAAGCTGCGTAGTTCCCTCTTCCAAGAGCGGGACGTGAACAAGAAGCTGTTCAACTACGAGATCAGCACCGATGGCATTGGATGCACCATCGGCCTCGTCAAGTTTCTGCGTCGAACCGATCACACCGAGACCATCGAGCCTCCTCCGACTGCCGAGCAGCGTATCCAGGCCCACATCGGTGACCCAGACCCCAACCGCACCACTTGGATTGGCATCGATCCTGGAGTCGGCTCCATCTTCACGGCGGTCATCCAAGCACCGGGCCACCAAGACGAGGTGGTCTCATTCTCCAATGGTCACTATCAGCAAATGTGTGGCCATACGTCCAACACCAAGTGGCACAATATCATGAAGTATCGACTCGACATCGAGACCTGGAAGTCGACCACCCCCTCGCCCAAGGTGTCGTCCTCGGAGGCCTTCAAGGTCCATCTCACCCATGTCCTGCGACCGGAGCTGCGAGTGCAGCTCGACTTCCACCTTGGCAAGAAGGCCCGTCACCATCGCTTCACGGGCCACAAGAGACGCCAAGTGGCCGTCGACAAGATGTGCAAGGCCGTCCTGAAGCACGCCCCGATACGGACCGATGTGGTGATCGCCTTTGGCAATGCATCATGGCGGCAGGGCAAGGGCTATGCATCCAGCCCTCGGAGGCAGCGGTTCGCTCGGTACTTTGAGCAGTTCGAGCACCACCGCCGCCGGCCCAATCAAACCATTTGGCCGTCGACCAAAAGACCCGGGTGGCTCCTTCAATATGGACATGTTTTGGCTCTGTCCAGCCTGCCTCAATCAAGCCCATGCAGGGCCAAGTCAGCCACAGCTTTCTTTCGTGTGCGGTCTCGATCACAGAGGGACCCCCCTCCGAGCCCAGACTCCTGCTTGGAAAGTATCTCCTGAGCGTCAATCGAGTTGACCTGGGCAGACAGCGTTCAAAACGACCGCCTTGACCACTTGGCGTCGAACGTTTGCTCCTGTCTTCATTTCGCCGGTTGCTTAGGGCGACGGCACTTCGGCTGTTATTCCCAATAACCGGCCCAACGATACTCGATCACGAACCTCATCTCGGTTGATCGCGTATCCAACGGATACCACGACTCAGCTCCATCCTTCCACGCGACATCGAGTCTCCGCTGCTTGCAAAACTCGACCATGCGGCGTGCGAGAGTAGACAGTCTTGTGCATCTGCTGCTCCTATGCACCATCGGACTGACCGTGAACGCAGTCACGATTCCATATGATGGGGTCGGTAACAACCAGCTCTATCCGCAGCGAGGGGCTGCAGAGAGCCCGTATTTGCGGCTCATGGCCCCAGCCTATGCTGGTACGCATGCAGGTACGAGCCAAGTCGTATGTCGGCGAACTCGCACGGAGATCGGCACCTCTGAGGATTCTCGGGTGACCAGGGCCGATACTATGGGCTTCGAGAGCAGTTGAATCGGTACCTGCACTAACCTCGCCATTGCGTTCGACCCACAGAACCTTCAGGACCCAATCGACCAAATCCGAGGATTGTTTCGAATGCGCTGTTTCACTACGGCTCCTCGACAATCAGCCCGGAGGGACGCTCGGACTGGATCGGGGTCTGGGGTCTCTACATCCACCTCGACACCACTCTCGCCGACCGCAACGCGAGTGAAAGCTGTGCGATCAATGTGCCAACGGGTGATACCGTGTTTGATCCCCACAGCCAAGGAGGATATCAAATACCCATGATTCGCACTTCTGTGATCCCAAATTCAACTGATCCGCGGCAGGCAGGATCGCGGGTTCTCTCGAACGGGTTTTCGTCATATCTCGACGCGTCCGGCATTTATGGGGTCAACTCTCAATCGCAGTCGCTGGTCCGACTTTTCCGAGGTGGGCTGCTTCGAACTCAGATCGATCCCGTTGCAGGAGAGATCCCAATATATGTACGTATGATTGCTTGATGCGCGCCTGCGTGATTGTCCTTGAGCCTTCACAAATTGGCACAATCGACTCGCGCTTCACAGAGACGTGACCAAAGTGACGGTTACCCTCCGACAGGATCCGACAACAAAGTACCTTCTGTTCAGTCATTCGATCATCAACGTCTGTCCGCAGACAGTGCTCATCTACACGCTGCTCATACGTGAGCACAACCGCATGGCCAAGATCATTACCAAAGACTTTGGCTTTGACGTGGCCGCAGATGATGAGGCTATCTTTCAGTATACACGTCGTTATATTATCGCACTCATTCAGGTAAGTCTGAGCCAGCCGCCGAGCGCCGTGTATGTCATCTGAATTTCTGAGGACACAGCTCGCTTTGCCTCGAATGTATGCATCATTCATCAAACCGTTGACTCAAGAATGATCTACATGGCACTGACCCATTTGTCACGACCAACGCCGCTGATGTCACAGAAAATCACTTACGAGCAGTATCTTCCCGCAGTGCTGGGAGTGCTGATGCCTGTTTACAATGACACAATGTATGATCCCCAAATCGACCCGAGCGTAGACCTGTTCTTTGCCAATGTGGCGATGCGATATGGCCACACGGCCACCAGCAGCGTTGTAATGCGCCTCAATGAGAATGGCACGGTGATTCCACAAAGCCATATACTGGTAAGTTGATCGGTATCTCGAGCAAGCGTATGTGGAACTTACGCGTCCTCTGATTCATAGTAGTCCAACATTCTGGCGACACGACTAATCATCTCATTGGAATCGCATGTAGCTTCGCGATAGCACGTTCAATCTCTCTTATATCTTTGAGGCTGGCTTGGAGCCCATCGCTCGCGGATTCTTGTTTCAGCCCGAGCAGATGGTCGACTACCATTTCGTCGAGGACATCCGTAGCTACCTGCCAATCAATGCGCCAGATGGATTTGATCTCGCAGCGATCGGAATCGAAAGGTAGCGTCGTGCTTTAGGCTCATCTGGCGCGCCCGAACTTTCACCAATCCCACGTGTCGGCTGCGTAGGTCGTTAACGCATCTCTTCCTTGACGCAGAGGACGCGAGCTAGGGCTTCCGGACTACAACGCCGCCCGGGCTTTTTTCAATCTGAGCTCGATTTCATCCTATGCCGATCTGATATCCGATCCGCATATCCAGTCCATCCTTAGTTCCCTATATCCAAACATAAGCGACCTGGATGCCTACGTTGGTGCCATGTGCGAGCCTCCCAACCCGCCGGCCATATTTGGGTCCTTGATCCAAAGCTCGATCTACGACCAGTTCACACGACTCCGGGCCGGTGATCGCTTTTTCTACCGCAGGTCCGGCGTTCTGGACTCGTATCTCAGCTCCAAGCTCAGCACCATGAATCTAGGGCAGCTCGTTCAAATGAACCTGAACATCCAGTACTTTCCTCGCAATCCATTTGTGGTCCCACAAGTCTCGGACATCCCGGCATTCTTCAAGGGTCTGTCGGTTCAAGACACGAGTACGCAAGACCTCTCGCAGACCAGTGCGGGATATTCCTATCTGTTTACGAGCGACTATCGCATCAGCTGGGATATCCGACAGACTGATGGGTACATCGACATCACGCTCGAGTACAATGGAACAGGATGGTTCGGCTTTGGTCTCGGCGTTGACATGAGCAATGCCGACATTTACATTGTCGATTACAACAGTTCCACCACTGTGACTGTGCTGGACTGCTACTCATCGAATTTTCAGCAGCCCAACTTGGACACGGACCTTGGTGGCGTCAACAACGTCATGAACCTGCGAACTGTCGTTGGAGCCACATCTGGAAGTCGGGTGGTTGTTTCGTTCAGCCGCCTGCTGAACACGGGCGACCAATATGACTTTGTGATTACCCAGTCTACCATGCCGGTCATATTTGCATTCACGGACACACAGACCCTCGGATAGTGAGTATTTTCTTTGCTTCTCCGCTGCGAGCGTTGGCAGGGCGGGACGAAAGGCCATGGCCATAACGTAATGCCGTTCCCTCTATTTCCCATCCCCGTGGCTGCAAGTCATGGCCCTCTCAATCGCGGACATGCCTTGATCAACTTTTTCGACCTCTCTGCAACAAACGTGACCGCCACCGGGACGGCGTCGTCTCCGGACAGCATCTTCTTTCTGAAGGCACTCCACGGAGCCACAATGTTCATCAGTTTTGGAATGATGGGTGAGAGTCATCGAACTGGATCTCGAATGTAGACGCACGAAGGTCACCGTGCTGCGCCTTGCTCTAATCCGACATTCGCCGTGCAGCTCCTTTGAGTACCTTTGTGGCGCGCTACTCCACCAAGATGGATTCGTGGCTGAACATCCATCAAGCCATGAGCAGTTTCATATTCATTCAGGTGGGCAATTGATGTCGGTTGGCTCGCGTTCAAACAACTGGGGTTCACCAATCTAATGACTATCGAAATGACTAGGTGCTGATCGCTGCTGCGTCGGCCATCGTTGGAGGCTATGCAACCGATAAAGGCTCCGTTCATGCTGTGCTTGGGTTCACAACGGCGGGTCTCATCTGCATCTGCACCATTTCTGGAATCATCACAGCGGGGTAAGTCTGGAGGCAGATTATAGAGCGAGCGCGAAACGGGGCGCATGTGACATTCAATCTACTTCATCAAACAGTCTGCCGGTAGGGGCTGTGGCTGATGACAGACAAGAATCTGACTAGTTGCCACCCGAACTCAGCTGGAAAAACGTTCCGTTCGTCCTAAACAACACATACTGGGTGCGAGCTGTGCACAACACAAGCGCATACATTTGTGGTAAGCCAAAGCAGCAGAGAACCACCACCCAAGCATGTGCACCCCATAATCAGCAACTGCACTGCTATCGTTTCAAGGTATTGGCTCATATCGTACGGGGCCTTCGAGCGCCTTTGATTAACTCGGTACGGATGTGTTTCACCCTATCGCCCAGTCGTGCTCGGGATCATCAATGGCTACTATGGGCTCGTCAAGATCACGGCCGGTTGGAGCTACTCTCTCGTTATCATCAATCTTTACATTACATGGATGGTTATATTCCCCACAGGTCTGTGGTAGTGTCGGATGGTTTTTGTCAGATCGGCGTCTTTGCATCCTTCGCTTGGCCACAGTTTCAACGAGGCAGTCAGCAATGGCCAGCTTTGGCGACTCCTATGGAGCGAGACGGAGGCTTGTTTGTAGAGCGCTGAATTGTCTTGGCCACTTTAGCGCTCCTGTTCTATGGAGAGTATTCACTACGAAACAAAGCCGCCTCTAGCCAGCCGGACAGTGGAAACCTCAACACAGTGAAGCTCCAGGCTCTACCAAACTTTACTTGGGAGGACATCAACAGCAGAGTTGTTCTTGGCTCCAAGTGGATAGTCGTATTCAATGTTATTTATGACTTGGGCAGCTTTATTGAGAAGCATCCCGGTGGCAGCAATCTCTTGAACCACATCGGCATGGATGCTACCCTGGAATTTCAAGGCCAAAATCCTGGAAGCCATCCGCATAGTCGCCTTGCACACTTCATCCTCTCTGGGTTTGCTGTTGGAAGGCTCTCTGCAACGCAGGCCATGAACTTGTCAAGCGCCGGACTGATGACGCGAGAGCGATCGGTAAAGAAAACAGAGGAGCTGAAGACAGTTGTTGCTTCAATGTTCCGTCCATCAACTGTCAAGCAGTCCAAGGATCCTGAGACTGGTGGTAAAGACTCTCGGCCCCCTGGCGGCAGCCAGCCTCCCGTCGGAGTCATCAATCCCTTACAGTACACACTTCTCAAGATCTCGTCAAGGACGCTGGTGTCGACTCCGCGCAGCTCCCGCGAGATCTATTTGATTGTATGCGACTTTGCGAGGTCCGAGGACACCGTCTGCTTCCGCCCGGGAGACCATGTCGCCTTCCAGTACGTGGCGAGCAACGGTGATGTCGTAACCCGACATTACACTCCTATAGAATGCACTTGCGTCGGGAGCTTGAAGATCTTTGTGAAGATATACCCGAACGGCAAGGTATGCTGGCTACATTGGCGTGTTTGTTAGATTTGTTTGGAGCACGGTGCGATCCATGATTGTATACTGACGCCTGTGCGTGGTGGCTCCTACGGGTGCAGATGTCGCAGTATCTCAAATCAGCTTCGTGCATCCGGGTTCGCGGGCCACTCTCAGACCCGATGATCAAGTTCAACCCCATGCATCCACACGGCTGCTTCGACCGACTCGGGTTGATTTGCGGAGGATCTGGTATCACACCGATGCTCCTGATACTGGACTACTATTCCAAGTATGGGCAGCAGCATCTCAGCCCCAGAGCCACAAGTTCGGTTATCAGTATGGTGATCACTAACCACTCGGAAGACGATATATTTGGGCAAGATATTCTACAGAGGTACCAGCGAGAGTTTGGAAGCTCTTTGACCATCACGAACCTCGTCCACCAAGTCAATACGAGCTGGTCCGGCAGGAAAGGACGGCTTGACAAGTGCGTCTTGGTCGAGACCATGCCCGAACCCTGCTCGGTCAAGCTGGATGTACAAATGACCGCTCGGGCACCGCGGCAATCGGTGGGCATCGGTCGGATCATGTTCTCTGCTCAGGGTGACAATTTCGGTAAGTTCATTTGAATGCTGTTGCTCACGATTCAAGCAAGCATTTCCCGTGCATTTGAGTGAGGTTACATGGCAGCTGCGCCTGCAAAGTCGACCTATCCGTTTGATTTTTTTGGAGGAAAGGGTTTGCTGGCTGTTGGAGAATTGATGTTCGGCTACCCTGTTGAGCGCTCCTTTGCTCTATTGGTGCTTCGATCGAAACACCGGTTCGTCCGCGCAGTCGAAAACTCTCAGTACGTTGAGCAAACAGAAACAATGCGAGACATATCCACCGCTTCCGTCTCAGACGAGGGCGCTGCTTCAGTCGTGAGTCATATTATGATATGCGGGTAAGTTTGCGCCGAAGAGAAGGCGCCGCACTCCGGGTGGCGTCCTTGGGCTGTATTCAAGTCGCCCTTCTGACATTGCACCATCGATCCAGCCCAAAAGCCATGATCACCTCTGTGCTTTCGCTGCTGCAGTCTCTCAAGTATTCCGACGATATGATTAGCATATACAAAGCATCCGAGTGATTGGGGTTGATATTGTGTTCGAGTGATCGGGACAGTGCTATTTTGTCAACTGTCTCTCGCCCAAGTTCAATCCGCTCTCGGGGGTTGCTTGAAGCCGGGCTTGGGTCCTCCGGACGAGCCTTTTCTTCCTTTGCATTATCGGCAAGAGCGAGCACATTATGAGATACACATATGAATCATTCTTTGGAGTTTGTGGCTGCTCACGACGAATTGTATTGGAAGTGAGGGGAAAGGATCCCAGAACGTGAAATACAAACGGTTTTCTTTTTTCATCTAGCGGGAGGAATGACAAAGACAGGATCTTTCAACCAAAACATCAAGCAAGCATGGAGGGGGGGGTCTAAGGGGGATGGCGAATTTGGACAATCGAGCAAGTACGTGAGCAAGCATATTGAAACAGGCAGAGGAGAGAGCTGGAGAACAGGAGAGGGGGAAACGGCCTGCGAATCGGCTGAAGTGGGGTGGGACATGAACAGGTGGACAAAGGACTGGTGTCGAAGGGGGCTGCTGACCAGCTATCAAAAGGACTGGATCAACGGAGAAGGATCATGGACAAGCGTGGTGGGAGGGATGGAGAGTCTAGTGTGCGATTTACATACATGTCAGAAGGGGCAGGACAGGACCAAAACCGGTAGCATGGCTGGTTAGGTGGAGGAATGCTCTGCTCAGACGGCAAGTGACTGGACGGCATCAGAGACATTGCTGTGGATGAACTTTGTGGCATCCTGAGGCAACCAGGTGCTACCAGTGGGCGCCCCGTGCTCGGTGGGCGAAGAGGCAACCGCAGCAATGACCTTCTTGGAGTTGGTCGTCTGGAGGAAGTAGTTGATGGGGCGGACCAGGGCGGGTTTGACGCGGCTGAAGTGGATGGCGACGTTGTGGCCGGCATAGCGGTCGAGCTCGTGGCGGAGATCGATCAGGGCCTGAATGCCCGTAGCATCGATAAAGTTGACCGAGGACAAATCAAGGACAAGCGAGCGGAGGATGGGGCGCTCTCCACTGAGATCGGTCTTCTTGGCAAGGCCAGTCGAATCGCTCCAGACCTTGTCGTTGCTGTGCTTGGTAACAACGCCGCCGTAGCGGGTGCGCTCCTTGGCCTCGTCGAGGATCTTCTCGGTGATGTAGCTAGCATTGGGGTAGGTCAGGGACTCTTCGGGGCGGAAGACAAGAACGCCGGCGGGGGCGCTGGCGACGGTAAGACCATGGGACTGGTCGGGCGAGTACCACTTGCCGGCATGCTGGACGAGGGGCTGGATGCGAGGGCGGGCGATTCTGTACAGCAGGATTACGAGGGCAAAGCCGATGGACACTTCGATACCGGTCTCGATGTTGAAGATGACGGTGACAAAGAGGGCAACCCAGAAGGACAGGAAGTCGGTGAACTGGATGTCCCACAGCTGCTTGATGACCTCGGGAGGGGAAAAGAGCTCGGTGATGGCGGCAATGATCAGGGCCGAGAGCGTGGCCTTGGAGATCCAGAACAGAGCTGGGGTAATGGTGTACAGGGCAATCAGGGTCAAGATCGAGCTGATGAAGCCAGCAAAGGGACTGCGGACACCCGAGGCAGACTTGATGGCAGTGCGCGAGAAGGAGCCGGTCGAGGGGATGCCGCCAACAAAGCTGCCAAGGAAGTTGACGAGACCGAGGGCAACGAGTTCCTGGTTGGGGCTGACCTTGTAGTTGTTGATACGGCCGAAGGACTTGGCGACAGAGATGTGCTCGATGATGGCAACGACAATGACGGCGGGAAGGCCTTGGGCAGCGCGCGAGACGAGGCCAGCGTCGGTGAGGTTGGGAACGGCCAGGCCGGCGAGACCAGCGGGGACGGTCTTGACGAGGGTGATGGGGTACTTGCCGTTCTTGGCGTCCTTGCTGATGGCGTAGCTGATGCCGGTGAAGACAATCAGGGCGACCAGGTTGCGGGTGATACCAACCCACTTGAGCCAGCCAAGCTTGGGGTAGCGGCGGGCCAGGATCTGGGTGGTGTACTTGACGAGGAGCAGGAAGACCAGGGCAGAGACACCAAAGGCCGTGTCGAGGTTGCTGAGGGTCGAGGCGTTCTTGATGGTGTTGATCAGGATGTTGAGCGACGAGGGGTCGTTGGTGTTGACGCCCTGGATGCCAAAGAGACCGGGGATCTGGCCGATGATGACAGTGAGACCGGCACCGGTGGTGAAGCCCGAGATGACCGAGGAGGGAATGAAATCAACGACGATACCGAGGCGGAAGAGACCAAGGGCAAACTCGATGATGCCCTGGAAGAAGGCGATGGTAATGGCGATGGAGATGGGCGAGTACTTGTTGTCAGAGTTGACAGAGGCGATGATCTGGCCAATAAGCTGGGAGAGCACGGCAGTGGCGCCGATAGTGACATCTGCGATTGTGTGTGGGAATCACGGGTGGAGATGGGGTGGATGCCAAAGGAGTCATGAAGTAAGCATGGAATCTCAGACACAGCAGCGAGACACAGTCGGCAACACACCACACAGTCATGCGAGCTGCTTACCCTTGGAGGTGGCGAACAGGAAGTAGAAGAACATGCCGGCAAGACCGGTGTACAGGCCATACTGGACGGGGACGCCAGCAAGGGTGGCATAAGCCAGAGCCTGGGGAATGATCACGCCCGTGACGGTGATGGCAGCGATCAGATCGCCAGTGAACCAGGAGAGGTTGTAGCGAGGAATCCAGTCGATGACGGGGAAAAGCTCCTTCAGGTAAGTGACAGTGTTGTGGCCCAGGTTGTGGGTGAGGCCGCGAGCATTCTTGCGGATCTGGGTGTACTGCGAGTCAAAGACATCGTCAGGGTAGCCCTTGGGCACCGGGATGGGCTCGGCGGCAGGCTTGGTCATGGGGATTGAGATGGGCGACAGAGATGGAAGGAACCAAGCAAGAGAAGCAGATGTCCTTCTCGATGGCCGTCGGCAGTGTGGACGCAGCAATCTGGGAGGAGCTGGGGGCCCATATATATAGCCGAGGAGAGGCACCCAGGCGACAGACATGCACGGTCGCCTGGTGGTGGTGGGGGGAGGTGAGGCTGGTACCGCACGGCGTGGCCCGAGGGCAGCATGCCTCGGGCACAAAACGAGGGCAGCATGCCTCGGGCAAGCAGCATTGTCGATGTAGCCCAGCTGGCTGGGGCGTGGGCGGCATTGCTTTGCCAGGCATCGTTCCCACCCAACGGAGCTCTTGCCAGATCGGCTCCCCACCCAGCGTCGTTTTGCTTCTCGCGGCTTCCCCACAGGCAAGAAAGACTGTTCTGCAGAGCGTGCAGACCCCTGCGCCTGGACACGCGGGAGCCACACCCCCGGCGCCGCGGCAATCGCGCCATCGGCGGCAGCGGCAACCGGCCACGCGCTGGGCCACACCCCCGGATGACGCCATCTCCGGGCTGCCGGGACGGACCAGGCCCAGGTGCGGTGCGGCTGCTCGGCTGGGCACTGCTGCTTGTCTGCGGAGGCGTGACGGCCACGCGGCTGATATGATCTCTCTGTGCGCTCCAAGTGTGCTCTCTGTGCACTTTGACGTTCGAGCCATGTCGCAATCTGCTCGCGCGCCGAGGGCGAGTCTGTTCCTGTGTGCGTCTGCTCTTGTCTGCGCCCTGGTTGTTGTCCTGAGCGAGGACAACGTTTCTGCGCCTGGAAGGAATGCGTTCTTCTGCTCCGCTCTGTTGTGCTGCCAGGGGCGGTCTCGCGGCATCCCAACTTGCTTTTGGGTTGCTTCGATTCTGCTGGCTGCGCCTTCATGCGTTCCAACCCGCTTCTATTCGCTCCGGCCCTGCTCTATTTCGTTTGTGCCTGCACTCGGCGGGGCGAGAGAGGACACGCAGCGCGCCGGTCTGCATCGACACAGTCCCCAAAATGCATGCCACCACGGTCGCTGAGACAGCCGGATGCACATGGCTGGCCAGCGATCTCCAGCCTCCACTGACCACGACCGGCAAGAAACGTGCTCGGCCTTGCGGCGCAGAGTGGCCGGTCTGTCTGGCCTGGCCGTTGCGGTCTTTGGTTCGTCGCCGCACTGGACCGACAAAGCATCCCAGGCCGCATCGGTTCCCGCACTGGTTTCTGCCTCTGTACTGAATTGCTTTCGTTCAAGACACAAGGCAGCTGCGCTGTGATTGCATCTGAAGCACGATTGAGTCCAATTCGCAGCCGTGTTGCAGGCCGGTGGCAGAATCTGCCCTCCCGACGACAGGCACACCCCTTTCCTTCAACAAGGCCATCCACAGACCCGACGACAGGTGTCAGATCCACCGACCACGACGCAGCATGGCCGAGGGAGGGAGGGTGTGGCCCGTGGGGTTCAGCGACGCTCCGGAGCTGGAGAGGGAAGCCTCGAGGCCGAATGCGTCTGTTTGGTGGCGAATATCGATGCCACGGAGATGGGTATGCCAGTTGGCTATATCTTCCAGAGATCAGCAGGAAATCCTTGCGGCTGAGTGTGGAACTGGCCGCACTCCTTGCAAACGCCGACCGTGTATGTCCCGGTCTTGGTCTTGGTGCAGAAAACGCACCTCCATGACCAAGACTGAGACCATCACCGGATGGCTCTAGAGTCTATCGCTTGTTGAAATAGAAACAGGGCGCCATCTCGGACAGCACGACAATCGCCATCTCCGACACCTCCGCTGGTCACGGGACAAGTGGCGGTGCCGGCAAGCCACATTGTGCGACGGACGCGGTCACGGGTTTAGGCAAATCCAGCAACGTCGTACGGGCCAATCACCGATGCAGAGCCACATGGGTTGCACGCTGCTCTGTGCATCCGGGCGTCGCGGCGCACGATTGGCCCGCGGGAGTGGGGCACCATCCCGCGTGATGCACCAATACCACACGAATGCCACAACAATACCACACGAATGCCACAACGGTGCCACACGAATGTCACAAATGTCCATCCGCAAATGTTCATCCAGCGTCACTCCGCGCTCGGCAATCCACGCCCTTGATCGCTCGCATGGGTTTGCTGCATCGCCCCATTGGCCCATGTTTGCTGTGTTCCTGTCCAGACGGCATACTTTTATTCCGCACCGCCCTTAGGTCCTCCGTCAGCCAGCCAGCAAGCCATCCCAGCGCCGTTTCAGTCTTGCTTGCTCGCTGACGACGCTGTCTGCTTCCTGACGTAGCCTGTACCCGCCGACGTAGCCCCTCCACCATGTCGGCCCCCATTCCCATCAACTCCTCGAACGTCCAGTGGCTGGTTTGGCAGCAATCCAACAAAGTTATTCCAAGCTGCGCGACTACTTTGTCGTCTCCTGCGTCCACCATCGGCATCCTCGGCGACTTTATCGTTGCCACGAACCGGTGCTCCTGCTCTCCATCGTCATCCCAAAACACCTCTGCTTCCTGTGCCTACTCGACCATCCAGGCGTCCAACAACACCATCTTATACTACAACTGTGGCAAGGATACGACCTGTACCAAGGGCTGCAGCTTCGTGAGTGCCGTATCGACACTCTCTGTCAGCCCGTGTGCGATCGGCTTCACGGGGCAATATGGCTCAAGTGACTATACCAGTACCAGGTGAGGTTTCCCTTGCTTGGCTGCTGTGCTTGCTGCTGTGCTTGCTGCTGTCGTGCGAGATTCCACTCGCTGCTCAACCATGCCTGATGTCCGCTCGCCCGATATGCCGCAGGCCGCTACTCACTCATCCCCTGGTCTTCCAATTCGCCATTTGCGTCATTTCGTCCTCTGCAGCACCTGGGATTCGAGCTTCATGACATCGCATTTTGCCTATGCCACCTTCACTGTCAACGATGCCACCTGTAGGTTTCCGGGTGACAGCAACCGAATCCCAGTGTACCCTACTTGCACCAAAGTCCTCGCTGGCGTTTATGGCTACACCATTGCCAATCCCAGCTCGGGAATGCTTGAGCAATACGGCTGCTCCGATGCCGGCTGCAACACCTGCCAACTCGCGAGCAGAGGGCCCATTTCCGCGGCTTGCACTGCCAATATCGGTGACTCAGACACTTTCTACACCGAGTACCGTGCCGGGATCTTCCTGAGCGACCCCACTCTGCAGCTTCCAACGACCTTCCCCAACCAAACGCGACCGATCGCTACTACCACCGCGACGCCTTATCCCGACTCGCCCTCGCCCTCTACCGACGCTGGGTCGAGTGCTGGTCTTATCGGCGGCATCGTCGCGGGTGTTGTTGGTATGTTGCCTGATTGCGTCCGCGAGCTCGCTGGATGTTTCGAAGGAAGATTGGCTTTGCCTGTCTTGGCTAGGCCTGATTTCAGCGATGAGTGTCCTGTTGGGTTGGATATCCTTTCCAATATTTTGTAGACGGGTCGTGTGAACGACCATGTCAACGGCTATGCGGGTAGCTCGATTAGTTATGGATTTCAGAGAGGTGTTTCACCTGTCCGATTTTCGATCTACTCACCCCTCCAATCTGCAATCGTACCAGCTCTGGTCGTTGCGGTCGGTGTATTTGTCTGGCTTCGCCGCTCCAAGAGCGAAGGCAAGCCATCTTATCCACAGGCTCCCGTAAGCCATCCGATCGCCTCGAGCTCTGCGCTGGTCAACGATCGACCCACTTCCGTGTACATCCCTTACAGTCAGGCCACGCAAGTTCCGTCTGCCAACATCCAGCCAGCGTACAGCCAGCCCGCTTACAGCCAGCCTCCTGCCAGCTATCCCTATGGCTCTGCTGCAGTTCCCATGCCTAGCCATGCGCCCACTGTCTCCCAAAGCTACTCTGGCAGTCTTCAGCCTCCCCAGAGTCACATCGCCGGCGTTCCTCAGTATTCAAGTTATCGAAATCCATCTCCGGTCTTGGCATCCGCTCCGGCTCCGCCGACCCTGAGCTACAGCGAGTCGGTCGGAGCCGTGGATCGAGTCGAGGGTTATCGGCCTGGAGCTGCCACAGTGTCGGCCGTCGTTCAGTACACGGTCATTTCAGCCTTTGACACCAAGGATCCGGCTCAGACCAACCTGAATCTCGGCGATGTCATTCTTGTTCATTCCCCATTCGTCAACGGATTCGCGCAAGTGAGTCTATGCTCGGATTCAGGATCCCACCTCCGCATAACTATATCTCCATGTCTCCTTGTCTTCAAACTATCCGTGACTCTTGCTTGCACATTGCCACGTCTCTGGCACCGTCTCTGACAGTGTTTGATCTATCTTTTGTCAACTACAGGGCTTTAATCGGTCCACAGGTCTCTCTGTGCTCGTCCCTCAGCACTGCCTTCGAGTTATTGATGAAGCCCACACTCATCCTCTCCCGGGCACTGGAGACGGCCTTCCAAGCTACATGGCCTGAGTCGCATGGCCCAAGATGTGTGGCGGAACAGGATGCTGAATGGCGTTGGCCAGATTACTTCAAGAAGAATGTGCCCACAAATTGCTTTGGCGAATCGATTAGCTCTTTGCGCCCTGTTTCTCTGCTGTACCGGATCAATGCGGATTTCTATGATTTACCCTACCCCAGCACTGCGCTTGCAGCTGCATGGATTATCCAAGTTAGTCCTCATATATTCTTGATTCCTTGTACTTCTATGATTTTGCCTCAATGTTCAGCTTCCCTATGGATTTCCAGAAGTATAACTCTGGTAACTAAACTGTTGTGTTTGATTCAATACATCAGCTTGAAGAATCTGGATTTGCGCGTATCTTGGCGACCACAGTGATGCGGCAATGTCAGAATTTGATAATCGAATATTGAACACTGGGAAGATGGGCTGTACTCTTGAATACGGGATATGAATGCATCGCTTAGTTGGCTGTAGCCTTGGTTATTCGATGGTCGAGTGGGCGAGATAGGCGCGGGTGGACAGGTTCTGTATCTCAAATGCACACGAAGGAACGTTTGGGATTGACGTATATGATATTGCCGTATTGGTCTTTTATATTGCATGGCCACGAAGCATATTCGAGCTCAAACTGGTTCAACTATGCCAATTTCGAGTCCGTCCGTGCCCAAGTCCCTCCATGCCCGAGCCGCTTGGATGAGTGACTCAAGGCGTATCGCTCGACTTGCGCGGCGGCTTGTTCTCGACGTTGGTTGGCGTGGGCAGCAGAGACTCTTGACTCATGCTCACTTTGGCATCATCGACCGCAGCGGGTGGACTGGCCTCTTTGGAGCTCGTCGATAGTGAGAAGAGATAGCAGCGGATGCCAATGCCGATGATGGCAAGGACAGCAGATACGCCAAGCAGGATCGGAGTAACCGACATGGCAGTGCTATCGCCATCGTCGCCGTAGCTTCTTTGCTTCAACGGGACAGCACCGCCAGGATGAGCGACGAGCGCACTCAAGGCAAGAAAAGGGAGCAACGAAGAGATCATATTTGAGCAAAAGGACAAAGTGATGGCGAGGGTAGGTAGTAACGATTCGAGCGATGTGGGTGCCGAGGCCAGAACGACTCCATCATATACGCGAATCGGAAGTGCCCCATCCCACGAGCAGCAGAGTTGATGCGCCGCCGCTGCATTCGACGGATCACCACCTGTCAGGGTCGCTGGAATGGACGCGGAGGGGCCGTGCAGTGCGACGTCGAGGGGAGTAAGGCTAGTCGGTCAGGGTGATGCGCATCGGGTCTTCTGCCGCAGCGTGTGCATCGGCGTCCATACAACCGGCCATCTTGTGTCCCATGGATCGCAATCCTCCTTGTCACGTGTCGCCGGTGTGTCAAAATGGTGGCGTGCACCCCCATGGGCCTTGCTCGGGTCCCACACACATCGAGCGGATCACCACCGCCGTTGCACCGCCACCTCGTCCCGTGGTGTCGATCTGGATCTGCCTCCCGTCGGGCGAGTGCGCTCTCCAGTCGACGCTTTCAGCGGTTTCGGGGCTGGTGTCTCTCCCTCACCTCGTCGACTATCATCCATTTCGGAGTCGCAAACTCTGTCGCTGTACTCTCCCCGCGCCCCATAGCAAAATTACTCATGGAATCAAAAATCGCTGGAACTATCACCCGGGTCTCTGTTTTGATCAACTCCACCACTGAGCCCAATGTCAAGGAGGCAGCCCAGGCCGCTCTTTCCCTGTACTCAGCCCTCCGGCAGACCGATGACAATCAGCAGTCTTGGTGCTTCCTCGTCAACCAGTCCCAAAATATCATCCGCGACCTCATCCATCGGCAGTCGACGATGCCTGCATTTTGTCAGAGAGTCGCTCGAATCGCTGAACTCCACCAAGAAATCGAGAGATACTATCTCTGCTGCATCTACCCTTTGGTGAAGATTGAGCATCTCTTTGCCGGACCCAATATCCGCAAGAAAATCGGACACTTCTGCAAGGAGCTTGATGCCCATTGGCAAGGCGTGCTCTCGCTCTTCTCTGTCAAAAACCAGAGACTCAATGGAGGCGCCATTCTGCAGGCGTCCAATGACGACAATCTCCATGATGTGGCCCGCCTTGCTCATATCGGCGACCTTGTCCGAGCGAACAGCGACAGCGCCTTCGTCGAACTCGGGCTCCATCCTTATGCGGAACCAGATTGGGCGATCAGGAGATCCGCCGCAGCCCTCATAACGATGCTCGGTGATCCTGTTAGTTTCGGCGAGCACGCCGAGCTCGTTATCCGCCCGCTCTTGAGGATGTTGCAGGATCATTTCGAAGCTGCTCGCTCGGTTCGTTCCGAGAGATGGCGAATCCATCCGACTTCTGTCACTGACTGGTCCTCCAAACCCATAACCGAGGGAGCTGCTGGAAGGGTCTTTGAAGCAAAGTTCCTCGGCTCGGATGTCATCGTCCAAATGCTTCATTCCGGTCTAAGCGAGACGAACATGGTCCAATTTCGCCGAGAAATCAGCCGCTGGCACAGCCTCGCCCATCCCAACCTACTGTGCCTTCTTGGAGCTTGCGACACCGTTCCAACGCCATTCATGGTGTCCCCTGCCGTCGCCACCACCCTTGGTCAGCAATTTTTGACCGCCAGCAACGCCAAATCGATGGAGACCAAGCTGCAGTTGATGCACGGAGTTGCATTGGGAATGGCGCATCTCCACAGCAACGGTGTCGTTCACGGCAACCTCAGGAGCGATGCTATTCTTCTCGGCTTTGTCGGAAACCCAATCGTGGCCGACTTTGGAATATCAGCACTCAGACAAACATCAGGACCAAGCATCGGCCAGGTTCCGGAAAGGACTTTCGAGTATTTGGCTCCTGAGTTGGTTGGTAAAGGATCCCCGTTTGAACCGAGCATCAAGGGCGATGTATATGCCTACGGAATCACTTTCTACGAGCTTCTGAGCAATGGAATCATCTGGACGGATGCCAGTGGACGTCCTTTGGACAGAGCGTCGTTAGAATATGCTCTTCGACAAGGAAAGCGACCAAAAAGAATCCGAGGCGTGGTGGATGAAATCTGGGGGCTCGTGGAGCAATGCTGGCAGCAAAACCCAATGCTGCGACCCAGCTTTGCCGAGATTGTCGGGCGGCTCGATCCTTTTGTTGTAGCGTATGCAAAATATTAGCCACAGTGTCTGTTATGAATCAACGTTGGCGGGACCATGTCCGGGAGGGCACCGTGATTTGTGTACATCGTTGCAGTACGGGCTCCTCCGCATCCGGCATCCACCCTCGACCAGCGACTTTGCGCTGTTCATGATTATCCTGTTTTGTTGGCCATAATATATTTTCTTTCAAGCATATATGCCTTCCTCTCGCCGCACACCTTCCCTAACATATATGCCGACATGGCGTAAATATTCAAGTGATGGGAGGGTGAATTCAAACGGCCAACTTTGGAACGAGTTTCGTTTCCATCATTCACAGTAAAATCATCTTTATTCGCATAGTTCAAGGTTAAAATTCAGAGACCCGCACGGCAAAGAGAAGGTAAGGGGTAGAGGTCTATTGGTAGGCCGCGGGCTCATTCGAGGTCTAGGACAAGAAGGTGGACACATTGCAATTTGCTGAGAGGGAAAGACGAGCCTGATACGGATATCAAGGTTAGAAGAGTTCAATTGAGGGAGTTGATCGGAACGCACTTGTAAGGGAGAGGGGAGCTCGTGGAAGTGGAGGTAACCGAGGTAGAGGTGGAGGTCGAAGGGGTTGTAGAGGTTGGAGTCGTGACCGAGGTGGTCGGAGTGGACGAGGCGATGGAGGTGATGGAGGTGATGGAGGTGATGGAGGACGTGGTGGAAGTAGTCGATGTGTTGGGCGAGGTGGTGATCGAGGTGGACGAGGTGGTGGTCGAAGAAGCCATGGTAGAGGTAGAGGTAGAGGTAGAGGTAGAGGTAGAGGTAGAGGTAGAGGTAGAGGTAGAGGTAGAGGTAGAGGTAGAGGTAGAGGTAGAGGTAGAGGTAGAGGTAGAGGTAGAGGTAGAGGTAGAGGTAGAGGTAGAGGTAGAGGTAGAGGTAGAGGTAGAGGTAGAGGTAGAGGTAGAGGTAGAGGTAGGGGCAATTGAGGAGGAAGAGGCGACTTGACTAGGCAGAGTAGCGCCAACTGAGAGCGCCAGGCCCGTACGACTGTTATCGTAGTCGTAAATGGAGTAATAGCTGCGCAGGAAAGCGTCGCCAAGAATCCATCCAGGGCCATCTCCTGGTGATTGAGGACGAGTTAGAGCCGAACAGAGCCTATGCAAGTGGGGCAACATGGATGAATTCAAGGGCTTGGGACTTACGGATTGGCTCGACAATGAAGAGACAAAGTGTGCCTTGACCCAGGGGCATCATATACTGCTGCGGTGGGATGCTGAAGACATTTCCATGAAGGGCGATATCAATGTTGGGGAGGCCCGGGACTTGCGAGCAGTTCAGGGTGTAGACATTATACTCTGGATGGTACGTGAAGTTCACGGGCATGGATGGAATGATGATGTCCGTCATATGTTCCTGAGGCACGAGGATGAACGACGTTCCTAGACGGCCGAGTATGAATTCAAACAGAGGGAACTGTGAGTCGTCCATTTGCCAGTACAAGCAGAGATGTTCGGAACGTGACACATCCGAAAAAATCAAGCTACCCAGCCTTCCAATGGGCTCTCCGTTTGCTGTTGCTGTTTGCTGTTTGTTCCGAGAACATACCACTATCAAGGATGGCAGATGTACCGTCGGTGATGGTGGTGTTTTGCCCGTTGATATTGATGCTGGTAAGGGAGTGGCTCCAGAAGTATTTATAGCTTCCGTGGGCATAGGGACCATTTTCAACGTCCAGCCAAGTAATTTCGCCTATAAAACGGCTCGGGTCATACCCGCCAATCGATAGTTCGCCCCCGGTTGCGTAGTCATTGCCGTCGGTGGAAGATCCGTTGAGCCAGAATGCAAACATGGCATTGTCAATGACTCCGTTTCTCTTCATCGACTGAACTACGGTCTCTTGGGTTTGATCCACTAAGAAATGAGGGTGTTCGTGACGAGATACATATAAACACATGGAAGTTCCGTGGACGCATATCTGAATGCGAGGTAAATGTCCAGCATAACTCACCACTCGCTCCATCGTTGCGGGCAAGGCCGAGCGTGCCATCTTCTCCTTCCGATGTAGTGGAGGCCAAAGTCGAGTCAACGTAGCTAACATCGTTGAAGACTTGCTGAAGCGAAGCCAATCCGGCAAAGTTGACGGTATCCTGAAGTTGAAGGAACGAAGGCACGAAAGGTGAGAAAACAAAGCGCTCGACAGGACACGAGCCAAAGCGAGGGCGACTCACTACCTTCAAGGACTTACGTATGATACATAACCGCTGCATTCGCCTGCCCCGTAACTGATAGCTTCGTATTGGCTGGTCACGGAGGAGGTAGAGCTCTTGGTGGAGTCGTATTTAGCCTTGCCCTGGCAGGTGGAGCAGGAAGCACCCTCGACCCAGAGTCGGTTGGATCCAGTGTCCAACAAAACAGTAAAAGGCTGAGGTGGGGTTCTAATAGCAGCGTATCAAGAATGGGAGGGAAAGTTGAGGAAAGGAATTGCGAGTTGATTGAATGTGGTACAGAAAATCATTTTCCAAAGGGGCTATCACCACATGCGGTCAAGTTGGTCCAACGGAACGAGAACATAGAGAGCGACGAAGAGCACTAAATAGAGTGTCAGAAAGCAAGCGTACCCGATAGAGATACTGGCCCTATACTGTAGTTAGGTTGGTCAATCGTGGTGAAATATCCCGTTTCGGTTAGCACTGCCGACTCAGTCACGCTCTAAGGGGGTATACTGAAGCAGTAGATGGAGAAAAGCTTACGGCAAGGTTCCCGATATTCATGATGGTTGTGTTGGTCGAGCTTGCCACGTTTTCCTGGGCAAGTCCAAATCGCTTGCTCCATTTGGAGACACTGGCTGCAGCGCCGAGAGAAGCAGACTCAATGGTGCTGCGGTCGGTCTGAGGCTTAAAAATCGGAACACTGATAATGGGGCAGAGAGGTATTAGTTCCCAGACCAAGAGGCACAGTACCCGCATCGCCAATGGAGCCGATACAGGAAATGAATGCAAGCCGTCGAGTGGTCATATGCCGTGAGGATACTCACACATTGACCGCGTACGCGGTGGTGACCACCGTCAACGCAAAGATCCCAGAGTGAAACTTCATTTCTTTGGCCTACGCAGTGCTCCGATATCGACTCGAGGGTGATGATGGCTCGCTCAAGCGCAATCGAGACACGTTTTTATATGCAGTGACGGTCGCTGACGGACCACGAATGGACCAGCACGGATCGTGGGAATTGTTCGAGATGGAGTCTCTGTGAAACGATCGCCAGCCCCCTTGTGGATGACTCGCCTCTGGCTGGATGGGAGCCGTGAGGCGTCCCGCAAGGAGAGCCATGTCAGGACACCATAAAGCGATCGGTTTCGTGGGACCGATTCGGGTCCCTGGGATCATTCGCGAGCCGTTTTTCCGGGGTGGTCGCTCGTCAAGTTAAGTGGTGGGTAAGATGGACCAAGGTCACTCTGTCGACATTTGACCAAGTTGCTGCCAGATGCCTGACTCGATATGCGCAGTCCCATGATCGAACAAGAAAGGGGGGGGGACAAGATCGAATATATTTGAGGGGACGGGTCGTCCGGGAGAGAAGCATCGACTCTTCGGCGGCGGTGTTGTGATCGAGCGTTGACCAGAGCCCAGGACACCCGACGACGAATGCTGTGTCGAGAGGGGGGTCAATGCCGTCATATCCTTAGCGGATAACGGCTGAAATCGGCTGATGTGGGCAGAAGCGGAAGGGCGATCCAAAACGAGAAACTCGATGCGCCTTCCTCAGCTCGATCTCCGTTGGTGCCGATCAAGTGTTTGTTGACGAGCTTACTCTTTCCACCGAGACGCCGATAGCTTCCGAAAGAAATAGGGAGTAGGAAACCGATACTCGAAATCCCCTGCCCGTCTTGTGTGAATGGTGAAGGCACACGTGGTTCACAACGGTCGCCTCGCTCCTCTTTACTTTCCCCGCGGTATCTATAACCTTGGTCGCAAACCCTTTCGAGGGCATGGCCACCAGATAACCCTATTTTAATGATCGGCACAAACGAATAGAGATGCTAATACGATCGCTCGGATGATATTTGGCGCGTCGAGCGACGGTGACTCAAAGATATTGATATCATGTACTCAAAGCGCCGATTCAAACGAGAGGGGGGCGACAAGGATAGAAGCCTTGCACTGGCTCTAATCGAGTGAACGGAAGTGTGCCGCCCGCTATTGAGAGGGCCGTCGGCGGAGAACTTGAAGTATGAAATATGGGTGTGGCTGCCGATGTCCGAGCTATGGATATGCCGACAGAAACAGATCTACCCAAGGGGCCATGATGGGCGCACTCAAATATTTACTCCAACACCATGGTGGAGCAGGTCGAGGCCCGCAGCTAAGCCAAGCGCCAAGTCTGGAGATGAGACGCTTTCCTCAAAATACAATTCTGATTGCCGAGGACACTCCTTCGGTCGACCAGCGCATTTTAGCCAGACCAGAGCAGCGCGCTCACCAGCGAGGTTCTCGCCCAGCCGACTCGTGGAATGGCCTGAGCAGCAGACCGCGGGCCCGTCTGCCAGAAGCCGACCGTCGGATACAATGCTCTCCAGAATCGGGTGCTCGCCGAGCACGTTTCGCGCAACAGGATGCGATTGGTCTGGGCGATTCGGTCCCTCGATGCGGTGGCGGCCATGGAACCGCGCAGCAAGTGGCGATGCAGCACTCCATCCGCAAGGCACAGGAATAAGCAACAGTCACGGCTGTTCTTTTGGATCGGATGGATGTCCCAGTGACCCCGAGTCAGACAAATTTGCGCCCTCTTGGACGACTTGGCCACGCACCCACTGGCCCGAGGCAGGGGATGGGACATGCACCCTGGTGTGAGAATAGGCAGAATGGGTCAACGTCCAAGTCGGTGGCGGGTCCGGTGCGATCAAGGGGCGAATTGGGCGGACGACGAGAGCAGGGGCGTGCACATAGTGGTGGACTGGACGCAGCACACAGACACCAAGATACAGTCCTCCCCGCCGAGGAAGCGCAGGATCAGCTGCCGCGCTCCCTCATCCGGGGACGAACGGGAAGGTGGACGGCTCGCGGTGGCCCCGTGGCGGTGCGTCATGCAGCATGTACCACCAGAAGCACGTCACGCGTTCTGTCACACATGTCTTGGATTCGCGGTCCGGTGGTTCCATGGATCAGCATGAACCAGCACCGCCGCCGACCGATCTCCGCCAGGGCGATCGCCGCTTTCTGCGACGCGGAGCGTTGAGAGCGACAGGATGAAATCCAAGGGAAGAGATATGTGTATTCGCACGATGCCGGCTGTGAGCCCAGCGTCCAGGTCGGAGCGGAGAGTGCAAGCCGTTGAGACACATGCGCCGACCAAAGGGGAACGCCTGCCGCGGCAGCGTCGCATTTTCTGTTCATGATCATGATCCGAGTGATGGTCTGGAGATATTCATCGCCGGATGGGTTCGTGCCACTGTGGCGCCCGTGCTCCGCATCGACGCTGAGGAGTATGGCTCAGCGCAATATCGGAATCGAGGATCAGTCGACCCAACAGAAATCATCCTATCATCCGGAAAGATCATCCGGGGAACCTATACGGCATGGCGCATATGGCGTCGGCTTTTGCGATTTATGTCCATGGCATCTCGCCAAGCCTCTCTTTCCCTCGCGTTATCGCTTGTGGCCTGCACATGCTCCGCATATCCCCTGCTGTCCGACATTGCGGTGCTCCAAGGTCGCAGATTCACCGCCCCCATCAGGAATACACAAATCATCGGATCTTGACCCCGCTCGGATGACTTCTGTCGCGAGAACTTTGGGTGTAAAGTCGAAGTAGACTGGCAGCCGATGCAGGAAATTTGATGCCGAGCAGCATCAGCTGATGAGAGCATGCCCCCTCCTCCGCCAAATTTGATCATGCCGCTTGCGTGGGATGCAGGGCTTGCCCACGCAGGAGCCTGGTAGGTTTGAAGCCATCTCCTGAAAGACACGTCTCTGCCCCAAACCACCTCGGTGTCCAGTTTCGCATATAAACCCCATCGCCGCGCGGCCTTGGACGGTCCGCATCCCTCACTGCCGACGCTCCTCTCCCTCCCCTCTTCTCAACTCCTCACAATGGTCTCATTCAGAGCCGCTGCTGCCGTCTTTGCCTTTGCCGGTGCCGTCGCTGCCCAGTCCCACGCTGCCGGCGACTACCTCTGGCCCTACCCCGCCCAGGTCACCGACAAGAAGGCCCTCATCAGCGCCCATGGCTTCACTCTCGCTGACAACAGCCAGAACAACGAGAACGTTGTTGCTGCCTTTGGCCGTCTCCAGGCCTCGGCCCGCTCGCGCTTCTCTGCCTCCAAGGCCAAGAACTCGCTCAAGGTCACTGTCTCGATTGCCAAGGATGAGGGATTTGCCGCCAAGGACCTCGTCGGTGCCGATGAATCGTACACCCTCGATGTGAGCTCGAGCGGTGTCAACGTCAAGGGTGAGTTGTGTGCCACGGCGATGCACTCTGATCAGGATGGATGAGATGTGGCTCATGATCGATTGTCCTGCGATGCACGATCTGATTGTCCACGTCCTTGACCGCGGCCATGTCACGCTCACCATGATGTGTATGTCGCACTCACCGACCTTGATACTGTCGCACTCACCGACCCTGATGTGTATGTCGCACTCACTGACCTTGATACTGTCCCATTCACTGTCCCTGCCATCAACTGCACAATCCCACTCCCACTCCCACACAACAGCCAACACCCAGGTCGGCGCCATCTACGCCCTCCAGACCCTCTCCCAGCTCGTCACCAGCAGTGGCCAGGTCGTTGCTGCCACCGTCAACGACGCTCCCGCCTATCCCTACCGTGGCTTCATGCTCGACACTGCCCGTACCTTCTTCCCTATCGAGGACATCAAGCGTATCATCGACGGCCTGGCCTACTCCAAGATCAACGTCTTCCACTGGCACTTATTTGACTCTCAGTCCTTCCCCATCGACTGGCCCTCGTACCCCCAGCTCAAGGCCACGGCTTTCAAGGATGCTAATGGCAACCCCAAGGTTTACAGCGAGGAAGATGTTCGTGAGCTCGTCCAGTATGCCTTCCAGCGCAACGTCCGTGTCATTCCCGAACTTGAAGCTATCGGCCATAATGCCGTCTTTGCTGCTGCCGATCCTTCCTTCGTTGTGGGTCTCAACCACTCGCCTTGGGATGGACGCAACGGCGATGCCAACAACGCCTCCAACGGTGTTGTCTGGTGGGGCACCCAGTGGTGCGATGAGCCTCCCTGCGGCCAGATCGATCTGACCAACCAGGCTGCCATTGATTTCTACGGTCAGCTTGTTGCTGAGGTTGGTGCCTGGTTCGAGGACCCCATTGTTCACTTTGGCCACGATGAGTTCAACTACCGTGTCTATGGCACCACTCCCGACAGCTGGGACACTGTTGATGTCAATGGTATCTATGAGATCATGGCTCAGGCTGAACCCAAGTTTATTCAGATTGCCGAGACCAACAACAAGCACTACGGTGCCTGGGATGACATTGTCACCGACTTCAACGTCCAGAACATCATCCCCAAAGACACCTACATCTGGAACTGGCAGGGCGACAACTCGGCCATCCAGAACTTTGCCGACCAGGGCTTCACCAACATCATCGCCTCTCCTTCCAGCGTTTACTACCTCGACTGTTCTCCCACGGCCCACTGGTGTTCAAGCACTTTTGAGCGTACCGTTCCCGATAGTTCCCTCAATATCCCTGGCTATGTAACCTTCGCTGGCCAGTGGCACAACTGGACGTTCATCTACAACTACGACACCACCGCCGGCTTGACCGACTCTGCCAAGAAGGCCATTATTGGAGGCTCTGTTTGCTTGTGGACCGAGACCATCAAGCGCCACAACCTCGATCGCTACGTCTTCCCCCGTACCTCTGCCTTTGCCGAGCGCTACTGGTCTGACCATGCAGCTCCTGCTTACGATGCCGTCAAGACCGCTGCTCGTCTCGAACGTTTCCGCACCACCCTCATCAACGAGCTCCAGATTGCCGCTGCCGATCTCTCCTATCTCGGCAACCAGGAGGAAACTGTCTTCCGCACAGAGTGGTGCGACGCCAACCTTGATTCTCCCGCTCAAAAGACTTATGAGTGCTGTTTCCCTGGCGAGTCCCTCACCGGCCACAACGGCTCTCCTCTCAACACTACCGTTGGCGCTCACTTCCCCTCCAACGACAACACCGACTACTGCAAGATCGCTACCGCCTACAACAGCAACTTGTTCACTCACGTTGCCCCCAAGCCCACTCCCTACCCCTACTAGCCTGGCTGACCTTTCAAAACTGTGTCCCTGTCCATTAGTGCACCGCTTGTGATGGGTTTCTGATCTCCTATGAAAATACTTTGTCTGTGACGCCTTCGCTTCAAGTTAGCGGGGTTGTAATCTTGACAATACAATACAGCTTCTGTGCGCATCCACTCATTCCAACCATGTCCATCCAACGATCATGGAGCCCACGGCTTTGTGCCTCGTTCACAGGACTCGCAGCCACTCGGCGTAGATGAGTCAACATAGGATTGGTCGCAGACTTGACGTGCCATGGCCAATTCGCTCGGGTTGTGTGTATAGTCGTATATTTGCGAGTATATGAACAAAACGAAGCAGGCCGACACAGTATGGTGCACGACAAACTCAATACATATGTGCCCGGTCCTGCGCAGGAAATATTGGATATGTTTCTCACAGAAGGCACCCTACCAGTGGCCGATCACAATCGACTTGACAGCAGCAGTTTGCAGAGTTTAGGCCTCGTTCTTGACGGCAAAGCCGTCGTTGGGGTGGTCGTACTCGAGCTTGACGTCCTTGCGGGCCTCGGCAAGACGGAGCAGGTTGTCGTGCAGAGGGAGGGCGGCAGGGGGGAGGGTGGCGCGGAAGCGGTCGGACTTGATCCAGTCGAGGCCATGTTGCAGGATGTTCTGGGCGCGGGTGGGGCCGCCGCTGGTGATGCCCATGGAGCCGTGCAGAGAAGCACGCTTGACGCCCTTGGGGTAGTGAGCACGATGCAGGAGGTTGTTGTTGTAGAAGACGGTCTGGCCGGGCTTGAGGTGGAGGACAACCTCGCCGGGCATGTGGCCGTAGGGCTCCTCGATGTTGACACGGCGCTCCTCGGGGGTGCGGAGGCGGTTGTGCGAGCCGGGGACAAAGATGAAGCACGAGTCGTCATAGAGGGCAGTGTTCCACTGGGTGCCATAGTGGGGGATCTTGAGGCGCTCCTGCTCGACTTCCTCGGAAACGTTGACCTCGATGCAGTCGCGGTGCCAAGTGAGGGCAAACTCGTTGTCGACGGGGTTGATCAGCAGGTTGAAGAGCTCTGTTGGGAGGTGAGCGAGGCGAGGCGGGATCAGCATGGAAATGGGAAGATGCGAAACGCAGCACGGATGGCGACAGTACCAGCAGCCAGTTGCGGATGCGAGACATACCAAGCTGCAGCTGATCGCGGGGAACCTCAAGGAGCTCAGTGATGGTCTTCAGCATGGGCTCGGAGGCATAGTATTGGGCAAAGACGGGCTCGCCGAGATCGGGGTGCATGACGTGCTGGATGGCCCAGATGTCATAGATGGCCTCGTCCTTGGGCCAGGGAGGGAACTGCTTGCCGACGGTGCGTCTGTGGAGCGGGTGTGAGCACGGAAACCGTTACAAGACCGAAGGCAAATTGGTTGTTCGAAGGCAGGGGCGCATGGTGATCCCGCTCGGGGATGGCGGATCGTTGGGCTGCGTCAGCGGATGCAGGACGTACCTCTCGCGCCACTCAGAGTTGCGGCCCTTGGCGATGACACGATCGGCAGCCTCGACGAGGGAGTTGAAGAGGTCCTCGGGGATGAGGTTGTCGATGATGACGTAGCCCTTGGTCTCGAGTTGTTCGTGGATGGAAGCCATGGCGGAGGAGTGCGTGTGTTGAGGAGCCTGTGATGGCGATGCAGCGAGGACGGAGGCAGCCGCCCCGCTTTATAGCGCAGGCAGGCCGGCGTCGTCCTCGGACTCTCGCCGAGCGGACCGGAAGAGCGTCCAGCAGAACCCAAGCCAGCGACAAGGGTGTGGCGGGAGCGTTGGATGGGCGCAGATCCATGGAACTCTCGCCAGAAGGAGCGGATTGGGCGCCGGGAAGGGAGGCAAAGTGGCGGAGGGCGACGGAGGAATGGGACAAGAGGACGTGGGGTGGAAGGCAAGCATGTGGGCAGACATGTGGACAGGCATGTGGGCGGATGTGAGAGTGGGGACGAGGCAACTTTGGGTGGAGACCAGGCTGGAGACCAGGCTGGAGACCAGGCTGGAGACCAGGCTGGAGACCTGGGTGGAGCCGGTGAGAGGGCACTTCGGGACATGTCTTCAACAGGGTGATGTCGCTGTGTCGCTGTTGTCGCAGTTGCGAGTGCGGCGGTGGTGCTGAAAGAGCGCCTCACCAGCCCGCGCTCAGCTGATCCCGTCAACCATCGGCTCTCCTTGGACGTCCTGGCTCTGGGGTCTGGGGCACCGCCACAGACAAGGCCTGCTGTCCATGTGCATCGGCCCCACGGCTGTTGCGCGGCGTCCTGTGGTGCAGCGGGGTGGTTGCCGGCGCCGGCGTGACCAGAAACAGGCCAGGCGAGCGCAGGGTCAAGGAAGGTGGGTGCAGCCCCATGCACGCAAGCCAGGGAACAGCGGGTGGGAGTGAGGCTGCAGTCCGCACTGGCGCCGCCTGCTCGACCACGGCCGGTGGCGCTGATATAGGCCATCCAAAACAAACGAGCCAGAGTAGTCGCTGTTTCATAGGCGTGTTGAGTAATAGATGCGACACATCGTCTCGTTCGGGCAAAGGACACGGCAGAGTTGAATCATATCGCACACCCGGCCAACAACGACCAAGTGGTGGTCTTGGAGTCGGGCGACGCGATCGATTGAGGATTCCGCTTGCATGCATCATCATGGCTGCTCGCAGCAGACGCCCTGTGAGAAGACACGGCTTTGGATCATTTGCCGATGTCCTTGAGGCTGTTGGCGGCAGCATCGAATCCTTGATCTGCGGACTTGCGGAACCAGAAGGCGGCAGTGTCGATGCTCTGAGCGACACCAGAACCACGATTGTAGCAGTGGCCGAGCTCGTATTGTCCGTAGCGATTGCCCCGCTCGGCGGACCTGCGAAACCACCCGGCACCCTTGGGCTTATCCTCATCAACTCCCCATCCACTCGCATAGAAACGACCGAGCATCCACTGTCCATACGAGTTGCCTTGGTCTGCCGACTTGCTCAGCCATTCAAAAGCCCTCGAGTAATTCCACGGCACACCTCGGCCCCAGAAGCAGCACTCGCCAACCCAGAACTGGCTGTCGCTATGGCCGCGCCCGGCGAGCTCTTCAAGGAGGCCAAATGCTCGCCGCTGGTCCTTGGGAGTTCCGAATCCTTGGACGAGGCACACAGCCATAAGATGCTTGCACAACCAATCCTGTCCGGATCCCGACTGGCACAGCCCAAAGAACTTGCGGGATGCGAGCGAATCGTCCGAGGTGAGACGATATGTGGCCAGACCGTCATGCTCCCCGAGAGGAAATGCCTTCGATTCATTGTACCGAATGATACTGATGCCCTTTTGTTCGTCGCGGATGGTACCTCGACCAAGATAGTGCATCCAGCCGACCATGTGGGTGGCGATCGACTTGATGGCTTGATCGCCGGACTTGGTGCTGACTTCTTGCCAATACCAGAGAGCGCTGCGGTCGTCCTGATGAATCCCCTCGCCAGTGAGATGGAGCCAGGCAAGGCTGAAACACGCTTCGAGGTTGCCGCGGTCAGCAGCGGCCTTGAAGAGCTGGGCGGCAAGCTTCCAATCCGAGTGGCGGGCCAAGAGGCCATCCGAGATGAACTTGGCAGCATCGAGGCAGGCTTCAGGATCGCCCTGCTTGGCATGAGCGACAAGCAGGCCAGGAAGACGGACCACTGAATCGATTCCATCGAACCAGAGCTCGCCAGATCGACTGGGCTGGGAGCGGCTGTTGACATCGGGAACGGCAGTGTCGCTGATAGCCCGACTGGGGGCAGCGATCGAGGAGGACTGGGGTACAGGGGCTCGGTTGTAAGGTTGGAGGACATCAAGGATGTCGGGGAACGAGGGACGATCGGCAGGATCGTGGGCCCAGCAGCGCTCGATGAGGGCCCAGACATTGTCGGGGATGTCACCGATCCGCTTGGGCCTCTTGTGCTGAAGGAGCTGTACCAGGATCTGGAAGGGCTTCATTGCCTGGCCGCTCGCCGTGGCCCAGACGGGTTTGGCATCGTTGAGGACTTCGTACACTGTGATGGCGAATGCATAGACGTCGGTCTTCATGGTGGTATCGCTGGGATCATCGTCGTCAAGCATCTCGGGAGCCATATAGCCCTCGGTACCACCAGTCGGCCCGTTATTTCGGGTGTGGCCCATCGAGGCAGATGTGTGTTTGGTGCGGGACATGCCAAAGTCGGTGACGACGGCATTGTTCAAGCCGTCCAGGAGGACATTCGCTGCCTTGAGATCGCCGTGGATGATGCGGCGGCCATGAAGATAGGCCATCCCCGAAGCCACCTGGTAGAGAAGACGGAGCTTCTCGTCGAGGGGAACATGATCATTAGCATCGGACACATGGTTGAGGAGGGTGCCGTTGGGCATGAAGGGCGAGACCATGAAGGGAGAAATCGGGTTGCCGTCATCGTCCTGGTCGCAGGTGCCAAGCAGGGGAAGGATGTTGGGGTGGCTGAGCTGCTTCCAGATGCTGATTTCATAGTTGTAATCAGCAAGCTCCCGGTTGTTGTAGTTTCCAAGGAGCTGCTTGATGGCGACCTTGGATCCAAAGTATGTGCCAGTGAAGACCTCGCCAAAGCCACCACGGCCGATGGGATTGGCTGAGCGGCCTGTGATGTCGCTGAGCGAGATGCGCCAGGACGGGCGCTCGGGCACGAGTCGAACGAAAGGCTTGCTGGCCATATTACGAGGGATAGAATTGGTTGGAGGATGGAACGATGGAGTGATGAAATGATGATTTATTTGGAATGTGGATGGCAAGCAGTGATTGGCTGGCACTCGATCCGTGGATCCAGCCATGTTCCTGGTTTGGTGACTGTGCCACTCTCGTTCCATCCCACCCACCTCGTCTCGCCCCACCTCGTTTCGTCTCGTCGCCTGGATATCGCCATCGCAACTCTCATCACATCCCAACCCGCTGCACCGCATCATGGCTGCCAGTGTCCATCATTCGACCAACATGGCTCGACTGGACATTGACGATCACAACCCTGACATCTTCACCATCATCTGCTGCAACGACAGCTTCCAGCTCGCCCTCGACCTGACCACCATCGCAACCCTCCTCCGAGTGTGCAAACAAGCCCGGCCTCTCCTGAGCTCCAAGGTGCCTCGCTTCCACACCTGGTGCCAGAAGGCAGTACTGTGTCATCCAGACGGACAGCTGCGGATCGGCCTCACACCAAGCGACCAGATTGCCCTCTCGCTGCACTGCGAGGATCAAGCCACAGCCGACCGATCCTGGCTGGAAGATCGGGCAGAGCAGGGCAATGCATCGGCCTCGTACTTCCTGGCACGGATGTGGCAGTCCAAGATTGACCAAGAATCAGAAAATGACGATGAAATTGAGGAAAATGCCAAGAACCAGCAGATATTCCAACATCTGATGAAGGCTGCTGAAGGCCAACATCCAATGGCTCAGTTCCACCTAGCCGGATGTTATCTCAACGAAATTGGAGTCAATCAAGATCACACCCTGGCCCTCCAGCTGTATCGTAGTCTTGCGGACCGTGGAATCCCTCAGGCTCACATTGCCCTCGGTCGATGCTATGAGAGTGGCGAAGGTGTCGATCAAGATTACAACACAGCCATCGAGTGGTATTCCAAGGCCGCAGATCAAGGCAGTGAAGACGGTCGACTGCATATCGTATTCCTCCGAGGATGGTTCTCGTTCATCGGCCATGGTGTCGAACAGAGCGACGCCGACGCCTTAAACCACTGGCATGAAGTCAGCACCCAGTCCACCAACCCAGTCATCAAGCCCATCGCCACCCACATGGTCGGCTGGATGCACTATCTCGGCCGGGGCACTGTGCGAGACCAACAGAAGGGCGTCAAGATCATTCGAGTGAACCAATCGAATGGTCTCATTTTTGGTGAAAATGAGTGTTTGGCATCGATTTGGAACTACTTCGGGTCCGACTCACCTACATCTCGCAAGTTCTATGAGCTGTGCCGGCTCGGATCTGAGCGGGACTGGCTGTGCAAACACCTGATGGCCATTTGCCTCATAAATGGATTCGGTACCCCGACGAACCAGACCAAGGCAGCGGACATTTTTGAGCAGCTCGCCAACGACGGCCACAGTGACAGTCAGCTGTGGATTGGAATGTGTTTCTATCGTGAATGGGGAGTATCGGAAGACCACAGGAAGGCATTCGAGTGGTTCACCAAGTCGGCCAACCAAGACAACCCATATGGGCAGTGGTGGGTAGGTGTGTGCTACTTGAATGGATATGGAGTCACCAAGGACCACGCCAAGGCAGCCAAGTGGTCTCGCATCTCGGCCGAACAAGGCAATCGGTACGGACAAGATTATCTCGGCAACTGCTACGAGTTTGGTTTGGGTGTCCCCGAGGACATCGACACCGCCGTCTTCTGGTATCGCAAGTCCGCCGACCAGGGCCACAGAGATGCCATCGACAGACTCGAGTACCTCGGGGAGCGGCCTTGATCCCCGATTCCCTTTCGATTTCCTCTCAAACCACCATATTTCGATACTGAACATGCAAGCCATAGGACAAACCGCACCGCCCACACCCATCCTCGAGATCATGGGTCCAAAGTGGACTTGACAAGTGGTCCCGATAGAGCGAGAGTAGTTGAGAGATATTGCTTTTGGCATTCAATAAATCAATATACAAAATACTGCTGTCCCATAACTAGAGCAGTGTGAAGGCCAATCGTGCGAGTCAACGGTCTATGAGCGAGTCCGACCAACGAGTTATCCGCCAGCAAACATTCCACCGTCTGGAAACACGGTTCTGCTTGGTTGGATGCCGTCACAGTGGCCTCGGAGTCGACCGGATCCCACCACGGCTGAGGAATTGCATGCAAGTCTTGCTGAGTATGAAATTGCACAGACAAAAGTCTGCCTTGGTCGCTGGTTTGAAGTCAGAGACGATGTCGGGCGACATTCAAGCATCAGCTTGGACAAAGTCGCTGTGATATGGATCCACACTTCCGAGCCGACTCTCACTTTGCATATACTGTTCTCGCATTCCTGGAGTTTTTTTTTTTTTGTTACTATAGTCAACTTTATTCAAGAAGACAAGCCATCAGGTCCAACAGGTTGGTACCCCGGCACGTTGAGTACACAGGCAAGCCTATTTACTCCTGTTGCAGCCTAGTGCTGCCTCAGCTGCCCACAAGGTCTGAGACCAAGCGGGTGAACACATTTTCAAGCAGTTCCCACAAGGGAACAGCAGGATCGAGGGGAGGTCGGGGTGGTGGAGTGACAAGTGCTGGCACTATACTACGCTGTGATGAGGGTGCAGGGAGAGACTGCAAGGGTGGGACTACACTAAGTGTGGGAGTGGGTGGTGGTGCTGGGTGTGCACCAAGTGCGAATGCTCGGAAGGCAGTGCGGGGAGCGGGTACATGAGCAGCAAGCGATCCAAGTGCGGGAGGGGTGCGACTGCGAGGGGGAGTGCGATCGAAACTGAGCAGGTCCAGCAGCTTGTCCACTGGTCCCACTCCGGCTATACCACTTTCCACCCAAGTCGGGTGGGCCGTCTTGAGGGCTGCGACCTTGCGGACCAGGACTTGATGCGGATCCACACACTGCTGTGCGTGGGTCCTGGTCAAGTCGATCCCGGATCCGTGTCGAGCCAGGTTCTTGCACTTGCGGTATCCAAACCTGAAGTGGCCTGGGAGAGCACCGAGTCGCCATCGGACCATGAACATGAGCATGACCATGGATCCTTGGTACCCGCGAGCCTCCCAGAGTCCCGACATCTTGGTCGACGGGGTGCAGGCGGCGGTGAGTTGCTTGGAGCGGTCGAAGCCGTTCTTCATGTGGTCCTCGAAGATGAGGGTCTTGATCGGGACGGGTTGGGGTCGGGGCGGTCCGGGCGGCGGCGGCTGGTGTCGGGTCTTGCCTCGGTAGACCTCCGTGGCCGTGAGTGTCAGGAACTGGGCAGGGGCAGGACTGAGGAACCGAGGGCAAGAACAAGGAAGCAGGGGCAGGGCTGAACAGGGGCTGGCAAGGAGAGTGATGATCGTTTATTGAGGTGATAATTCACTAGCGTTCATCCAGGAGGGGACGGGGTGTTCTATTTAAGTCTATGCCTCACCCTCCCCTGCTCGCCCTGCGGAGAATATATTCGAGCTCCGACCTATGTTTCCCACGGTCATGAATCACGCCCGAGTGGCCATGCAGCGCGGGTCATGAATGACGCGTCGTATGATCGGCGACCGCGTTCATAACATCATCCCCCCCCCTTAGGTCTATGCAATTTGTGGGGGTACCTTTGTCTAAAATCTCTAAGCACCAGGGGGCAGTGAGCCAAGTTACGCTCGGGCTCCCAGGTATTGTCTATGTCCGAGTATCCCTTCCACTTGATCAGAAATTTAAGCGTACGTCCAAAATACTTTGCGTCTAGAATCTCTTCCACCTCAAACTCCTCTTCCCCATCTATCTCTACAGGCGGAGGAGGATCAGCCTCTCGCCCTTTGATGCGGTTAGGATGGTAAGTTTCAAACATGCTCACGTGGAAAACTGGGTGAATCTTCACGCTGTCGGGCAGTGCAAGTCTAAACGCGACGGGGTTGATCTGTTCTAATATCTTGAACGGACCCAGCTTAACAAAGTCGAGCTTGGACGACGGACGGCGGGTCTGGATATTCTTGCGTAGGAGCCACACCTTCTGGCCTGGCTTGAAGTCGTGGTCCAGTCGGTGACGGTTGGCAAATCGACTGGCACTCTGTTGTGCCTCTGCAAGTGTTTCATCGAGGAATTTGCTGACGACTTGAAGTCGCTCGAGGTGCGTGGCTGCAGAAGGTGAGCCGACCTTGTCGACCTCCGTGCGTTCCCAGTCCGCTCTTGGATTAAATCCGTAGTTGGCCTCGAACGGGGACAGCTTGGTGCTTGTATTGACGGCGTTGTTGTGGGCGAATTCAGCCATCGGCAAGAGTTGACTCCAATTATCTTGCTGGTAGCTAACAAAGCACCTTAAGTACTGCTCTAGGGTCTGGTTTACCCTCTCGGTCTGACCGTCCGTTTCAGGGTGAAAGGCCGTAGAGAGCTTGAGCTGCACACCCAGGGCCGAGGTGAGGGCCTTCCAAAATTGCGACCGAAATTGGGGTCCACGGTCCGAAATTAGGTCCTGTGGGAGTCCGTGCAGACGGAACACACTGCTAATAAACAAGTTAGCCACACCAGCCGCGTCGATCGTCTCCTTGCAGGGCACAAAGTGCGCCTGCTTGGTCCTTCGACAAACGAAGACCAGGATGGAATCGAAACCCTGTGAGCATGGAAGCTTGACAATAAAGTCCATGCTCACGGAGGACCAAGGGGTATCCGCGATGGGAAGGGGCTCCAGTAGTCCGTAGGGCTTGTGGCGTCCCGCCTTGGCCCTCTGACAGACGTCACAAGTCTTGACATAGTCCTTGATATACCTGCGGATCCCAGGCCAGGTGAAATCGCGCTTCACCAATTCGAAGGTTCTCGCCTGGCCAGGATGTCCGGCGGCAGGGGCGTCGTGCCTGGATCGAAGGATCTCCAATTTCCTGGCATTGTCGGTGATAACCTCGGGTCCTGGGGCTGGTTGTTGAGCTGCGCGAGACCAGCAATCGTCGGGTAGGAGGGTGATCTCCAGTCTGTTGGGGTGATCATCTCCCCCTTCAGGGGCGAGGTCACTCCGCCTTGAGAGCGCGTCGGCCACCGTGTTCAGGTGACCAGGCGTGAAACAAAGCTTGAAATCGAACTCCGACAGGTCTTCCGCCCACCTGGCGTGTCGCTGTTTGAGCAACCGGCGACTCCTGAAGAAAGTTAGATTCTTGTGGTCGGAGTAGACAAGGATGTCCCGGGCCCCGACCAGGTAGTGCCTCTGTCATGAACCGAGTTTCCTTGCCTTGTATCTTGCCTAGTTATCTTGCCTTGTCCTTGAAATGACTTTGTATTTTTAGTATCCTAAGCCTTGGATCTAGAATAAAACTTTGGCTTCACACTTGACACTCTGTGTCCCAGTCCAGTCCCCGCTCCTCTCCCTACGTTCGAGTCTTGCATTAGGACTCTTGCGCACTTCCCTGCTTGCCCCGTTGTCCAGTCTTGACAGCCTCCAGAATCGAAAGGCTTCCACAATCGCAAGGAGTTCCTTGTCGTGGACGGTATAGTTTTGTTGGGCGCTGTCGAGTTTCTTTGAGAAAAACGCAACAGGGCGCAGCTCCGACGAATCCTGGGCCGAGACCGGCTGTGACAGTACAGCACCGAGCGCGAAGTCTGAGGCGTCGGTCTGAAGCACGAAGGGCAAGCAAGGGTCGACGTGTTTGAGCACCGGTGCCGAGGTCACCGCCCGCTTGAGGGTGTTGAACGCGTGCTCCGCGTCAGGGTTCCACACGAAGGTGGGAGTAGTCCGAGTGAGATCTGACAATGGTTTTGCGATCCCAGAGTACTCGGCGATAAACTTTCGGTAGAAGTTGCAGAAACCAAGGAAGCTCTGCACGTCCTTGACCTTCGTGGGAGTCCTCCAGGCAAGAATAGTCTCTACCTTGTCCGGAGCCATTGCTAGGCCGTCGCTCGAGACCACGTAGCCGAGGAACTCGACACTCGGTACGTGGAACACACATTTTTCAAGCTTGGCGTAGAGACGGTTGGTCCTGAGACGACCAAGAACCTCGCGAACGTGCTGAGTGTGGGAATGTGGGTCTGGTGAGTACACTAGGATGTCGTCTAAGTAAATGACGACGAAGCGATCGATAACATCCCTAAAGATGTCGTTCATCATGTGTTGGAACACTGCTGGAGCATTGGTTAGCCCGAATGGCATAACCAAGTACTCGTAGTGACCGAACTTGGACCTAAACGCAGTCTTCCACTGGTCCTTGGGGTTCATTCTGACGAGGTTGTATGCCCCTCGTAGGTCGATCTTGGTGAATATTCTGGCATCCCCGAGTCGGTCCATGAGCTCGGAGATGAGCGGGAGGGGGTGGCGATTCTTGACAGTCATTTCATTAAGGTCCCTGTAATCGACACAGGGACTGAGTCCTCCGTCCTTTTTCTTCACAAAGAAGATTGGGGCTCCACAAGGGGACTTGGAAGGTTGGATGAACCCCTTGTGGAGCATCTCTTTGATGTAAGCGTCGAGTGCCTCCGACTCGGCAGGGGAAAGATTGTAAAGAGGCTTGAACGGTGGCACGACGCTCTCGTCCTTGAGCTGAATGTCGCAGTCGTATGGTCTTTGGTTCGGAAGTAACTCGGCCTTTTCCTTCGAGAAAACCTCGGCGAGGTCACGGTAGGCTTCGGGAATCACTTGCTTGTCGGTCACGGGGTCAGTGGCACCTTCGTCGTCGTTGTCGCGCTCCCATGGATCCGTGAGGGGAGCGTGGGAAACTTGGTTGGCGACACGCGTCGAAGCTGTTGGTGTCAACACAGCACGCGCGTCGGGCGAGACAGGACGAGGATGGCTGCAGGAGACGCGGCCACCTACCCAGTCGATGACTGGGTTGTGCATCTGAAGCCAAGGAAGACCCAAGATGATGGAGAATTCGCGCGAGTTGCAGTTGAATAAGTTGAAGGAAAGGTATTGTAAGGAGTGAACAAGCGCAAGGACGAAGACCAAGTGCTTGGTATGAGCTTTATTAGCTTTTAGCCCCGAACACCAAAGAACA